TGAATATGCATTCAAGAATAAAGTTGAAATTTTAGACAAAAAGAGAAAAATGGTGAATTGACTTCCAATTAGTGACATGATAATTTCAATTGAGGCACAAAAGCTTGTCATATTAGTACTCAAGAAAAAGATTATCATTTATCAAAATTTGTGCATTAGAGACATGATTGTAGTGATAATGAAACTTTAAATTTAAATTATAAAATAATATAATGTTAATTTTGTAAGAAATATGGACATTTAATCATATTGTTGGTACAAGTTGAAACATTAATAATATATTATATAAGATAATTCTAAGATAATGTAATACAACTTTTATAAAAAGTACAGCTATCTAAAAATTAATTGTTAACATAATAAAAACGAGATATCAATATTGAAGGAGCAAATGATGAAATAAATATATTTATTACTTATATGACTCTAATTACAAATAAATCAGATGTATAATTTTTAGATAGTACTTACAACAATCATATGAAACTGAGAAAGATTTATTTCAAAGTCTTAATAGATTTGTAGATATCAAGTTTTAACTATAAATGTTTAAAATTGAAGGTGTTAGAACTATAGCTATAAAAAAAATTGGGTGAAGATAAATTAATATATCATGTGTATCTTATTTCAAAATTAGCATATAATCTACTTAGTTTAGGTCAACTAATATAACAAGTTTGTATTTTTCTTTTTCAAGATGATGCATGTGTTATTATGAGTAAGAAAAAATTGTTTGATTTCTATTTTGAGGTAGGCAAAATAATATTTATCCATTAATATTTCAAATTTTGTTATATTTAGGATGATTACTAAATAGAATGCTGCCTTTTAATTTTGGCATTTGTATCATGGTCATTTACATTTCTATAAACAGAAATTATTAAATCAAAAAAAGATAACAACTAATTTGCCTCTTATTATAGTTGCAAATAATTTTTGTAAATAATGTGCTTATGCCAAATAATACAGTTTTTCATTTCCTATATAGCAATTTTAGAGAGTAAGGTGGCCTCTTGAATTATTATATGTTGATATTTATGGCTCGATATAGATTTTATCATAGAATAATAGTCAAAAAAACATATTGACTGTTGAGAACTTTACTCACATGAGTTTGGTATTTTATTTTTTCAAAAATCTAAAGTATTTGAAAATTTTATAGAATTTAAAATTCTCTTACGAATATCATGGATATGAAATATAAACTTTGCAAAAAAATAGAGGGCAATATTTTTTAACTAATGAGCTTGATTCTTTTTGCAAGTGACATATTATTTAAAGTCAACTATGGTTAGAAAAACTCAAAAATAAAATAATATACTTAAAAGAAAAAATACAATAGTGTTGACAATTAAAAGAAAAAATCTTAAAATATATGTATTGAAGACGAAAAGTACATGAGATTATATAGAAGAGAGGGAAAAAAAAAGAGAGAGAGGTAAAAGTAGAGATCATGGAGGAAGAATAGAGATGTGAAAAGAATAAGTCTAAAATAGGTCTAGTGGGTCTAGTGAGTTATTCTAACACTCTCTCTTAAGTTAAAACATACAAGTCAAACATGCCTAACTTAATACACACTATATCGTAAAAGATTCTCATAAAACTCTTGGTGAAGGTGTATGCGAGCTAATGAGATGAGACAATGTGTAAAGTAGAGATAACACATGATAATATCTTATCTCGAATGTAATGACAATCAATCTAGATGTGTTCTATTCGTTCATGAAATGTAGAATTTTTAACAATAAAAATGATAATTTGATTATTATAATGTATAGACATTGACATAAGAGATGAGATACCAAGGCCTTCGAAGAGTGAGTTGAGCCGCACTATTTCTTGAACTGTCTCAATTATGGCACAATACTCAAACTCAACATTGGAACAAGGTACCACCTTCTACTTCTTAGAATGCCACATTACAAGATTGTCACCCACATATGTGCAATAATTAGTTGTAGACTTGTGATCTCCTATGTCACAAGTATATCTTACATCTAAGTAGGCTTCAATGAAGATATCCATATCTTCAATAGATAAGCCCTCTCTTTGTAGCTCTTTTGATGTATGTTAGAACTTGTAAAATTTTCTCCTAGTAAATTTGTCGAGGTTTCTGCATGAATTGGTTGACACTAATCGTGTATACGATGTCAGGATGAATAATTATGATATAGATTAACTTCTTCAATAATTGTCTATACTGATTAGCATCCTCGAAGAGTAAAGATGACGTATCTCAAAAGTATGGGCGTGCCTCTATAGGTGACGACTCTAACTTACATCCAAGTAGTCTAGTCTCTTGAAGCATATCAAGAGCATACTTTCGTTGAAAGAGATTGAGATTCTCATCTTGATAGGCGAACTCAATCTCAAAGAAGTATTTGAAAATTTTCAAATCTAGTATACTGAAGTACTGTTGTAAATATGATTTTATAATTTAAATAATTACTTCATCACTTTCAGTCACAAGAATGTCATCCACATAAATAACTAAGATGATAATGTCGAATTTAGTAGTCTTTGTTATTATAAAATCTGCAATATATGATGATAAATCAAATTATCTCAAAGGACTACTGAACTTGGTGAACAAGACACATAGACTTTGCTTCACATAGACTTTACTTAAGTCTATAAATGATGCACTACAAAAGACACACCTTCAATGACTCTTCTTAAGTAACATATCAAAAAGGTTGGTTTATAAACACTCGTTCTTCAAGATCACCATTAAGAAAAGATATTAGAAATATTCAATTGATGTAAAGATCATGTTTGATTTACTACTAGAGAAAATATCATTTGAATAGAATTAACCCAAATCACTAGAGATAACATCTTAATGTAGTCAATGCGATATGCCTATGTGAATCCATGAGTAACCAAGCGAGCTTTATGACGTAAAATAAATTCATTTTAATTATACTTGAGTCTTAAAGCTCCATTACACATAACGATATTGGCATCGCGTGGACGAGATACAAGTGTCCAAGTTCCTCGAGACACTAAGACATCTATCTTCAAGTCCATAACTATTTTCAATTCAAATACTTGTACAACCTCAATATACAACCATAAAATCGACTCGAAGGCCACGAAAAAAGTAAAGGTACGAAAGGAAGGAGAAAAGTAGTTGTAGGAAATAAAGTGAAAAAAGCGATGTTTGGTGCATGCACATATACCTTTATGGAGAGTTATGAAAAGATGAAAGTCAGCTAAGTGTCAGAAAAGACGACTAGAGGAGGCTCATCAATAAAAGGTGAAGACAAATTTATTTGTGAAGTAGAGAAGTCGGATGGTGATTGACGTGACTTAGCTGTTATACAATAAATCACGCAAATTGAAAATTTTTTAAAATTAGAAAATACTAATTTTTAGATATTTAGAAATATTTATGAACAAATATATCAATTATAATTCAATAAAACTTCCAAAAATAGTGGTAATTTTCCAAGTCGATCATAGTGATGTAATATAATATTGAATAATTTTTTAGAATATTTTTCAAAGAATATTTTTTTTATAAATTATATTAATAAATCAAAAATAAAATATATTTAAAATTTATAAAAAAGAGAAATAAAGATGAGGACATCAAGATGACGTCAACGCCCAACGAATGCGAATCGAGCAAAAATAGAGTTCTATCTTACGATTCTTACGTAAGTGATTATAGATGATTTAATTGATCAAATTAAAATTTGTAAAAATTAGAAAAATCGTAATTGAATGAAATATAGTTTAGTAAATTTATATCACAGAAATAATCACTAAATGAAGTAGAAATTAAGTTAAAAATAAGAAAATAGAGTTCTGACATTGTGGTAGCAATACATCAATAATACACCAAAATCCTAAACATTTGAGAGGATCATCATGTAGTGTCTATAGCCTCAAAGGCTCTCCTTGGATAAAGATGACATGGGCAATCTCTAGATCTCTTTTCAATATCTAAAAATCAATGAAATGGATCGTCAAATCGTCTTCGGCAGTTGTCACCTAGTGAAGCGACAAAAAGACGACTTTGTGGCTCTCCAACGATTGCCACCCGAAGGAGAAGAATTAGATGGAGGTGGGGTGCGTGTCAAGAAGCTTTACCTTTAAGTTCGTGCAGTAAGAGAAGGCTCTTCACTGCATCCAGTATGCTCTCAAGAGGTGGCACTCATCTCTCGACATATCATCCTCTTCCCGATGACAACTTATTCGTCGATCAATCAAAGATGATTTACTTGATGGATTCACAATTTTTTTATCACAAATCGTTCAATAATTTTAATAGCAATACTTTGTGAATTACATTGATGAGTTTTTTGCCGATAATCTAACGATTATGACAGCTTAATCCTTCACTAGTGATCTATAGAAAAGTCACGATAATTAGATAAAAATATAATTTTTTGCTATAGGAGGATTTAAATCTACACCAATTGCCTGCCTACATGAGAGAGATTGAAATAAGTACTCTAATGTCGTTATCAAGTGAGGTCATAATGATAGATCTCTGTTATAATTAAGAGGTAGTTTAAGTATTAAAATTTTTGAAGTCTTTTAGAGAAAGGTGTAACACGGGTTTAACCTCACATTACTTGTGTATTGAAATTTTGGGTGAATATATAGTAATATCACATTTGCAAATAATTAGTCCATTTCTCTCACATGTAAGACCACTCTTTGCTCCACAACCGACTGGCCACTAGTGACGTAGAAGAGGAGTGGCATACACGTGCCCCCATCAGTCCTAGTCACTCGATCCTTTACTCGTCACTCCCCCCGACTATACTTCCGACCTACTTGTGGGCCTAGTTTATTGGTGGGTCTCCCCTTTTTACTATATTTTAATTTTATTATTCTTTTATCTTAAAAATAAGACTATAAAAATTAAAGAAATTATTTAATAATCACATAATTAGTCAAAAAATAATGTTAATTAACTAAGAACAATTTTTTATTATTTAACATAAATATAAGTTTATTTATCATGAGTTAATATTAAAATTATATTATTTACTAATTATTAACTCATGATAATGAAGACTTACCAATGATGAAGCCAAAAGTGTTGAAAGAGAAACTAATGAGAGAGAAATCAAATGAGTAAGAAGAGTAAGAGAGTGATCTGTAATGATTACCATAGGAGGAAAACTATGTGGTGAAGATGTAACATATCAAGGAAGAGTAGATGTTAGAGAAAAGAAAGAAAACTTATCATGAAAAGTAATGTCAGTTGATGTCACATAATAACAAGTATTAGGAAAATAGACTTAATAACCTTTTTATTTCTGTGAGTAACCAAAGAAAAACTTTTTTGAGGATAAGAAGAGATAATTTAGAAAGAGAAAGAAAGTAGCCTTAAATGAAAGAAGAATCAAGTGAAAGATGATAAAGTAGAATGACCTCATCAAGTAGACTAAAAGAAAGCTAATTCTAGAGATATATGGTTGTTAGAAGAGTGTCAAATCATAGATACTGAGGAACATTTATCTCAATAAATAGTGTGCAAGTAATGTCAAGTAGTTGATGATATTTTCATTCGGTAATATTATTTGTTAGGATATGTGTGGACACATAGTTTGATGAAGAATACCACAATTAGTACAAAATGTACAAATTGAATCTTACATCAACTCTAAAATATTATTAGTGTGAAAATCTTGAGTGTAATAAAGTACTAAGTGATGACCTCAATAATAAAGTGAACAACTATAATGTGAACTTGGGTACAATCTTTAAAAAAAATAAACTTAACTTATTTGAGTATAATCGTCAACAAAAATAATGTAATAACGATAGCATGAGACAGATAGAGTATGAGAGAGACCCTAAATATCATAATAAATAAGGTCAAAAAATATTGTGAATAAAATCTTGTCTCGACTCAAGTATGAACTACGATGATGTTTGTTTAATTGACATAACTCTCACACAAACTTATTAATAGAAAACCAAGATAATGTTTTTAAGTTTTTCAAACTAAGAATGTTCCAAATGATGATGTTACAAAAAGAGTCCAAAGGCCATAAAAGAGTTTATCGAAAATTAACTCGTAGACACCTCAGTCATTCTCACATCTGAAGTTAATCCTTTACTCATAATATAAATTCTAATGCAAATGATGACTTGAATAATGCCATTGATAGATAAGAGATTAGTAGGAAATTTGAGAACATAAAGAAACTAGGAAAGATGAATATTGTGTAACAATGATGTTACCATCGACAATGGTAACTAATGGATGATGAAAGATAAACTAGTATGATGATAAAATAATGGGTGTGCCGATCATGCAGGTGGAGGCTCTCTAAGTCAATAATCTATGGTAAAGATGAAGATGTAAGAAAAGATTATATACTTGACGTGGAAAGATGCAAAAGCAAGGTTAGATTAGTCAAAGAATGAGCCATGGTACCCCTAAAGTAAAATAGTGTTTCATATTCAATGAAGATCAATGTCACTTGAAAAGTCAGAGACATGACACTGAACTACATTAGAGAAGTTGATAAAAGAGGTAAGAGAGCTAGTTGGGTAGAGTTGGCTTGTTAAATTATTTCCAACATTTGTTAGGTGAGTAATTCTACTTGCTATAGTGGATACATGGAGAAAAAGAATTATGACCCTTTTCTTGTGACGGACAACAATTATCTAGTCTCGAAGTAGGAGGGTCATGTGATACTCGAGGAGTGGAAATGGCCATGATCGAAAGAGTAGATGTACCACTAGTGATAACAAAAGAATTGTATATATTCACACAAAATGAAGTGAAAAAAATGTGAGAGATATTGGTATCCGGCCTCTAAAGAAAATCGTCCTACGAATCTAAGAAGTAATTGATAGGTGAAGTTTACTCAAATAGACTTTGGCAAGAAATTCTTGACGATAATACTCAAATGTCTAGAGGTTAATAATTAGAGGTTGATAGATGACAATAAAAAATGACTCGGAAGATTTCAACTATATGACTAATATTCGCCTGATTAACGTGCATGTTCTCTAATGTCATCCAAAGTTGCTACATAAGGCGAATCCAAATGAGAGGCTCAACAATACTCGACTCAATGCTCAGAAACATCTGAGTAAGGATGATTCAAATTGAGACTATGAAGTAAAAAATGAATAAGTGAAATTAGACAGATCAAATGACAAGTGGTAGAGAAAGTTATATCACGTCAAGAAGTACTCAATTCAAAGGCCCATAATATATAGTTATGTCCATTTAAGACATGTTAGTCAAGTGAGTTGTGTCGTGATGAAATGCCATGGAGTAGGTGACCTGATCGAAATAAGATCCACAGTAGGCTGAAAAATTGGCAGAGAAGGTGCTTGAGACATCGAGGAGTCGCCCACCGAATTCATAGATTAAGATTAGTGGGAGATGAGATGATGCTAGGAGAGTATGTCTTCAGAGCCGCACGGGGCCCCAGAGGCGGCACGTGGTGAGAGGGGCGCAGGGGGAAAGCACCGGCCGAGGGCCGCAGCCGACGAAAGAGACCTCAGGGTGCACCCGGAGGGAGACCATGGCAGTGGCAGAGACCGCAGTGGCGACGGCATCTACAGTGGCAGCGGAGGCCGCGGCGGCAATGGAGGTTGCGGTGGCGGTGAGGGGCCGCGCCGGCGGAGGCTGCGGCAGCGGCAAAGCACTCCGCGACGCGTTCGCCTAGGGAGCACCATCCAGGGCACGTCGCAGTGGCGACGGCGATCGAGGGGATCGGGCGGCACCTAGGGCACGCCCGATGGGGAGGCAAACACTACCTAGGGCACACCCAGCACGGCGGCCTACAGCGGCCGAAGGAGGCTGCAATGGCAGCAGCGTGACGGCCTGGAAGAGTGGCCGGCGGCATGAAGGAGAGGCCGGCGGCGGCGCGGCGGCCTGGAAAGGGGCAGAAGCGGAGGCAGCGTCGATGAGGGGCGACAGCGGAGGAGGGCTGCTGCGTAGACCAGCGGCCGACAAGGACGAGGGCATCGACGAGAAGAATGGTGCTGGGAGGCGGGCGCCACCAAAGTAGGGCACCGTAGGAGGAGGGCGGCACGCCAAATAGGGAGGAGGTGGCTGGAGAGTACATGAACTTATATAGAGAGGTGGAGATCATTGAGGAAAAATAGAGAGGTGGAGAAAATAAGTCTAAAATGGGCCTAATGGGCTACTCTAACAAATAATAATAGAGATGACAAAATATATACTGAATGAGAAGTATATTCCTAATGAGTTTTAAATTTAATTTATGGAAAGAACAATTTATATCCTTAATAATTCTCGAATGAAGAATAATACCATCAGAAGTCAAATGTGGGTCATTTGAAAGTGTTTCTTGTATTATATATCTATTAATTATTTTTTATGATCATGTTAAAATTCATAGTAAAAGTAAAAGTATATATTTACTAGTTGTAATGTGAGAGTAATGTTTATCATTATATAATCTTGAAATAAGAAAATATTAATATATCAAGATGCCATTTTAATGAAAACAACTATTGAATTTGAAATAAATATTTAACTAAACAAATATGTTCTAAAAATATATAGAAAATGATTCAATTGGGGTAAGGTGCATCACTTAAACCTTCTCCACCATCAAGGTCACTATGGAGAAAGTTTTCAAGTTATTCTAATGTCACAAGATTTTAGTCTAAATTCATTAAGTCATTTAAAAAAGATAAGATCTTTAAGTGAAATATATGAATCATTTAGTTTTCTATTATAGTTGTAAAACCATTAAGTTATAAAGAGACTCAAGACAAAAAAGAATGAAAATAAATAAATAAGGAATAAATTAAATCAATTGAAAGGAATGACACATGAGATTTTGGTGATTTTAATATAAAAAAATGAAACTATTGGTGTAGAATGAGTTTAAAAAGTGAATTATAAGTTCAATAAAAAATGTTGAATTTTAAGATAATAATGATTGTGAAAGTATATGGACAATAATATTTTATTATTTATTTTGAAACATTTTATCTTGTTGCAACATTTGAAATTGTTAGAATTATTTTTAATATAACAACACAAATAAAATGACATGCATTTCAGTTTGATATTAAATATATATTTTTAAATTGTTATTCGGACAAAGGTGTATATGTTGAGCAACCACAGAGTTTTATAAATGATGAGAAATAGAGTAAAGTCTACAAGTTGAAGAAGTCACTTTATTGACTAAAAAAAGCACTAATAGTAGAATAACAGAAATAATTTGTATACAAGTGATAAGTAAAGTAATTTTGTATGTGAAAATTAAAAAAATTATATTATCATAGTTTGTCTATGTTGATGACATTATATCTATTCCATCTTATTTATTGATTTCTAACTTTAAAGTTTATATAATGGCCGAATTTTATATGATTTAGGTTTACTTTGTTATATATTTAGACTTCAAATTTATCAAAATGATTATGGTATATTTGTTTCACAAAAGAATGATGTATCAAATATACTCAAGAAGTTTAACACGTTAAATTATAAGATTTGCTATATTTCAATGAACATAAATAATCAATTATGTCATAACAATGAACTACATAAATATATAAATATTTTTGTAAAAGTTTAGTTGATGATTTAATATATTTATCTCATATTCAACTAGATATAATATTTTCAGTTAATATGATTTCAAGATTTATGCATTGTCTTTTAGTTAATAATCTTAGAGTAGTAAAATGAAATTTTAACTATATTTAAAGGACAAACAATATGTAATTTTATAGAAATATGTTATTAAATTATTTTTAAATTTTTATTAATAGTGATTGGACGCCTATAGATGAAAGGAAAAGTATTAATTAATATATTTTCAGTCTTAGTTCTAATATCATGGATTTTAGAAAAATAAGAAACTACAAGTTATCAAAATCTGAAGATAAGTATACCACTAAATCAATGGTATCACAACAAATATTATAGATGCAAATTTTATTAGAGAGATCTGCTATATTTTTAATATGAATCTATTATTTTATAAAAAAACAAAAAACATTGAAATTTGTCACAATTTTATTCAAGATCAAATTTTAATTGAAATGAAGTTTTGTTCAATAAAAATCAAGTTGCATAAGGGCTTACAAAGGTATTGAATTGTCTCAAGTTTATTAGATTTTCTGAATCTCTTGATGCTAAACAGTTTGTGTTAAGTGGAAGCGTTACTAATTAATGTAACAAGAGGAGTTGCATGGGAGGCCAAGTTGCATATGACTTGGAATGTTTTTGAGTTGAATTAAGTTGGACCACTTTCCCCCCCTCTTCTCTCTCCTCCCATATAAAAATCATCTCTCTCCTCCGTTGTAAAAACTATTCAAGACATTTTATTTTATTTTATATTTTTTTCTGTTCCACAATCTCCTCTCTCGCTCCTCCATCCATCCCCAGATTTTGACTTTCTGGGGCCGTATGAACATCTTCTCCCTCAAATCTAGACCAATTAGGAGGAAGGATCCCACAACCGATGGATTCATATAACTAGATGAAGTCATCTTTCAGAGACAATGACTAGTCCTTGAGCTGCACCCACCTCTCTCTCTCTCTCTCTCTCTCCCCGATACAAAAGATGCCAGGTAGCGAGCTTACATAAATGTGACCAACTCCTAACCCAAGTCCAGCGTCGGTTTCTTTGAAGTAGTGCAATGTATCTTTGAAATAATCAACAAGCCCAAATGGTTTTCCACCCAGGTCAACTGAATGATTATTTCTCGCTAAGTCAACGCCAGTTCTCGAGACGGATGCGTGCACACGCCAGCCCGGAGATGACCCAAAGTCAACCCACCCATGATCATACGGCCCCGCATTTGATATTTATTTAACGGACCAGATCATAGCCCATGTCCTCCCTCCTGGAGACCGTTTACGAGCGGGGCCATTTATTGGGCCGTTGAAAGTCATTGGGCTTTTATTGGGCATGCTCATCGTCAACCAGCGGGCCAATTTTCATAATTCGTGTTGTACTTATCAATACCTCTAAAATTAGGTACTATTTTTAAATATTCCAGATGGAAAAGAAACGGACGCGGTAGACGCTTGTGGCAGATCAGAGACGGTCAAATCTGATCCGAGGCCGGCAGGTCAACCGCCCTTGAACCTGACTGACCAGCTGCTCCAGGCATTAATGGAGGCGGAGCCCGGATTCCGGCGGCCGTCTCTGCGTGAAGTTCCGAAAGCGGCGGCCGGAGGGAGATTCCGGCGCGTCCCTGCGCATTTAAAGCTCGAGCTTTGGAGCGATGGCGGAGGAAGGAGGGAGAGGGAGAGAGAGCTGCTGGTCCCTCAGACAAGGTTACACCGCCCTGCTGAAAGAGAGTCTCAGAAACTTTAAGCCCTCAGGAACCTGCGGCCTGTTCAAGCAGGTGGAGGTCCACTGACTCTCTCTCTCTCTCTCTCTCTCTCTCTCTCCCCCTCTCCCCTAAGGTTTTTGTGGCGGTGGTGCTTTGCTGTGAGGAACTCGCACTTAGAACAGAAAGGTGCCCGAAATCGGAGCACTGTTATAGGGAGGGGTTGGGGGGACATGCCCACTTGGGAGGAGCCAGTCAGAGCTTCAGGACCTTCTATAGCTCCGTTGCTGCCGAGGGTCTGGGCAGGAAAATGCTCGTCTTGAGTCAGGATCTATCTCTGTGTCGATGCACCAGAATGTAGAGAGAGAGAGGGAGAGAGAGAGAAAGAGTTGCAGAGGAGTGCAGCATAGGAGGGGCCATTTGTCTTCCGAGTTTCCCGAAATGTTGCTCCTGTTCGCCCACTGCTACATATGTATCGTAAGAACGGGGAAGAAGAAAAGCTCACTCAACATCATCAGGAGCCCTCTCTCCCCTCTCTCACCATAAAAGAAAAGAAAGATGGAACAGGAACTGGTAACTCCCCCTCTCTCTCTCCACCTATTTTTCTCTCTCTCTCTTCAGGCCATGCAGGAACAGTACATGGGTCCCGTCGGAGAGGACCCTCGCCATGAGAACTCAGTCATCTGCGTCAGACACAGGTTCGTTAGTGAGAGAAACGAGACTGGCAATGGAAGAGAGAGGGGGGTGGGGTGTCGGGGGAGAGAGTTACCGCCGCGGGAATTGGAGACAAGGAAGTCGTGGTGTGCCATTGGGATGGAGATGGAGAGCTGGGTCATGGGAAAGCCGCCGCCCCAGCCGTGCTGCTGGTCCTTCTCCTTCGGCGGCGGCCAGTCATCGAAGAAACGGCGGAGGGGCCGCTGCTGCTCCACTGCCCTCTCCTCCTCCTTGCCGCCCCTCTCCACCTTCAGATCCGCCCCCAGCAGGAAGCAGCGCTGCCGCTTCTCCTCCTCTTTGGGAAGATCGGGTCCGGCGAAGAAGCCGCCGCCGCCCAAGGAGGAGCAGCTCCTCTGCCGCGGATCCCCCAGGGAGCTCATCCCCAGAGGAGTGAACCTCCATGGGCCTCCCCTCTCCCCCCCTGGGGTCTCCGACAGGAATCCGTACTGATGATGATCGTCGCCCCCCTTCACCACTCCATGGCAGTACCTGTTTCAGCTCTGAATCAATCAGTAAGGGAATGGAGAGAGCAAGAAAGAAGCATTGGAGGAGGAGGATGAGGAGGAAGAAGAAGACCTGTAATCTCTATCCACGGGTGAAGCAGAGTCCATGTGGAAGTGAGGAGCGCCGCCATGCGGGTGCCTGGGTCCAGCGAAGGGGTACATGAAGTGGTGGGCCTCCCCCGCGGATAGATGCATCGGGTACAGAGAGGACGAGGAGTTCGGGGCGGCCGCGGCCGCGGCGGGGGAGATGGGGGGGACGGAGATTTCCACAGGCTTTCTTGAACGGTTCTTCCCTCTGTGCATGTGCCTCTCGCAGTACTTGGAATCTGGGTACGCCTCCTTGGAGCACCTCCACTTCTTCCCGTCTGTCCTCCGGCATCTCCCCGGCTCCGGGTCCTCCACCTTCCTCCCCAACCCCATCTGGAAGCATCCCCATCCCACTGCCGCAAACACAAAACAGGCCCCTCCATTTTCATCCTCAGCAAGAAGACGCAGACGAAGAAGAAGAAGAAGAAGAAGAAGATGAAGAAGAAGAAGATGAAGATGAAGAAGAGGAAGAGGAAGGACAGAGAGGTTACCGCCGGACTGGTGAGGGAAGAGCTGCGCTGGAGGAGGGGCGGAGTCCAAGAAGAAACTCCCCCTGAGGGGAAGGAGGAGATCATGAGGGACGGGGGCGCCGGAGGCCATGTACTTGAATATGAGAGCCTGGTGCTCGAGCTCCTGCCATTGAGACGCGGTGAAGGGGTACCGGCTGCTCCTCCCGCTCATCATCGTCGCCCACCGAGCTGTTCTCAACGGGCGGAGAAAGGGACGGCGGCGGTGGCGGCGGTGGCGGCGGCGGAGACGAACCCCGTCGTGTCGTAAATATACAGCGGCAGCCCACGTAGAGGTGCCCGTCCATCCCCCCCGGCAGAAAAGTGGGCGAGTATTAAAGGCCCCTTCGCTCAGTAAAATAAGGAACTCTCGAGTTGCATATCATATTATACATGTTTCTGTGCAGAGGAGGGGTCAGTCAAGAGAGAGCTGCGGAATCTTCTGTGTGGGCTCTGAGAGGTAATGGTGGAGAGGAGAGGAAGGGAGGGGGGAAACCCTAATGGCGGAGAGGTGGGTAAAGCTGATGAGGGCGGTGCCTGAACAGTGTTATATACTAGCAAGTGTCAGGTGTCAGCTGGTGCAGGTGATGCTGCCACCTGAACACAGTCTGCTCTTATTATTATGACGCAGCAGCAGAAGCTGCAGCTGCAGCGGCAGTGGGGGTGGCAGGAAGGGGGAGGAGTAGGGGGAAGAAGAAGAAGAGAAGGGAAGGGGGGGGGCTCCGTCTTCTGGCGCAGCTGCTGTTCTCCTGCTACCTTTTGCTGCTGTTGTGCCTGCTGCCATCTTTACGGAAATCTATAAACAAAACGGTAGGTGTGCGCCAAGTACGCCCACGACAATGTAAAAAGAAGAGATCGCGGAATGAGATGAGCACGACGAAGACGAAGATAAACCCTCCTCTCTCTGTCTGTCTCTCTCTCTCTCTCGCTCCAGAGGGGTCTGCTCTCGGAACCCCAAGATGGGTTCTTTACGGTAACTCCCCACCTCCATGCAGGAAGAATCCGGCGGCCCCAGCGTTGTGACCTAGGCATCTCGACCGATAAAACATCGCTTGCGTCGATTCCAGAGTCTCTCAACACGGATTCCGAAATAACCCAGCTCTCTCTCTCTCTCTCTCTCTCTCTCTCTCTCTCTCTCTCTCTCTCTCGCTATCTCTCTCTAGGAGTGACGCCTCCTTTTGTTCTGCTTTTTTTGGCACCTCGCAGTTAGGTTATTCTGCAGGGAGAAGTCTATGGATGTGGGTGGAGGGAGGTGAGTTGCAGAGGGTTGTTCCTGCTGGAAGCTTTGTTGGGTAGCAGTTTAAAAAGGGCGGCTTGCAGGTCACACAAGACGACCTCCCACGCTGCCTCATCCCCGCCATTGAAGTTCAGCTGAGCTGAGCTCGCCCTTCCTCCTTCCTCTGCAGGTTTCGATACAGTGCATGTGACTGCTGGAGTTCTTTAATGGCGGGCCGCCATTAAATGGCCCGCCGGACCGTCGGAGATGAGCCCACTGCGTGCCCATGATTGAGCTCGCCCGAGCGACCGCTGGAACGCAAGACCCAGAAGGAATAGCGTGTCAGAGACACAGACTCCCCCTCTTTAAAGTATCCGACCCACAGACTCCACGCTCCGCCATTCAACAGTGCCGGACAAGAGATTAGAGAGAGAGAGATGTAGATCCATTTTGGTCGGAAGCTCCCCAGAAGCCCACGCGGGTCACCTGCTCTTAGTTTTCTGGCGATATTCGGTGACGAAGTTATAGTAATCTTCTTCACCGTATAATCTCCTGGAAGTAGAGAGAGAAACTGCCATTAATATCAGAACAGAAGCACACCCCTGCCCCCAAAGATTTCCTTAGAAAAAGATTCTTCAGATCATGATGGCTCAACCAATGAAGAAAAACCCCGGACGCCCGGCCAAGTCCAAGCGGAAGAGAGAGATAGAGAGAGATAGAGAGAGACAGAGAGAGACAGAGAGAGACAGAGACTTACGCAAGGTCAGCATAAGACGCAGACTTGATCACGGCCTTGCCCTCGGGGAGCTCGAGGCAGGAATGGTGGATGATCATCTCCTTCAAGGTGTGCTTCGTGCTCTTGATGTCGTTGTCCCACAAGATGCTCTGCAAGAAAGAAGAAGAAGAAGAAGAAGAAGAAGAAGAAGAATGGTTAGTGAGAGGAGAAGAAGCTCCGTGAGATGAGTCTGTTGTTCTGCTACTCCACGGACCTTCCTCACGTACTCTCTCTTCGCCTCCTCCCACGGGGACTTGCCCCCGGCGTCGAAAATGGAGGCGTTCCACAGGGCCCCCCTGGCGACCATCGCAGAGGCCGCCCCTGGAACATATTTCATCAGAGATCATCCCTTTGACTATAGAAATCATATAAATATGTAGACTTGAAGCAGCACCGGTACCTGTAGCCTGTTTAATCCGGTCAAAGTCCTCGTACTCAAAAACATCACCATTGGCGATAACTGGAATGGATACAGCGGCGGCGACGTTGGCTATCTCGTTCCACTGGGCAGGATCTCGGGGTCGATCTGCAACTCGCCTGCACGGGCCACAGTTTTATGATGGATTGAAGAGGACGAGCAGAATCCACGGTAGATGGAAGAAGGGTACCTCCCATGAACAGCCAGAGCAGCAACTCCGATCCTCTCGATTCGGCGGGCCAGTTCCACGGTCTCTTGAGAGGTCTTCAGAAGCCGGATCTTGCAGGTCACTGGCAGGTCCAGGTTCCTTCTCAAGGTGGTCAAAATCTGCATGGGCGAGGTCGGAGGGATTAACAAAGGGTGTGATGTAGAAGTCAACGACTGGTGAAATATAGGAAGTTGACTGTTTGAGCATGGTCACTACATCATGAATGAGTTCTGGTTTAGTCAACAACGCCGCACCCATTCCTCCACTCAGAGAGAATGACTTGGGGCACCCCATGTTGATATCTATGGCCGCCACATCCATGCACCTAGAAAGAAAATGCTAGGTTGATGATTATTGACAGTTTTGGAAAAAATAAAAAAAATGCTGGCTTTGAACGAAATTTACGAAGCATATTAAGAGAAAATTGTAAGGGTATTTTCGTCATAACACTAGGTAGATGATAGTTTGGCCATTAGAAAGAGAAACTGCGCACCCAACCAATAGATAAGAAGGATCCCGTGCTTGGAAACTCAGTTGACATATCCATGGGAATAAGCAGTCACACAGAAGTCTGACATCAAGAATTCATCAAGGAGAAAAGGGTAATTAGTATGCTTACACCATTTGAGCAGTAGTGAGAGCCCTCACAGCATTTGCAGTACCCATCTGAAAGACTACCCTATTCTTTTCCTCAGGGCAAGTCCTGAAAACGACGTCATTCGTTCCTTTCTCGATAAAATCAGTAGTTCCAAGGGAGTCTGGTGAAACCGTGAAGAAAAATGTGTTAAGCACTTGCTATGACGCAATAAAGTTCAGATAGAAACTTCAGTTGAAAAAAAAAAGAAAAAAAAAAGGAATTATATTCAGCGCAGCAAAATGATTCCACAGTGGCCCAGCTAAACTTCAACTCACAAAATGGAGCTCCAGCCCCAGTATCTCAACAAGTAGAAAGATGAACATTTATTTTTGCACATTTCTAGTATGAATCAATATCTGAATTTAAAACAAAAAAAATGAAATGAGAAATTTCATATGAGATATTTATGTAAGTGTCATCAATTTAAACATATATATAAATAACAGTGAAGAAGAAATGGAGGAAAAATGATAAGTATTTCAGATATGCAAAATATATTGCCTTACTAATCCCACCACGAAATTGCAGCCAAAAATGAACGACTGGCAGATAAAGCCTACAACCGCATAGGCTTGGACTCAAATCTCTATTACAGGCCGTATCACTCAGTCCATGGATAGCAAAGTCATTTTACATATGTTATCAAGCATATTTTCTTTCAATGACAACCTTCTCCAAATAACCAATGGTTAATCTGGCAACCGTTGCATCTGAGTGATACAAAGATCGAATGTATTGTAATATGAACATGATAACCTAATACAAGAAAACTGATGCATGGTATTGGCATATATTAAGCACTTCTACATTTGTGTATTGATAAGAGCATTCACAATTTCTTAAAGCTTGATCTTCCCCAACCTCCAACCTCCTGGATAAACCATATAGCCAAAAAAGAAGCATGAACCAGAGTAGAAAAGCCTGAACCGCCCAAAATGGCGTGAAGGTTTTTTTACTGATCAGTCTACATTCAAAATCATTCCATTCGGCTTGACAGTTTGTCTTTTTTCTTGAATTTAAATGTTTTTCATTTCCAGACTGGATACTCTTGAGGCTAACCTGAGAGGCCAGGGAAATCATAGACTGTGTCATGTTTTTTGACACCCAAAATGGTCTAATCCACCATATCTCGGCATCACCTTGCAGACATGGTTAAAGATTAGGGTAACTATGAGACCAGCGGCTAAAGAACTCTTCATCTGTAAACAGTTACAAGTATAAGGGGTTCTCAAAGCTTTCGTATAGTGCCAAATGGAAATAAGTCGTCCATCATGAAACGTTACAGCTTATATGGAACATCAGCAGGTTTCACCCAGGTATCTCTGGCAATAATCCAGATTGCACCCAGAGGATATTTGGCATTGCAACAAAGAACTAAAAGCCATAGATGATCATGAAAAAAAGAATGAGCGATTCCAAACATGCAGCACTCGCATTTTCAAGTGGAAATGAGCAGATGTGAGGCTAAGATTAAGTCTTGTTGAGGAATACCTCTGTCCTAATGAGAAGGAATACAAAACAAAAGGGGATTTTTTTTTACAAATTACAAGTTCGAAAACGAGTAAAAAACAGCCCATGAACATTACAAGACTTAAAACTCGTTTCAAAACATCACGAACCAGGTACCCATATATTTACTGGTTTCTTCTATTTTTCATCTTTTTTCACATGGGACACAGGCCTTATTAAAATGCCATTTACCATAAAACAATGTTGCTTTCAAAACTTACTTCCTTCAGTAGAAAGAATGGCAGGAGGTGCCGTACTTTTCAGGAATTCTTATCTTACAATATCTACACAGCTTTTGATGGCGTCGACAACTACATATCACATTAGACCAAAAGAATTTCAAACCTCTGACAATACTTGAGAGACCAAACAATTCACTGTAGGCCTTAGGAAGGTGGAGAGGGAGGCAGGACGCCAGTTCAAATACGTTATTGCAATGCTTAGAGTGTTTTCATTCATGTACTGCGACTGGATTTACGAGCAGAATGAAACAAACCAGTTCCCAAAGCGACGTACAAAAAAGAATACATCTTCTCTTGCAATTTTCAACCCGACGGGGAACATAACCACACGCACTAGAGTATCAAAGAGAATATGTGCGCAGGCGAGACTGCCGCCTTACCGTTGGCACGGCGCACGCATTTCAGCATCTTGTGATCAATGATCTCCTCCCCGTAGGTGATATCCGCGCCGTACTCTGCGGCCATCAACCTGAATGGCAGAGTTCCCTGCGACAAGCTCACAGCGGACGCAAAATTCATCACGACTCCTCCCCATCCTTCACGATAGCGGGAAGCGTTGGGAGGAGAGGAAGCGAGCAAGCTAGACGTAGCGTTAACGGAGGAACGGAAAACTCACCACTCGGACCATGGGAGCGAGGATGTGCTTGTTCCTGTAGTCCATCTCCATCCCCCCACCGCCACCGCGGTCGGCCGCCGCCGCTTCCACAGCCCCGCCGCTGCGCCGGTGGATGCGACGGCGGCGGCGGCGGTGGTGATTGCCACAGAAATGAAATCCCCACCCCTCCAATTTCCCCATCCATATGGGCCTCCACCAGTTGGGCTTTTCTCGGAAATAGAAATATCATCAAAACGGCCCATATTCGGTGGTCCCATTCCGATTCCACCACGTGTCGCGGGATGGGGACCGATCGCACTACCGAAGCGTGAATCGCGTGCTACCGACAGCCGTCCACGTGACAAAAAAATCTGAATTGGTCGCCGCATTTTCTACGTTGACTTTGCCACCTCTCTCTCTCTCTCTCTCTCCATTCCGTAAATATAGGAAGACGGAGCCTTCGTCCTCCTCCACAGGCGATCTCTTAGGGCTAATTTCCCGTGGGTCAACTGCCGATTCGCCTTGACCCTCTGCTTCTCTCCTCCCCCTTCTTCCCCTGTCGATTCTCTCCGGGGAGCTCGATCCGAGACGGTACGGGATGGCTGGATCGGCACCGAAAGGCGAACAACCGACGCTCTTCTCCCCCTACAAGATGGGCATCTTCAACCTCTCCCACAGGTGCTCCTCCTCCTCTGAGAATTAGGGTTTCTCGCCGAATCTGCGGAAGAATTCGTTCTCATCTCTTCTCCGGTGGGTTGCAGGGTGGTCATGGCGCCGATGACCAGGTGCCGAGCGCTTAACGGCGTCCCGCAGCCCTGCAATGTTGAGTATTACCGGCAGCGCGCCACCGCCGGCGGGTTCCTCATCTCCGAGGGCACCCTCATCTCCCCCACCGCCGGCGGGTAAACGATTCCTCCCCACTTCTCCTTCATCGATGGATCGATCGATCTGCTTGTCGTCTGAGATGGGTTCTTGATTTCTTCGTCGGTCAGGTTTCCTCACTGTCCGGGGATCTACACTCGAGACCAGATCGAGGCCTGGAAGAAGGTGGTGAAGGCCGTCCATGGCGAGGGGGGCATCATCTTCTGCCAGCTCTGGCACGTAGGGCGTGCTTCCAGCGAAGGTAAGGCAGCGCTAATAGCGGACGGAGGAATCGCCGAAGGCCGCTGATCTCTGGTTTTCATTTTTTTTTCTCGGTCGCTCAGTGTACCAGCCGGGGGGTACGGCGGCGCCAATCTCCTCCACCGACAAGCCGCTCGCCGGCCGGTGGCGGATTCTCCTCCCCGACGGCACCGTGGGGAAGTACGCTCGCCCACATCGGCTCTCACTGGCGGAGATTCCGGCGATCGTCGAGGACTACCGACGGGCGGCGGAGAACGCCATGGAAGCGGGCTTCGACGGCGTGGAGATCCACGCCGCCCACGGTTACCTCATCGACCAGTTCCTCAAGGACGGCATCAACGACCGCTCCGACCGCTACGGCGACGGCATCGCCAACCGGTGCAGGTTCCTCATGGAGGTCATGGCCGCCGTGGCGGCGGCGGCGGGGCTGGAGCGCACGGCGGTGCGGATCTCGCCGGCGATCGATCACCTGGAGGCATCGGATTCTGATCCTCTCGCCCTCGGTATGGCGGTGGTGGACCGGCTCAACGCGCTCCAGCGGGCGGCGCATAGTGGCGGCGGCGGGCGGCAGCGGCGGCTGGCGTACCTGCACGTCACGCAGCCGCGGTACACTGCGTACGGGCAGACGGAGGCCGGCCGCCAGGGCAGCGAGGAGGAGGAGAGGCAGCTGGTGGTGGCGCTGCGGCGGCGCTACGAGGGGAGTTTCATGTGTAGCGGCGGGTACACGAGGGCACTGGGGCTGGAGGCGGTGGCCGCCGGCGACGCCGACCTGGTCTCCTACGGGCGGCTGTTCATCTCCAACCCCGACCTGGTGGAGAGGTTCCGCCGGGATGCGCCGCTGAACCGCTACGTCAGGGCCACCTTCTACACGCCGGACCCCGTTGTGGGATTCACCGACTACCCCTTCCTCGGCCAGGAGAAGCTCCCGGCAGCGCGCCTGTGATCGGCGGCGCTCCGCCCGCCGGCGCCGGAGAAGACGGCCGCTCCTCTGCCGAAAGCCAGTCGCAGGCTGAAATCTACCGAGTGTTGTTGATTATCGCCGGACGAGAGTTTCTCCAGCTCTCGCTGGCTGACCACCTTCCGCCTTGGTCTCTCTGTTGACTTCTGAGCCTCGTGCTCTTTCTTAGTTGGGACCATAAGATGGGGTCAAAAATCTTTCTGTCTTTCTTTCATCGTCCATGTGGCGTCATCCGACGGGAAGGAGGGAGTTTTGACGGGGTGACTTTTGACCCGAATTATTTGCGGCGAAAATTATAATTAAAAAAAATCCACCCGAATAAATCGGAAATATTGGTAATGGGTAAAATTCGAGTGTAATTAAGAGTATAAGTAGCACGTTTTAATCAGGAAAGCATCCGCTCACCGACCGCTAATGGATACCGAGGATACCGGAGGCTGTCGAAGCGGGGTAGCAGTGACGGGGGGAGGGGGGTCGGTGTCACGAGACACTTGTGGGACCGGAGGCCTACGTGGGCTCACACGTGGCCCAGTAAATATAAAATTAAAGAAAATGAGACCAAATATAAAATAAAAGCCCCCCCCTCTTCCTCAATTCCCCCCCTCTCCCCGCGCTTCCTCTCTCTCTCTCTCTCTTTCTCTCTCTCTCTCTCTCTCTCTCCTCTCGCTGGGAGTCTGTTGGGAGGGAAGCCGTGGCGGAGAGGGGAGGAGGCGTAAAGGGGCTGGATAGAGGGAGAGCAAGATCTTCCTTCCGACGGTACCTCCGGGCAGATCTGTAGGGGAATCCACCCCTCGAGTCCTCCCATTCCTCAGTCCGTTTCATTGTTCTTTGAAACCCTAAGCGACTTCTTCGGAGACGCTCGTCCGGGGTGGCCTTCCCATTCCGTACTGTGCCTCTGATCTCTTTGGCGGGATCACAAGCCTCTGCTCTGGTTTCTGCCGAGGCCAACAAGATAAAGAGATCCTCCTCCTGTTCGTGTCTCTTCATGTTGTCGTGGTGATCTAGTGCGGGAACGCATTTTATTCCTAGGTTCTGGAATTTGGAGAATGCCCCGGGTGGAAAGATTTATTTGCTCGTTTAAGTACCGCTCGTGCATGCAAAGAGGTCACAGATTCGTTGAATCCTAGACGGTAAGCGTAGCTTTAGTGTCCCCTAAAGGTTGGAGAAAATCTATATTATCTGTGGCCGAGCGAAGTGGGCTTGCATCTATTCAGCGACGAAGAATTTTTAGGCTCTAGTTTGTTGTCTTCTTTTGGACATTTGCAGCATCGGGTCTGCGGTCCGTATCAATTTAGCATCTCGCTGTAGTGGGTGTCCGTGGGGATCCGCTGCTGCCTCTGGGGCGATGGAGAACTCAGGTGAGGCTGATGACGGAAATGCTAATGTGACCGAAGATAACATGGAAGTGGAGAATTCGGAAGATCACGGACTTCATTTGGAGCTTTCCTTGCAAGGGTGGCCTCGCCCATTACGTTCAACGCACATTGAGGGTCTAGAAGACAGTACATGCAGGACTTGGCGTCTGCAGGAGGAGCATGCCACTGGTGGTTTTGAGTATTTTAAGGAGTACCGATTTTCATCAGCGAGTGCCTCAGGCCAGGAAACAGAACTACCGGTCTCTTCAGAATCGGATGCAATTCGGAAGAGAGAAGCAGACTATTTCGGGTTGGACAGAGGGGACATCGACAGGGACTTCCATAAGTGGGCGAAGATGTCTCACAGTTATGAGTAAGTTATTGTTTTTCTGTTCATTTGTCACTTAAATTCACGACTTCTGCCCGCCATTCTTATGTATTATTTTTTTCTATTTCATTACCAGGAATCCTGTGATTCTAAATAATCTTCTTAGGATCTTGCAGTTTTTGGGTTCTTGGATTTCCCTTATATGTTTTTGGAATGAGCTCGCAAATGCATTGCTTTCTTGAGAGAACTTGTAGGAAAATATTGACGGTTTATAAATGATTTTCAATGTCATTATAAAAATCTGTGGAGGGCTTACTCATAAGATTATGATTGTCACAAACAATGGAAACCCAATCAGATTTTGACGTCTTCCTTTGTTTGATTTTTTTTCATAGACATCCAAGATTTATATGTTTATCTTTGTTTATGAAACATTTTACTTTGTCCTTCTTAACAAGCTATTCATTACCTGACTGACACAAAATTCTTTAGGCATCTAGAATATATTTTATTTGATATCTAATCGTAAGCTTTTAAAAATTTTAACTTTCTTCTTAGAAACTTTTCTACGTACAAAATCTCTGGAATATTAATTATACTAATATTTGGTCAAATGAAGATTCTTGCTTTAAAGACAAAAAATATAGAACATGGAGTCTATAAATATCCCGAGGATTTGGTTGCTTGCATGGGCAGACCAATGGATGGATATGAATTATGTAAAGGATGTGGATGAAACATGGATAGAACAATGAGAGGTTGGAAATCTGCCCACATTAACAGAACAGAAAAAGAAAAATAAACGTTTTCATTTACCTTTTCGATGAGTCACGTTTCCATTTGTCCTTGAACCTAACAATTCTAGTTAGAAACCAACATACAAAGTGTATGCATTTGTAGCCCTACACTTGAGCTTCATTTTTGCGTCCCCCTTTGACACCGGTGGCTTCACCTATCCCACTTATGGGTGAAATATGGCCCATCTGCTGTCAAGAATAAAGTTTTCTCCCGAGTTTGATGGTGTAGTTTCCAGAATCGTGGGGGCTGATGGAGGTTGAAATCACAACGACAGCATCATTCATTGTCAGCAACTTACGATTTATTATGGCAATGACTTGTTTATTGTTTTTGTGGTTCATGTTTGATTCGATCATTGTTGGTTCAAGCGCAACTCATCAAAAATAATGGATATCCACTCACTAATATTAACTCCCCTCTTGTAGTTTATTAGCCCGACCCAATCATGATGAGTCTTATGATTTTTGTCTGAAATAATCACTTCTTTGATGGAGCATGGTTTAGTTGAGTCGTTTGAGGTTCAAGATGTTGCAAGCAGATGTGGAGAATCGTCGTTGAGAGAAGTGTGCATTTGATTTTAATACATTAGATTACCAGGATATAGATATTTTTAGATGGGGCATGAGCATAAGCCCACAATCAAGTATCCCATTCGTATTTTTGTGGGACACGCTGAAAAGGATCATTTCTCCTCAATTTCATAAATTGAGAGCAAGGATACACTTTTTGGATGATACACTCTCATCGAAACTATTCATCAACTCGTGGGGAGGATACTACTGATTGTTATTTCTATTTTCATACATTAATCATTCGATTTTCAATGAGATTTTCAATTACTTTCTTTTATCACTTCAACGAATGTCTCACTTTTATCTCTCCCGCCTCTTCTCTACATTCCCTTCCTTCCTTTGACGTCAATTTATTTTTATAAAGTACATTAGTGGGGTTGCGCTATCTAGAAATTGCCATGAGCAGATGATGTCTGAGATTGGCCTCAACATATGTATCAACTGGGATAAAATTGCAAAAATTCAAGTTCAAGTGCAAAAAGCGAACTTGAATCGGCCACAAGGTATAACCCAGGGTCGAACTCCGAACAATCATTTTTTCTAGAAATTTTGATTTTGGTTATGTTGGTTGTAAGCCCACCTCAATGCGCACTGTGGAATTCCAAAAGACTGGTTTTCCTTTTCCCCATAAAAGGAAGACGAGTTGAGTCTTCTGTTTTCCATCTTCAATGCTATCAGACGGGAGGTGCTTCATGATTAGTTTATGAGAATCCTATTCACAATAGGGGATTGTTCGCTCATCGTCCGTCACCTCATATTTTTGAATATCTTGAATCTTACTGCTAACTTTTCCTATTTCTATGAAAGCAGAGTGTATTGGCATAATCAGATATTCTTCAGTGAATTCAGTGATGATCCAGTTAAATTTGATACTGACGGTCACAAACAGAGTAAGGTCAAGACAAGATATGCTGCACTCTGACTAGTCATGCTGCATTCTGACTCATGGTCTCGTTGACTTGATGGGCGCTTTTGTAGTTAGAATTTGTTTCTCTTTGTTATGTGTCTTTGATTATACTGGAGATGATGCTGTGACATTGCCACTTAATCGTGCTGTGACAATGCCTACACTGAATTTTTATACTTATCCTCGGAATTGAGTGCATTTGTTGACGTGGGTATTACTTTTTGTGGCCGACTGACCTCATCAGCACTCACGAAAGTGATGTCTCCTTTTTTTCAACAGGATAGTTTAGATGTTATTCATCCCGAGACTGAACTTTCCCTGTTAGCTAATCTGCTTTCCTTTCTTTAAAACATCCGAGTTCGTTCAGATTCTTTAGTATGTAGGCTACTCAGCACAAATACTTTCCTGCTATAGATGGTGTGCTTTGGATAAAACTCTTTGGCAATGTGTGATGTTATAATTCCTGCTTCAGTTTGATGATACAAGGGTAGTCAACTGTCCTGAAATTAATGTGGTTGTACTTTGTCTGATTCGCCACTTATCCAATGATTGTATTCCATTTATGGGGCCAGCCTAGAATGTGCAGTACTTTTATACTAATGTGAAAATTCCTTATGCTAGTTTAGTTTTGAGATTGTACCTTATTCTTGGGTTCTGATAAATGACTCTCTTCTCAAGTCGAATGTGATTTTATGGCTTCTATGTTTTTGTAACTTTCAGCCTGATTTTGTTCCAGGTGGCGATTTTGTGCTTAGGTTTTTACATGTAATTTCTATCTTGTTACGTTAATTTCTCTTTTATTATTGGATGGTTATAACAAATAGGAATGTTTTTCAGAGAACACCATTATTTTCCTGCATCTTCCTCAGCCGCCAATTCATCTAACCAATATTCGTATATGGATGACAACATTCCTGAGGATTCACTGGTTTTATCTGAGAACTTGATGTTGCTTGGTTATCGTTCGATTTCTAGTGATGATAATGGTAGAAAGCCTAATATCTCCAATGAGGACGAAGCTATTGTAGATGTTGGGGAGGCTCCCAACCATGAAGATATTGAACATAGAATGGATTTGACGGATGATCTGTTGCACATGGTACTTACGCACGTTTTATCAGATGTTTGTGTTTTTTATTCTTTCATATCAGAAATGCTGCTGACAAAAAAAATTCTTGTAGGTTTTTTCTTTCTTGGGTCATAAAGATCTTTGTAAAGCAGGAGCTACCTGTAAACAATGGCACATAGCTAGTGCCCTTGAAGATTTCTGGAAGTGTTTAAACTTTGAAGAGTTAAACATCTCACCTGAGAATTGTATGTCTTTTTTGGTCAACTCTGCTTGTAAATTGTTGAGATTTTAATGTATGATTCTCTCATTCCATCACTCAAAGTGCATTTTAAGATGAAGCGTATAGAATCCAGCCCTTGTGACGTCTTTACTTTTTTGAAACAAATCTTCGTGAACTTATGAAGAGGGTTGATGACATCTAGGTGATATCTTATATTCTTGTTCTCCATAGTTTGTTTCATGCTAACGTTTAAGAATATCCCTGAAAATGCTAATCGCCCAGAAAACTAGTGTGTTAACTGTCATATTGAAAGTACACTGATAATCTTCACTTTATGAAGATTGATGGATCATGCTGAAGTGAAATTTATTATAATGTATTTTTTTACTTGATATGTTTGGTTATTTTGATTAAATTTAGTTTGTTTGGTTTTGCGTTGTTCATGAATGGAATTTAATCATTGTATGAATTACCATAGGGGGGATGGTAAACGCACAAACCTTGCAGTTGGTCGTGCAGAAATCGGCTTAAAAATGCATATACCTCAACATAGGTTAATACGTCTCATTGTTATATGTATCGTTAATTTGAAAAAACCATGGCACCAAAATTGTCTAATTTCGTTTCTGCCAATGATGACTACTACCATTCTCAACTGGCATAGGAGGTAGTTAAATTTATTTAGCATAATTTGGTGTACTTTTTTTTCTGAAGACACTGCATTGGTTTACAGCAAAACTTTTCAATATTCATCTATATTAGTCAGTTATTCTTTGACTATGATATACCCAAATCAGATTCCTAGTTCCAAGGCTTTTATTTATGTTTTTAAAAAATTTCTGACGCAGTCAAGTACGCTGATGGTACTTTAAAGGCTTTGTGCTATGAGAGTTGTCTATTTTATTTCTAAGCCGAAATTTTTTGCATTTCCTTGCAGTTTCTGCGATTTGTCGTCGCTATCCAAATGCTATTCAAGTGAATGTATTAGGTGTCCATCATGTAGATGTGCTCGTGTTGGAGGCAATGACTTCTCTTAGGTTGTCTTCTTCACTATGGATTTATGGTCCTAACATGTACATTGATGCATCAGGCTTACATATTTTTTTGGCATCCAGGAAACTTGAATCTTTAACCTTGGGAAAAGGACAGCTACCAGATGGATTTTTTCATGCGCTGACTGACTGCCCTGCGTTAAAAACTTTGCACATTAGTGATGCATATTTTGGTAGTGGCATTCAAGAGCTGATGATTCATCACGATAATCTGCATGATCTTCAAATTGTAAAATGTCGTGTTCTTCGTATTTCCGTCAGGTGAGCTCCTGTTTCATGAAGATAAGTCGCTTTAGGTTGGTTACTTTTGCAGTAGTCTCATGGGTTATATAATCTCGCACGTGAATTTGACATTTTAACATCGATTTGCAGATGCCCACTGTTGCAAACTTTGTCTCTAAAGCGAAGTAGCATGGCACATGTCTTGCTTATTTCTCCCCAATTACATCTGTTAGATATTTCTTCTTGTCACAAACTCTCTGATGCTGGAATCCGTTCAGCTGCAACATCATGCCCCCTGCTGACTTCTTTGGATATGTCATTTTGTGGATGTGTTAGTGACGAGACATTGCGTGAAATAGCCTTTGCATGCCCTAATCTCCAGTATTTAGATGCGTCCTTTTGTCCAAACATTTCACTTGAGGTGAACTTTCTTTTACATGTCAACTTAGGTTGATTATAATGGTTACTTTCATTAGTGTGTATAAGATTATCTGATGACCCATGTGTTTCTTTGATAGTCTGTGAGACTGCCAATGCTGACAGATCTAAAGCTTCATAACTGTGAAGGCATTACCTCTGTTTCTGTTGCTGCAATATCTCATTGTTACATGCTCGAGGTTGGAGTCTCTGGCCTAGATATTTGCAGATGGTTTTGTGAGCATTGTTCTCTACTGACATGATTGTTTCAAAATCCTTTCAGTCATTGCAACTTGATTGTTGTGCCCTTCTGACTTCAGTATCTTTAGATCTGCCACACTTGCAGAGTATCAGTCTCATACATTGTCGCAAGTAAGTGCGTTTTACTGGTAATTTCCTTTGGGAAGGATTCTTGTTTATAAGGTTAATCTTCTGAAAATGTGTATGCAGGTTTGTTGAATTGAACCTGCGCAGTCCCTTGCTTTCATCCATCACAGTGTCCAATTGTCCTGTTCTTCATCGCATTAATATCATGTCAACTGTACTTCAGGTGAGTATATATTTCATCGACACCTCATGTTTCTTATGGAATCTTTTTGTATTCTCTCAGTTGATGAGGAAGCATGTGAATTTGAAGTTTTATTTATACATTCTGGGGCCTGCAGAAATTGGCTTTGCAAAAGCAGGAAAGTTTGGCAACATTATCACTGCAATGCCGCAATTTGCAAGAAGTTGATCTCACTGATTGTGAATCTCTAAATAATTCCATTTGTGAGGTTTTCAGTGACGGTGGTGGTTGCCCGATGCTCAGATCATTGATTCTAGAGAATTGTGAGGTTTGTAATCCCTGCTTATTCTCATTTTCTACATGTTCAGTCACTAGTCTGATTCCGTGATTTGAACTTTTACTCCTTTTCCGATTCCTTTTTGTTATAATGTTGATGTATCTTGGTTGAGCATAACACCTCGATTTGATTGTCAGTTTACACTGATATTATCGTTGAGAATATAGGTTCACTAGTTGCGTTCGATTAATTGTTTTTTATAGTATGTTTCAGAATTCGTATTTCTTTTCCCCTAAATGTATGAATAGTGCATACCGTGCAGATGATTGGAAAACATCCACAAAATCCACCGACATTCTGTCTAGCACTGAGATGGTGATGCTGCCATAACTGACTCCTGACCACGTTTGATGTAATTAGTGGCTTGATGTTAGATTTTGGTTCATGTCCTGAGATTCAGAGTATGATTTAATGAGCCATGTTTCCTATCATGAGAAGGCCAATGGTAAACCCTTGTAGACCCTTGTACTTTGGAAATCGGTGGCATTTTCCTGGTAGTTTATCTTTCTTGCATTCCCTTGAGATATTGTCCCTTAAATGTTATAAAGTTTTGATTTTGTCCTACTGAGGGCGTTGTTCTTACTCTTCAATCTATGACTTACACTAACGGTTGTGTATTTGTTGCTGTATTTTATTTACAGAGTTTGACTTTGGTTAGATTCAACAGTAGTTCCTTGGCCAGTCTCTCCCTCGTTGGTTGCCGCACTGTGACTCTTCTTGAGCTATCTTGTCCAAATCTTCAGAGAGTAAATTTAGCTGGTTGTGATCATCTGGAAAGCGCTTCATTTTGTCCTGTGAGTAATGTTGACAGATTTTATTTCTTGATGTGTGATGTTATTTTATGTGTATGTACCATTTATTTATTTTCATTCCTGTTTGACCAAGTTTGGGGTTGTAATACATAAATGTTATTTGGTGAGATTTATTTGCTTTTTCTTCGACATGACATCCTTTGTTTAAGAATGTTTACTGTGGTGAGTTCACAATCTGTTGCTCTCGATGACAACCGTTCCGTCCCCTCCCCGGCAACACGTAATTATTTTTTAAAAAATTGTTGCCCATAAAAAAGGATTACCTTTTTTAACTGTTTTATTAATAATAATATATTACTATTCTAAAACTGGAAATCATAATAGTAGCTATTGTGGATCTATTAAATACCATCCAAAATTCTTTGATTTTAAATTGGTATAAAATACCATCTGTTTGTGTTGATGATTCAATCAGTAGTCGGATCGTTGTATACCTTTAGAAGTCTATGGACTTGCGATTTTTTTATCGTATGCAATTTTTTTAAGGCACCCATTTCCATAATTAAGGTTTAACGTTTGTTTAAAGACTCTAAGCAATTGACCACTTTTGTTTTACGACATATTTTTCAGTATGCTCACATCATCTGGCAAGTGTTTTTAACATATCCTTATCTTGTTAAAATTGGCATTTTGCCCTGATGTTGCGTAGGCTTTTTTGGCTTAGGACGCAGACTGACAGTAGCGTTGCGTTGCGTAGGTTGGCCTTTGGTCTCTTAATCTGGGGATATGTCCAAAGCTGACCATACTCAAGATTGAAGCTCCACATATGCGAGGACTGGAATTAAAAGGCTGTGGCGTACTGTCCCAAGCATCCATCAATTGTCCTAGGCTTTCATCTTTAGATGCTTCTTTCTGCAGGTAAACTGTCTCTATCCTCTGACTTGTTCGTTCGTCGTGCCTTTTTACTTGCCCAAAGTCGGCTGACTGATTTTCTGTCTACAGTCAATTAAGGGATGAAAGTTTGTCCACTACGGCCGCTTCATGTTCATTGATTGAAACGCTGATATTGTCATCCTGTACATCCATTGAATCCGCGGCACTTTCTTCTTTGCACCGGCTTGGGCGACTGACGGTGCTTGATTTATCATACACATTCTTGACAAACTTGCAGCCTGTCTTTGAAACATGTTCACAGCTGGAGGTGAGCAGCGAGTATTTTAATTCAAATTCCTCTGTTACCTACTAATCTGATATCTCCAATATGATGTTTTTTCGCGATTTTTTTTGTTGGTTTTTCTTTTGTGTCTGAAGAAACTGCGTTGTAGTGACCTTGAGCTCTCTCACTGGATCAAGAAAAGGAATCGGAAGGGGTGTCAGGGTTTGAGAGGTTTAACAAGAGAGTCCCACAGTTGGGTCAAAATGTCTCATTTTTATTTCATTATGTTATATATACCCTTTCAGTAACAATAATCTTATAAAAATCTTACAATAATGTAAGCTTACCTATCTAATTCTGATCAGGGCTTGTGTCCTCCTAGACGGGCTATATAGACTCTGTGGTGAAAAACCCTAACCAGATTCTGATCACCATGGCGTCAATTCCTACGTCCTGCATTGTCGTCTGTCTGTGTTGGATTTTTCATCAACATCTTGGCGAATGATGATCTTATCTTTTCTCCTTCGCATTATTGCCCTCTGTTCTTCTTCATGCTCGTGTATTTATAAATTTAAAAAAAAAAAAAACTTACATGGGGCCTCAACTGATGTTGTTGGGTTGGTTTCTTCTGCAGACGTTAAAATTGATCGCATGCAAGTGCCTCACTGATTCCTCCTTGGATGCGGTCTACAAGGAGAACGCTCTTCCCGTCCTCCGCGAGCTGGACTTGTCCTACTCTACGGCCGGGAAGTCTGCCATTGAGAAGATTCTCGCAACATGCACCAATCTCGTCAACGTGAACTTGAATGGCTGTGTGAACATGCACGACCTCGTCTGGGACTCGAATGGAGGTGCGCTGAAGCTACTAAGCACCCGCGCCTCCTGGTTGACTCCTGCATGCAGCAACGGTGAATGCGAACAGCCCGGTCATCTGATCGAGAGTCTGAATTGTGTCGGATGCCGGAATATCAAGAGAGTTCTCATCCCTCCATCTTCGTGCTGTTTTCACCTGTCTCATCTGAATGTGAGAATGGCGGCGAACCTGAAGGAGGTCTATGTGGCATGCCCAAAGCTAGATTACTTGAATCTGAGGTTAGCTTCTTCTTGACTTTTTTTTTTCTCTCTCATACATCTCTGTTTTACTGATTTCCACCTGGGTTCTGTTTTCTTTCTTTTTTTTTCGCATCACCAGCGACTGCAGTTCCTTGGAGATACTGATGCTTGACTGCCCGAGACTGTCCATCCTATACCTCACGGTATCTACTCGAACTTATAACTACGTTCACATTAAATGTGTATCATTGTTCTTCTGAAAACCAGTTACATTGATGGAAATCCCATTAATGGAAAAGAAATTGGCTGAAAGTTGGATTATATTTCCTCCCCGGAGTTCTGACCCGTGATTGGAAAAGGCTGCTTTTGGTGTGATGTTCTTGTTGGTCAACTCTGTAGATGGATGTCTGGACGAGGGGCACCGTTGCTTAGTAATTACTTGGTTGTTCTTCAGGTTTTGAGTTGCCGACACTGCTACACAATACTAATCCTCTGTTGCGCTGTCTCATTAATGGGTCTTCCTTTTGATGATCATGATATCTCCATGGTTCATGTTAAATATCTCATGGGTCTGAACTTTTTCTGATGATTTCTATAACAGGCTTGCGCCATGCTCACGGAAGAGGCTGTGGAAGCAGCAATCGCCAACTGTGAGATGCTGGAAACTCTCCACGTCAATAATTGCCCCAAGGTTGACTTTTTTGGGCTGTCTCAGCCGATAATCATTTCTTCTGATTTCGTTTTGATGCCGAATCCATCTGGGTGAGACAAATCTAGATTACTAGATTTAAGATGATTTTCTGAGCATGAAAATCAACCTGAGGAGCAGAGAAAACGTAATAGATAGAATCAATCATGTTATTATAACACACAAGAGAAGCGGGCCCTGTTCGGGTGATCTCTAATGTCGGTCAGCTGTTCTTCGTGCAGATCTACCCTGTCTACCTCCGGAACCTGCGGAGGGCGTGCCCCAGCTTGAAGCGGATATACGGAGTCTCCTGGTTTTGACTTTTGTCCAGTTCTGGTGGGAACTCCTTTAAATCCCATATACTGACCTCCCTTTCTCTCTCTCTCTCTTGCTCTCTCTGTGTACATAGCGACCCTCCCTCTCTCTTCCGGTGTCATTTTTTCTCGGTTCTTTTTTACGTGCCATGCGGACTCATGTGAACGCATGCGATTGCAGTCATGATTTTCTCTCTCTAGAATGGAAGGTTTGACTTTTGCAGCTCATCTATCTCTATCTACAATGGAAATCTGGAGACGTGAAAAGAACAGCGGAGAAAGAAAGAACAGTCAACTATCACATCATCTGCCCACTAGGAATGGAAGATTTTGCTGGTTCTCTCTCATCTTTAACAGTCGTAATTAGGAAGAACCAAATCAATCCCCTTTTTCGGGCTCTGAGTCAAAATCTATGTGAATCGGCCCGGAGAGCGAGAAAACAAATGCATATAGCGCCCGCCCTTACAAGACGCGGGCAATCAAATGTACAAAGGACCACCTCGCCAGGACGGACTCACTGGAGATGGCGAAAATGGAGCAGCACCCACGGCGAAATACGTAGTAGCACAGGAGGAGGAGAGAGAGAGAGACCCCACACGGTGTTTCTCCGTCTTCCTCGTCTCTCCCACGGTCGAAGGCTGGGGGGGGGCTGTCTGTCTGTCTCGAGGAGGCGAGGAGGCGAGGAGGTTCCCTTTGCCCGTCTGATACGTGGTAGCATTCTGCAGTCATCCACTGCTCTACTCGCAACCTTGCCGGCGGATCCTCAAGACGGAGGAGGAGGGAGGAGGCTGAACGGAATCCTCTCTATCTGCCCTCAGCTGCCTCTGTTTGACATATACAGCCGGGAAGTGGGTTCGCGTAAAAGCTCTCCTCCAGCTTCGGGAACTCCCCTGGCTCCCTGAGATATGGAGCTCCGATTCGATCTTTGTGCAGCTTCTTCACCTTCGAGCTAAACTTCTTCCACGATAATTTCCCTCCGTCGAAGTCATCGACGAGCTTGACAAAACTAAGCCTGCAGAGACAGTGATTTCTTTCAGAGGAATCCAGGGTGTGAACTCTCTCATTTTGCGGATTCAGATATAAATGACACAAAAGTTAAATGTCACCACAAAACCACAAAAGTCCTCGATGAAAATATCCCACGGATTAAGCATCTAAAAAGCATCTAATAAGATTTGATGAAGAAAATATCCTATTCCTGATGGTAACAACAGACTTTAGTCTTTTCTATAGAAGGCGGATAGATGACTACACACCTACTCTTATCCATTGGTGTGCTTAACTCAGGATGTCCTCCTGATTTCAGAGATGTAAAAATATTTAGAGCATGTGCTTATTAACACCAAGCTTGCACACGTATTAAAAGGAAATTATTTGAAGCCATGTGTAGGTAAGCTTTTTCAACTGATAGTCCTCGGTTGCATGTCTGTGTGATATATAAGAGAACTAGGAGATATTACTTACAAAAATGCGATATATTCGATCGGGCAAACCAGCGCATAAATGAGCATCACACGACGGCGATTTATTCATAATGATTAATGAAAGCAAAGTTAGCATGTATTTACCTATCCGGAACGATGGTTTTCTTAAAGTTTTCAAAGCGCCTGTGACCTTGCACAGCCTTCGCCATATTTCCATCATATGTATAAATGAAAACATCACTTTGTAGGGCAACCACATAGTCCAGCCCGGCAAGCATGTTCTGATGAATCTTGAAAGGCCCAATCTCATCTTCTGTGGCGAGGGTTGAATGGGAGTAGATGTTCAGAAACTCATCTGTAAGGTGCTTCATGCTGCCGTTCCCATAGGCTTCCCCAGCCACCAGGTAAATTCTGGTGGTTGAGGGGAAACCTAATCCTCTCAGAAGAAGGGCAGTTTCCCTAGGAGTTAGAGGGCATCCGCCAAGAGTCCTCCGTTCAGTTCCGTTGATTTCCTTCTCTTTCCAATGACTGACTTCGTAGCGCATCTTACGAAGGTCCTCACCTTCCTCTGCAGTCAAGCTATGATCGCAACCAGTGAATGCAAGCATGTCCTTCTCATATCTGGGAGAGAGGGAGCGGAGATGCATGTTAGCAAAAATAGAAGACGTCTGCAGATCAAACATACCTCAATTAAAATAGATTTCAAACATGAATGACGATATTATCATTATGACGACCAAGAAATGCTATTTTACAATGGATTAATGCAGTCTAGCAGTGACAGAGAGAGAGCGAGAGAGAGAGAGAGAGAGAGAATGGGTGTGAATGTAGTGAATAAACTGGTTTTGGGCTTTCTACAGGAATAAGAATGCAGTCTAGCAACCAATATCCAAGTCCATAATGTCTCATCAAACCTAGAGGAAAACATAAGTAGTATTCAAAGAGAAGATCTAGAAGCTAAGTGCAACACAACTGCATGATAATTTTCTGAATGAATGGCACCAGTCATCAGATAGAAACAAAGTGACAGGATGAGAATTGCACATAGCACTGAAAAATGAAAGAGAACGCAAGGAGCAGAGATGTGTGCCTTAAATGGAGTGCGACATAGGGCTGCCCGCCTTGTCGCATCCTTGAGACTAAGATGGCGCCGAGTTCTTCAATCGGTGCAGAATATCTTAACGCCCTATAGTTCACTCGACACCTCAGCTTTTGAATGGAACTGGGAAGGCCATTGTTTGCAAGCCGAGAATCTGTGTGTGTAAAATATAGAACTTTTTGCTGTTTCAAAAGTGGGAGGATATCTGCTTTATAGTAACTGGCCTGAAATCAGAAGAAGAAGAAAAAAAGGTAGAATTAAATAACATATTCAATACGAAGGAAGGAGTTCCTTTAATCATCCAAAACATGCCAAACCTTGGACCAAGATATCGGCGTTTTCATGAAAGGTTCCACTCCCTCAACGGCAGCAGGTAATGACTCCACAATGTGAATATCGTCCTTTAGTGTCTCAATAAAATGCTTCCAATCGAAAAGATCCTTGAAGCCACTGAATACAAGAGTACCAGAGATCAATGAATTTTCCAATTAAACACCTCATATGGGCACAAATGACGGTGCATTTTCAAGAATGAGACCTCTCATCTGCCCAGAAGGATGTATGGTCAAGCGAGGGGAGAACGAGCGTTGCCTTCATAATTTTAGCAACCGCAACCATGTCACAGATCTGCATTCTAAAAAGATAATTCATCAGGAATGGTAAAGAGACATCTCAATCAACAAAGTAGAGATGTGTACAGGGGTCAAACCCCAAATCGCATCTGATTTAGGCCCCCATTCGCGTTTATCAGAAGGAAACCATTTGTCTTTGCATCCAATTCTGCAAGAAAAAGGACACGATACATGCTTTAGGCACAGTTGATCAGACCTGGAGAGCTAGTGAGTCTAAAATCAGCCTCTTCTTTACTTTTGTTGACTTGTGATCCAATACACTGAGCGAAATTTTCACTACTCGGCTTAGCCCAAATGCCTGAGAGCTGTAAAGAGGAAAATTATTTCAGTGACTCTGTTCTTGTCCCCTTCTTTAAATACAAAGCACGAGGAAACTATGAAAGTATGATATATATGTGTAGAGAGAGAGAGAGAAGGCAACTTGCATCGATCATCCTGCTCTGTCCAGAGCTGTCCGAGGATACAGTCATTAGTGTTCGTTCGCCATCATTCCCTTCCCTAAGGTCAAGCTCACCAAGCAACTGAACGTTCTCAACACTAACATAGTTATCTGAAATATCCTAAAAGCCAGAACAAGAAAAGGATTAGGTACACGAACATCCTGAAATAGTTGTTTCAATTATTTTATACAAGTTGCAAGACTGCGAGGAATAAAATCTTGTTTTCGCCTCAAGTAAATGCTCGGCACAAGCTTTAGTCACCATAACATGACAAGAGCAGGAGGATCATCCCTGCCAGTAATTCACCCAATCGACCTTATATAATCAGGAGCACGAGATCAATCAAGATCAAGGTTTTATTTACTTTTCAATGTCTTTTTAAGAGATTGATGATTCATAAGCCAACGGGGATAATATCCTCGGAACATTGTCGGATGCTTATGAATAATCAGATGTAAGTCTCCTTTAATGATTACTGTGGATGTCGGGCGCCGGGTCCACCTCACTAAAGAACGGAATGGATAGAATCTTCGGCGTACTGAAAACTATGACCGTACTTTTTGAACGGAAACCATTTATATTTCGCATCAAGAAAAAAATATTTGTCCTAAATACGAAGATAATTTTAACAAAAATGAATGTAACATCTTCTTGAATTTCATAAACAAAAGTAAAAGAATACCTGCGGCGGGAAGATTAGAAGAGAGAGAGAGAGAGGCCAACCTGATCACTCGCAGTGAACCCGACCCATCTTGTGGCGCAGATCTTAGCGAGTCCCAACAGCAAGCACACCCCGCAGAAGCAGAAGAACATGAGGTTTCGTAGTTTTCTTCTCTCACGCGGGACGAACTCTGCTCCAACCGCCAGTCCTGACTTCTTGAGCAGCCCCTTCCCCACGAGCTGCGGCACCGGCAGCCGGGACCTCAGGACGCCCTGGTGACCTTGGAGGTGGGCAGCCTGCCTCCTCTCCAAGTCCCCGGCACCATCACCGAGGGGGCTGCTCGGACTCTCGCACGAGGACCGCGGGGAATTGATCTGGAGCTCAATCTCAGGCACCCCGCCGCTGCCGCCCCCGCCACTGTGCCCCCGCTTGAAAGACTGCGCCCGCCTGGTCATGGTGCCGGAGTACCTCGGACTGTTGATGCACTGCGAATGTGCGACACCATCCCCACCACCTCCCGCACCGCCCCCGCTGCTGTTGCTTCCCCCGACGACGCTAGATTGGTTCTGGGTGAATCCCATCAGAGAAGCGAAAGATCGCGCATCGAAGGGGACCGATACGTTCCCCCACCTCTTCCTCGAACGATACTCTGGGCACAGATAATCGCCCCCCCTCCCTCTAGGGTCGCCCTCCCTTACCCATTTTGTAGGCGCGTCCCGAAGGATTGAAGGAAGGAAGGAAGAATACGAAAGACCACCACGAGGTGACGGCTGACGCCGTCGCAGGAGGGTGACGACATTTCAAGAGGGGAGGGCCACTTTTTCAATAATTACAGAACCTGACATTTCCAATTACATACCCCCCCCCATTTTTCCCCCACCGTTCGATCCATGCGACCGTATGAAATCGGAGGGCCAGTTTCCACGGTCCGATTCCGACTGTGATCCCCCGCAGTGACGTTTCGAGTGCTGAAAACTCGAGGATTTCTCTCCCTAGCCTGAATTTTTTAATACCTCAGGCGTCGCCTTCCCATCCGATCTTCTAGAGAGAGAGAGAAACGAACCACCAACCCTCGTAGAATGGCCGAATTGACTACAATATAGACGTTTATACCCCTAATTGGATATCATAATTACGGGGGGCCCATGAATTTGGGCCTTGGTGGGCCTACACGGAATGCATCAGTAATGGGCCCACACACCTCGTCATCCAGCTAGATGCCAGCGCCGCCATTGAGACCAAAGAAAAAACAGTCTAAGCTGGCATGTCCAGGCGCGGCGGCGCCCCCGCGTTTCTGCGGCTGTCCCCTCCCTTGTCCTCTTACTTTCTTCTACACCCCATGGATCAAGATATTTGCTTTCTTGTCCTTCCACTCCAGCGAGTAACCGCCGGTCCTCTCGTTGCTACCATTCGATGCTGCACGTTGGACTCGCCGATGGGGAAGTCTAGAGAGAGAAACAGGGTCCTGATTACCAGTTAGTTATGGCCGAGATAGAAAGGTTTCTCGGTCAGATGCCTTGGAGAGAGACAGATAGAGAGAGAGAGAGAGTGTTCCGACTAGGCGGGCGCTGCAGGAGGACGGCGGAGAATCTTGTCGACGCCGTCCACTGGACGAGCATGCGGACCGGGCGTCGGTACTTGGATTCGCACGTGGGAATCGACCTGATGAGGGACCATTTTCCTTCATTGCCAGCCTCTTCGTGGCCGAGTGGGTGGGGTTGACCATTCCCAAACGAGGTCATGGATTCGAGGTTGGCTAGAGGGAGAGAAGAAGAGAGAGAAGAAAAGAGGTATTCTAAAATACCTCCATTTTGTCACGGATTCAACTTATTAAAATATTTTATTAACTTCTTAAAAATTAATATTTCCAGTTTTAGAAAGTTTTGCTCAAATATTTCCACAGTGGAATGGAATAAAAAAATGATTTAATCAAACAAAATAATGGTTTATAAATTCACCCTAAAATGGCATTAGTTGATGCACATGTTATCAGATGCATGCATATACATTGAAACATATATGAGAGCATTAATCAAGTTTTTCAAACCGATATGTTAATTTCTCATGCTCTTGATATGATGGAGAGGTACTCTTCTTTAGGGATGAAAATAAATGTCCTTAGACCAATAACACAATATCTTAATAATTCATATTTAATAGAAAATTAATCGAGGAACAGAATCTAGTGAAACTTGGTGGAGCTAACTATGACTATAAGTGTTAGAGATAATAACTTCATGATTGGAAAATTTTCAAATTTTGGGAATTCTCATGATTTTGCATTTGAGGGCTCTCTTATAACTTGAACAACTTGTCAATGGTAAGATGTCTCTTCTTCAATAACTCATTTTTTTCCACATTTTTTGTTACTATTTTATGCATCTTAGCTTGAATTCACAAGAAGTTAACACTTAGTAATAGAGAATTAGTGCATGATTTGTAAAGATTGGCCTATGTGATTCATAGCTTATTGGTTATTTCAAGTACTCATATAATAGCACTTGATGCAAACATTAGTTTGAAAATTAATTATAAATATTTATAACTTTGCTTCAAATTTTTACAAAAATAGTAGTTCATTTATTTTGCATATTTTGTCCTATAATGCTAGGAAGCATAATATCTAGCTTTAAAGAGGCTATAAGTAGAACTAAGAGGTGAGATGATCTTTCTAACCAAAACTATGATTTTTCATACATATTTATAGAGGTTCAAACTACTCGACTTACTCCACTCTTTTGAGTACTACATCTTTTAGTTCTACTAAATCTTTTTAGCATAATTCTTGAACATTAAAAATGTCTTATCTAGCTCACAAATATCTAGCATCTTTTAGCCAATGTAGTCATTACAAATTCACATTACTAAGAGGGCTTACCGTTTCAATGTCAAAATAATGACATTTAGTGAGGCTAAATACTACCAGTAATAAAATGTAAACAATTAATAAATGAATGTTCATACACCTATGTCACTTAAAAAAGTAATGATGTCGAGTAGTTAATAACTTCCATAGGATAAATACATAAAAGTATATGCATACACTTCTTTGAAAAAATTAAATGGTTAAATACTCCAGAAAATATGTAATTTTTTTAATGGAGAGTTGATTATTCATTTTGTTATTATGTAGGTTATTGATAAGGTGATTTTTCAATAAATATTTTTTTAATGTTGAAAACATAATTTTAACGAGTCAACTACTAATGTCTAGTTGTAGGTAGTATAACACATTATCTTCTTCCCATTATATATTGTACTACTGCACCTTCGACTTGAGAATGAGTCAACTCCCTAAGTCTACCTAATTCTTACACGAAGATGTAAAACACAAATTTGGCAAAATAAAAAGTAATAGAAAACTTTGGGCATTTATCTAAATGTTTCATTGTTGCATTTATAAATATATTTAAGGTCAGGTAAATATGTAAAATAATAATATATCAAATCACAAGTTTAACTTTGTAAGAAATTTACTTACAATGTTGAGGTTTATTATCACTAAGTTAGTAACTTCCCATCCTTGAAAGAGTTTGATACACTTCCGTGGCCATAGATAGTATTAAGCCTTATTCATATGATTCATATTGTGGTGGTTTGGTTATTATGAATCAATCTTGTATGTTTATAAGTAATAACAGCAAAATAAGAGTAATTTATTCATGAGTTAAAATATCATACTTGTTGAGTTCAAAATTCTATAATATTTTTCTGATACATCAAGATATTAAAGTAAATTCACCTCAAACCAAAATGACAAATTTGATAAGATCAATTGCATGATCATGATTAAATAATGATTTATTTAAATTATCAAATGTCATATTTTTTTATCTTGCCTCAATTTAATGTATGAGATTACCATTTTTGTGGCAAGATAATCTTTGTAGAAAATCAATGCATAATTAGTGGCAAACTTGACTATCTGGATTTTATATGGTTTCCTCAAAGGCCACAAAAAGAATTTATTTATTAGTTTTGAAAGCTTGGTCCATTAAGGTTGAGGAGTTACCCTACTGAAGCTCAGGCTCTTGTGCCCAAAATGATGTTAAAAACCAGCACGAAAGAGACCTTAGTAGGACATAATGATAACATGCATTGACATCATAGTAGGTCCCTAGTTCATGAGCAAGATGAATCAAGAGGAGAATATTTCAATTGTCTCCTAATCTAAACATACAATTATAATAATATTTTTATTATTATTTAAGTTTGTGTAACATAATTATTCTCCTAAGTAAATCTAATATATCAGAGGGAGGACATAGAAGAAAACACTTGTTGTACTTAAGTTTTATAAAAAATTGACCCAAACCCTTTAGCCTATGTCCACTTCCTAGGTGATAACTTTAATTTCACTACTGTAGTGTTTACAATACTAGAATAAGCCTATATTAATCCCTCAATACTTAATAATTTAGATATTCCTTAGTAAATCATATTGTAGGCACACCCACGATTAATCAATTTCCACCACAAAAGGCATAAAAATATTGAAATTAACTTAGAACACTTCAACCGTCACATTCAATCGAGGACAGAAAAATTCGGACATTGTTAAGAAGGGGTTGAAGGATTTCATCTCAAAATCCTAGCACCTTGATTCAACAGTGACTCGAAGAGTGGGCTGATCTTGATTTGGGCCGTAATGGCTCTTTGTTATAGAGTAGCCCACTTTCTTTTCAAGCCCAAATATATTTTTCTTTATCACTATGAGGCTTTAGTCCATTGAAAACTAACCAAAGTAAGTATTAACAATTAATACACATTTTGACGACTTGATTAAGTACAAAAATAGGGTATTATCTATTTATGCGAAATTCCTTTTTAAAATAATAATAGTAATAAAATAGAAGGTACTTAATTAATTTTATTATTGGACAAGGAGATTATGCATTATTATAAATATGAAGTAGAAAAATAAATAAAGCCTAAGCTTTCGGACGAAGTCACAAGGTGACGTGGAATTCATAATCTATCCCACGTTTGGTTTGAGAGGTCAACCGTCGAACTCCCTGTCAGGAGTGGTCCTTGCAGGTTGAGACTTCTTACTCACTATTCGCCATCGCGAGCCGTTCGATCAATGCTCCAGTATCTGTAGCATACGTGGTCTTTTCGAATCAGGCGGCCTCGATTTCGGGGAATCGATCGTGTCGGCACATCTGACGGTCCTTATTGGCTGAATGTCGAATTACGTATTTGCTCTCTCCTTTGTCGGTGGCCGTCAAGATCTTACCGTTCTACGTAATGGCAAAAACGTTAATCACTTAAATCATATGGACATTTAGTTTACCTACTCCATTACCACTCTCCCGCCTCTGTCTCCCTTTTCTGACTCTCTCTCCCCCGAGACGCTTCGCTTGGATCAGAAGCTCTTGGACGGGGGCAATGGTACGGGCAATGGCGATCTCCGCCGTCCTCGCAGTCGCCTTCGTGATCCTCGCGACGGTTTGTGCGGCGGATAGCAAGGGTGAGCTCAGATTCCGTTCGTATTTTGCAGATAGAACGAGATGATGGATAAACTTCGTAGATTAGTTTCTGCGGTCTGCCTTGCTCACCGATACTGCAGCCCCGGCGGTATGGAAAGCAGTAGAATGCAATGCGTCCAGTTGATTCCGGGGACGCTGCATCGTTTTTCTGTGGCTTCCGTGGTCTTGTAATGCTTTCCACCGGATGAGGTATTTTGTGCCAGGTGGGATTCGATTTTCCTGCGCAGGATCTTGTCCTTCCGTTTGTGTTGGTGTGCAGAGGTAAATATCTAAATCCCGGTCGCGTTCGGAGCCTACAGGTTGGCTTCCTGGCATCATTCTCAGATGTCGGCGTGAGATAGGTTGACGTTGATTTCATCTTCGATAGGAGAGGAAATATTCTTCCTCTCTTCGTATAAGGGGTTTCCTCCTCAGATCCTGCACGCGAATCCCTCCTGGTGCGTCCACTGCGATCTTACAATGAATGATGTTGCATTCCATTACCTAGGGAAGCAATGACTCTTGATCCACTTATTCAATCAGATTTTCTCATTGCTCACAAATGACACGCTCATTGTAAGATTTGCACTTTTCCTCTAAGATCTTTCATAAACTTTGATTCAGTCATGGTGTTGGATCTCCAGATCACTCAGTCAGTGATCACAGAATCCACCTACTATGGCTTCCATACATCTTCTAATTGAATAGTAAGGCCATCTCGTTATTATCACACTTTCTTCTACTTCTTAGAAGATTCACCAAAAATTGCACAATTTTTGTACCCCCACTTGACGGTTGTGCCTTCGGTAGAAACTTGATTTTCCTCAGGCCTGAATCGGACGGACTGTTCCTGACTGTTCAGCTGGATCACCATAAGGAAGAAGTCATGAGTGTGATAAGTGTGTGACTGAAGTGGAGATTATCTGGGAACAACTTTGAATTTTCCTCCACTGCGTTGGGGTAAACATAACTCATTGATCTCTGCCTCTCAGATTAAATTTACAGGGATTGAAACAGATCAAATCTTGTGCATTCTGATGAAGATGGACTGTATCACTTGTGAATCTTCAGAAAGTTGCCTTATAGTAGGGACATCGTCGGTCTTGATGACCAGGTGATGTTGAAGCACATCAACATCATTGGCGTTCATCTGGCCTTGCACATTTACAGTTACACTCACAGATTCACCTTTCCCTTTATTGCTAAGTTGTGACCTATTTTATCACTGCATGGGGGAGCGAATCAGATTCTGCTATTTTTTTGTTTGTGAACTGAATCTATACCCCTATCTGCATAGATTCTGTACTCACATGAAACGCATGCTACGACATATTATCATCGTTTGGGCATTGAAACATGCTATTATTGAACATGAGGCTCATAGCTACCACGGATCTTCTTCAGCATTCATGAGACTCACAGCGTCTGCTTTGGATAAAAATTGCTTTCCTGCGCATTCATCTTTTCCCTCCCTACTCTCATTGTTGAAACCTGAGACCATGAGTGATATCATCTTACACACTATATATATATGTTTATATATACATATAAAGGTGATGCTTTTAGAAAACCCGATTGGGGGGGTGGGCATATAAATTCTTGTTTGGTTAATGCATCGGAGTATTCCCACACCTTTCCCTACCCCAAATTTTGTTTTTTATTCTTCTGGGTGCAAATCTTGGAAGAGACGACATCCTAAATTCGTGGAGGAACAGCTTCAGTCGGAAGAGAAATAAGCCACTTGCCTGCCATGACCGGCCGGCAGACGAAACAATGGACCTCATTCTCTTCTGCTCCTCTGCAACAGGTAATCCAGCCGATGATCTCGTGGCGGCCATCAACAGCAATCGCAGCGCCCACAAGTCCAGCGTCCTCATCGCCAACCCTGGCCTCGGCTGCCTTGCTCTCCAATACATCAAGGCCTACGAAGGTCAATGCGGCGACGTCGGCGCCAGTGGGAAGAAACCCGCCAACTCCAACTTTGCAGACACTTTCGCTCCCGCCTGTGGGGTCGTGGCATCGACCCTCGCCCCTCTCACTGGAAGGTTGCTCGGCTGCCAGACCAACTACGTCACTCCGTCGCAGGCCTTCTCCGACATCCTGATACACAACAGCGGGAGCCTGGAGATCCTCTACAGCAAGAATCACACCCAGGTCGGCGCCGCCGTCAGCGGAACCGACGGCGGGTCGCCCTACTTCTGGTGCATCCTGTTCAGCGGGGGAAAGTCCAACGCCACCTTCGTCTTGGACGACGGCGCGCCGAAGACGGTGAGACCCGGGTGCTTCAGCGGCGCCAACGACGACTGCAGCGGCGCCGCCGCCGCCCTGGGCCGTCTCCGCCTCTGGAGCCTTCTGCTTCCCGGGATCATGGTGGCTCTGTTTTACAGTCTCGGCTTGTGAGGGGACGAATTCAGAATCGTTCTCTTAGTTTGGAATGTATCTTGTTGAAAACTTGATCCTGCAAGATCGCCCCCTGCCATTCTTTGGACCAGTGGAATCCTCCTGTACTTTCAGTCGTTTCAGTCATCTGTTGTTGGTCTGCGGCAAAAGGTTGATGATGATGGATTGGTCTCTCTCTCTCTCTCTAAAAGATTTGGAGGCTAAAAGAGCGATCTTGGGGGGGCAAGTCGAGTGATGGGCTCTGTTGTAAACCAGACTCCTCCACAAGGTACGTTCCGTTCGCTGTGCCCACCAACACCCACCCAGAACTCGTGTCCGATTTTTCCGTGATCAAATCGCCGGAGCCGCCGCCTTCCAGGCGAAGTACCCGCGGAGCGCGGCGGAGAGGAAGTTCAGGCGGAAGCGCAGCGGTGCGAGAAAGATGGACGGAAGTAACGGAATCGCTTCCAAACGCGCGACTTCCCAGAGCAAAACTTGTCAACGCCTTCGGTGGACCACTAGGATGGATTTACATACAATCGCAGCCGTCAATCGCTCTCGTCGATTCGTCTCCTATCCAAGGATCTCAACAGATCACCGTCTGATGGGCCCGGTGACGGGCTCCTCGTGATCCTACGTGGCGCATTCTGGTACACTCTTGTAGGGAGGGGTGGTAACCGGTTGGTTTATTACATATTTACCTTAAAATGTATTGATAATTACTTAACATTATAAGAAGTAAAACAGATTGGAAGAGGGTAAAAATGTCAAATGTACAAGACCACCCTTCCTCGTCAGTTGGGAGAGGGATTTAAAAGCTCGGAACTCTGCTCGTGGTCATCGTGGCCATGGAGGAGCTCCTCTGAGGAGGATAATCAGCAGCATCATCCCCGAGTTCGAGGTCTGAAGGGCTTCCTACTGGTTTCTGATTTACTTCGGGAGCCGAAGGAGAGGAGGGGCGGTGATGGCTGTGGCCGTTCCCCGGCCATCTGCTCTCCGGGGAGTCCCCGGACGCCGATACGGGTTCCGGCCGCCGAGCCGGGGGATCTTCGTCTCGATGTGAGTTACAAGGAGTCTCGTCGTTGGGAGGGCTACGTTTCGCATCTATTGGTTCGTCGGGGGTGCATGAAACATGGTCGTCTTCTTCCACGGCCTGACGTATTCAGGGATGCCGCGGAGGTTAACCAATGCACGGGGATTTGCGTGGGTTTAACCGGTTTATTCTATTTTTCAGGGGAGATTCTTCGATGTTTTCCCGTCCGCAGAAAGGAGGCGACAATGAGACCTCGCCGGGGACTTATAATCCATCTTTGGCTTCCCTTCTCGGAAAATCCACCCATGCTGACCTCCGCTTGGATAGGCTACAGCCCCTTGACCTGGAAAGCAGATGCAGGCTCAAGAGAGTCTTTGGACGTTTCGTCGCCCGGGAGGCCTTGTTAGAGGAGGAACTCTGGGTGAGACTCTCCATCAACACAAGACTTATAGCTGAGCTCGAATCTTAGATTGTAATTTTAAGCTCTTCTTTCCTTATCTTCACACATTGTAGTTTAGGCATGGATTCAATCATTAAATCTCTTTGAAGATCTTGAAATTTCAATGTTCTGGTTCATGCTAGACGGCATCATGGCTAAGGGCTGAAAGTCATTGGGAGGATCAACCTTATTTGCGGTTAGTGTAATGATCACTGGAGCACAAGTCTAATTGTACACCTTTTTTCTTCATATACTGCCCATTTCCAAGTCCTTTAGTTGACATTTTTATAGAATATTAGTCGAAGGAATGCTGATTCCAATGAGTCTCGCCTGCAGGTACGTAAAGAACTATAAGAAGAAGTTCGCCGAGCAGGTGATCATCGTGCATCATCTTTTCCGTTCTATTTAACAAATCATATCACTGATAAAAGGAACTCAGTTCTCAAAGACACAGGATTAGCCAGAATTCGCAAAGTCTTCAATATTCGAGATGATCATATCTGAAGAAAAGCCAGTGTGCGTGAGTAACCATTAAATCCACAAGTAGACGTTGCCATCTCTAAAGCATCACAACACAATGAGAATAACCTTGACATCAGTTTCATCAATGAGATCTTGGAGATGGTTTTGTCTTGCAGAGGTTTCTGTTGCCATTATTCCATGAAGTGGCCCTTGGGTGGTTTTTTTTCTTTTTTTCCTATCTACTAATGACCAGGTTTTCTCGTTTTGTTTCAGGAATTTGCTGCATTAAAGAGAAGGTGCAGCGAACAGAATGCAGAAAAGTGCACTTGCATCGTTGTGGTATGGTTCTGTGCATCCTCCTGAAATTGCAAGCAATTAGTTTCAGTCACCCATTCAGTCGTTTCATGGGCGGTGCAGTATTCGTCTTCAAATTTTTGACTGATGATCATACAGGAAGGTGACGAAGAGTCCACCAGAACTCGATAGCTCTGGCCTGGTTGGTTTTAAGATGGAGCACACTCAATTTTCTCTTGAAATTGTTGAGTACTGCAAACCCAATTGAGGAAACCTTTTGCGTTGGAACGCTGACATGGAGCAAGAAATACATGGCGCTCCTTTTAATCTTCATTCCCTATACCATTTTCATAATTACTCCTTTCGTTTGCAAGAACTATCAAATTTTAGTTAAACTGGCGATTTACACGGATAATCTCTGGAAATCAATGTTTTACATCTTCTGATGAACATATTATTGCCTGGGAAATTTAGAGATAAATGTTATATGAGATGGTGCTACTGTGGGTCGTCTATTTTCGCCGAATATACGAGGTGAATCAATGTGTTTTTCTGATATTTTCAACAAAGCCAGGTAAAGAGAGGAGAGAAGGACGTGAAGCGGACCGTACTGAACAGTGTTGTCGGATCTCTGGACATAAGCGTACGCTTTCTCTTACGTGGAGAGACATATCCCGGTGTACGGTTACGTCCCAAGGAGCTTCTACCAATTAAGCTCGATTATTTTACCTCGTTGCCAATAACATGACTGATGCTTTGTGCGTGTTCCTTCTCCAACAACAGGAACGAGCGACAAATTTCTTCTCTAACGTCTACAGAGGAGATGGCGCCAGGTATGGCTACATAGCAAACCTGTGTGTCGCAAAATGTGCACGCCGACAAGGGATTGGCAGCAACATGCTCTACCTAGCCATTGAAGCTGCGAAATCAGATGGTACTCCAATTGGTTTGGCTCTCTGCTTTGGGAATCCTGGCCAAACTTTATAAATGATACATTATATATGCCGGATGCTCAAATGGCAGGTGTTGACCAGATATTTGTGCATGTGGATAGAGAGAATGCAGCAGCCCAGAAGCTATATGCGAAGCTGGGATTCCAGGTGAGCAGCCCCCACTATCCCCTGTACAGGTGTTAATCCCGCAGATTCTGTAGGTCTGGTTCGTCTGATTTCCCATGTAAACCACTGTACAGGTGATCGAGCTCGCCCCTTCTCACCCCCTGGGAGAACAGAAGTGCCTGATGCGCTTGAACTGTTAAGCTTACTCATCTTTCTTTCTTCTGAACTCTCTCTCTCTTCAAATGTAAAAATGTTATATATTTTGAGATATTTCTCCGCACAACAAGGAACCCATTTGGGTGTATAAATGTTTTGTGCTATCCTCTATGTTCTTTGCTGTTCTAACTTGTTTTTATTTTTTTTGAGAGAGAAAAAAGTCAAAGAGTTCTTCGATGATTTTGTTCCATTTGATGCGGACCATGTTTAGAACGTCGTAGATTTTGCACAGGGAAGAGAGAGACTAGAAACATCAAATTGGGTCACTCAGACTCCATTAGTGTATCAAAGAATGCAGAAAACACATTCCTTTGGAAGCAACGGCAGCAACAAAAGCCTCGGAGTTCCTCTTTCTCAGTCCTGGCCTGTGGCCTGCTCGCCAGCGCCATCACTCTTAGCTCTCCTCCGGCAGATCCTCCTCACCCACTTCTCCTGCATCGTCGTGAGGCTCATCGGCGGCGCCGCCGCCGCAGAACAGGAGACGCCACCGGCGGAGGGCAGCTCAACAGGTAGCGCGGCCGCCGTGCTCTGGAAGGCGTTCAGCACCAGGAAGGCCAGAATCGGCGAAAGATCCAGCCCCCCTACCGGCGGGATGATCCCTCGGAAGATGTTCAGGTAGGGATCGCAGAGAGTGCTGCACCAAAATTCAATCTTCAGCGATCGGAGCCACCGGTGGCGGCTGGGCAGCGGCAGCGGCGGCGGCGTACCTGAGAGGGGCGACCACGGCCGGAGGAGCGTTGGGGAACCAGGTCAGCACCAGCCGGACCACGAGCAGGGTGTTGTAGATGTTCAAGAAGTTTGTGATGCCGTTGGCTACCACGAGGCCCGCTACCGAGTCCCCCGGCAGCACGGCGGCGAAGCCCTGCGCCGAGAGGGAACTCGGGGAGGCGGAGCTCCTGCAGTTCACCTGAAAACGAAGTGAGATCAGGCTCTGCCCGGAGGAGGAGGAGGAGGAGGAGGGTTTTACCTGGCAGAAGCGCTGGAATTCGGCCGGAATGCGGAGGACAGTAGCGAGGAGGCCGTCGCCGACGACAGCCGCGGCCACCGCCCGGCAGCTCCGCTCCAAGGCGGCGGCCATGGCGGCGTGTAAGCCCCAGAGCTCCCCCACGAGGGCGGCGAGCGGCGGCTTTGCCGGCCGCCGGCGAGCGGCGGAGGAGGGCATGGGAATGTGCCGGAGCGCCGACGAGATGAGGCAGTCACCTATCGGCAGCGGCGGCCTCCCGTCCGTGGTCTCCTTCGCCGCCGGAGCATGGGGAAGAGGAGCCATTCGACCCCCCGTCGGAGGATGAGGAAGAAGAAGAGCAGCAGCAGCGGCGGGGAAGATGGCCGAGTAGAAGTGGATAACGTTGATCCGTCGATGACCGCGCGGGCGTCCTTGACCGTCAGATATGGATGGCTGGAGGCCGTCCGTTGGATCCACTTAGCTGGCGAATCTGGGGCCCATAGTAATCGTGTCAGATCGAGGTCTGGCCACGTCACTAATGAGCTGGCCTCATTGCCACGATGTATGCCACGTCAGCTAGCGACGGAACCTCATCCGGGTTCCCAACGTCTGGCTCCGAATGACTCCGAGAATGCGTGGCCGCCGTGGGGGATAAATAAATACAAAATAAATACATAATAAAATTGGACCCACTCTCTCTCTCCCTCTCCCTCTCCCTCTCTCTCTCGCTCGCTCCGTGGAACACGTGCGAGTTCCGTGTCGGTCTCATCTTCAACGGAGTACGTTGCCTGGCGTTTGCTCCGGGAGTGTCCTCCAATCAGATTCTCAGGTTCGGATTCAAATCACACGTGGCTACCCTTCGCGTCTCCTCCCTTCGTGGCAAGTTTCTTCCTCCTCGTGCGCCGGTCGTGGTTCAGAGATCTCCCAGAGAGGTGAAGACGAGCAGAGGGGGAGATCACCGACCTGAGCTCCTCCCTTCTTCTTCCCTTCCTTCTTTCTCTCTCTCTCTCTCTCTTTCTCTCTCTCTCTCTCTTTCTCTCTCCTTCTCATGGCGACCCATCTCCTGCGTCCGACCCAACCTCCGAGCCTCAATCGCTGCCAGGCAATCGCGGCGGCCAAATTCCTCAATGAGTGCCTCCCTCGCCGGCTGCCGAGTCTGCTCCCATGGCCCCGCACGGCTAGATATGTCACAAGGCCTCTGCACCGCAGGCTTCTTCGAGCCAAGGCCGTGGACATCGGCGCGCCGTCACAGGAGTCGCAGATCCCTCCCCCATCGGCCGCGGTAGGTTCCTCGTTCCTCCTGGAAGTTGGTGGAATGATGTGCGGCGGATGTTCCATGCGCGTGAAAACTGTCCTCTCTTCCGACGAGCGGGTGGACTCCGTGGTGGTGAATATGCTCATGGGGACCGCGGCGGTGCGTCTGAGAACCGGGGTGGACGGCGAGGCGCGGGTTGCGGAGGAGCTGGCCGAGAGGCTGACGGATTGCGGTTTCCCGACGAAGAAGAGGATCCTGGGCGTGGGCGTGGGGGAGAACGTGAGGAAATGGAAGGAGGCGGCGGCGAGGAAGGAGGAGCTGGTAGTGCGGAACCGGAACCGGGTGGCGCTCGCCTGGACGCTAGTGGCGCTCTGCTGCGGGTCGCACGCTTCGCACATCCTGCACTCGTTCAACATCCATGTCGCCCACGGTAGGTACGGTATTGGGCGGTCCTAATTGTCAGCGGGCTATTTCATCAATAAATTCCCTGGTATACACTACTAGTTTCAGCGAATTATGACCTGACATTTCTCATAATTCTAGAATGCAATGATTTGTACGAACTAATTTCTAGCTTCGCTTGTGTGTGTGTTCTAGGAACTTTTTTGGACCTACTGCACAATTCCTACATAAAATGTGGTGTCGCTGTCACCTCATTGCTCGGACCTGGTAGAGGTAAGTTACTAGCTAAAGTGCTTTCCCTGTTATCATCATTATCGGTTCCGTTGACAATAACTAAGTCGTCTTTACGTGGTTATATTTTCTTTCTGTATAATCTTCTGAACCCTCTGTTCTTTCTTCCAACCCAGACCGGCAAACTTTCGGTGATTTAGGAGAGTTTTCAATGTTATGGAGGACGCAGTAAAACGAATACTTTTCGGAATGGAATAAAAATGAATGAGCCAATTATACGATATATGATATCTTGATGGGGTCTTATCTGAAATTCTTTGAAGCTATTTGGAACACTGCTGTTTTTTTTACTTTCTGATATACTAAGTAGAAGAGAGAATGGAATGTGGGAGAAGTTCCTTAGGTTATCGACATATTTTATCTGCAGGAATTACAGACCGAAGGGATTACCATGCCCAAGCCTTGGCTAGCTGTTGATCATTTGTTAATTCAAAAATCTGGGTTTTCTGATTAGAGGAATCCTTGGAGGCTGTTGAGATCAGCTGCAGGAGTATATTCCTGAGTTGCTCTTGTTGCTCTGTTTGTCTGGAATATCCTCATATCCTCTTGTTTTTTTCCTACCGTATTGCAGACGTCGTAGTTAGTGTTGAAAAGTGTCAATATACCTTATCTCATTGGCGACCATTTTATATATTGTAGATTCTGATCAGATCCGTCGCATCAAGGCTACACACCTTTTTCATTCTAATATGACATGACAAAAATCCAACTTAGTAATTGAGTTCCATTCCATTTGGATGCAGCTTTACTCGTGGATGGTCTCAGAGCTTTCAGAAAAGGATCCCCAAATATGAATTCCCTAGTGGGTTTTGGATCCATAGCAGCGTTCTTCTTAAGCGCTGTAAGATCTCTCTAACAAGCTGAATCATCGAAGTTATAACTATAACCTTTAGGAAAGACTGCGTTTCAGCTTTGTTGTGAAGCACCTTACTGTATTTGTTACAGGTCTCCCTGCTCAATCCTGGGCTTGAATGGGAAGCATCGTTTTTTGATGAACCGGTGAGTTCTTTTATTTTTTTGGAAAATACAATGCTAATTTTTGGTCATTGAAAAGGTCAGTCTGATGTTGAATCATACAAAATCGGTAGATGGTCCATGTTAGTTACTACATTGCAAATGGGATAGGTATCTAGTTGGATCACGCAGCTAAATTCAGCACTCTCATTTTAAAATTTATACGTTTTCTTCTCTGAAAAACTAATTTGCAGGGGTAACTTTTCCCATGAAAACTAAAGAGAGAGAGAGAGAGAGAGAGAGATGGGGTGGGGGGTTGTTTGTGTGTGGAGGCTGGAAAAGAGAGGGCTAAGCAAACACATATGAGTTCATTATTTGAACGTGTAGCGTATGATTAATATCACACACGCCATGCTAGTCTTGATCTGTTCTGTCGTTATTCATGGCATTTTTTTACCATGCAGGTAATGCTTCTTGGTTTTGTGCTTCTTGGTCGCTCTCTTGAGGAAAGGGCCAGGCTAAGTGCCTCCAGTGATATGAATGAACTTTTGGTAAATTCGTATTTTCTCATATATTTCCCTCTGAAATTTATCTGAAAGGCTGGATTTTAATTTTGGATAAATTTTTTTATTTAGCTGGCATATTTGGTTTTTTTCAATCCAGTGAATTGGGCTTTGATACACTCAATCGTTGGCTTTTGAAGAATTCCAATAATGATGGATTTCCAATCATATACATAAACTCTTTTGTATGTCTGCTATCATTTTCCCCCCATATATGATTTCAATACCCACATTTGGACCTTTTTCTTGTGTTTAAAACTTCATACGCTTCACAGGTTATTGTATACACCCTTTTCTTAGTTAACCTGTCCTTGTCTGGCGGTTTTTCTATTTGCCAAAATATAGCCAAGAATCTGAGATGCCATTAGATGATCCTCCCATTCCTGTGTCTATCCACTGGTGTTTTGCGATGGCCAGGACATTTTTATTCTTGTTTCTTACCACTTTTTATTAGTTGAAATGTAAATAACGGCTTGCTCTTGTTTTGTGCAGTCACTGGTATCCTCTCAGTCCCGTTTGATAGTGACTTCTATAGAAGATGATCCATCAGAGAGTGTCATCAGTGCTGATACAATTTGTGTAGAAGTCCCCACAGATGATGTTCGTGTTGGAGACTCCATTGTGGTTCTTCCTGGCGAAACTATACCTGTAGATGTATGTCATAAGCAGAAAGCCATTTTTTTATTACCATTTAGTTGTTTTTCTATCATTTATTTTATGATTCTGATCTGTTTGATTTAATGAACGTGCAAGAATTCTGCTGCTGCTCTGATAAATATGTCTAGAAATCCAATGTCTAAGATGACGAATCTTTCACATACTCGTTAACCTGATTCTTTGGCATCCAAGGATTGATTTTTATTGAAAGAATGAAATTTGGATGCAGTTAATATGGATGCAGCTTGTAAGGGCCTTTTAGAATTTCTTTGCTATTCTCTTAGCACTTCTCACTCTTCCTTGCTTTTCCCATTTTTCGTTATTTTTACATTTTTTGGTTTCGTCCCAACGTCTGGTATTGGTTGTGATCCAAATGTAGAGATGTAATCAAAATATCAGATAAAGTAATTGGATTTCATGCTTGGAGTGAGCTTTATACTTACTCGGTCCAATAAGAATACAGGTTTGTAAATCCTATCCACTCTAGCAATGCCATGAATCGGCCTACAGAATCTTGTGATAATCCAACAATATGCTTGGTAATCTATCAGATCATGTTTTAGGTGTAAAGGTTGCCATTCGCATTCTATGTGGTCTGTATTAAAGTTTCAAAATGCTTGAAGGTCTCGAAATCCTTCCCCCCCCCCGACTTCCAGCAATTCAAGGCCAATGTATATGGTTTTGCGATTTTTTTCTCTATAGAAAAAAAATCCATTTTGTGGTTCAAGTGACAAAATATGCAGTATGAAATAGTTTTGTAGTTATGAAGTTGTGCCTGACGGTCATTTGGCTGACAAGTATCTTGGGTTTTTCGAATACGATCCAGTGTCTTTGAACTTAAATCCTGTCTTGAGGATCTTGTGGATTTCTGAATGCTAGTGGTAGGAGAATGTAAGAGATGACTTTACTCTGTTTTACTAGAAACATTCATTTTTACTGATATTCATGTCTTGCGTTTCTCAATCTAGTCCGGCTCAGTAGTTTTTTTCCAACCTATAAGGTCCTTCATACGTTATTATTGACCGTTTTTGCCTGTATGTTGGTTGGTGGTGGGTGTCATTTTTAATTGATGATAAACGCCGCCAGCTAACCCTCACTAAAATCATCATGCCCATTTGGTTTAGTGTAAATGTATATTGAGACGCAAATATGTTTCGAGAGGCAAGCCAAATGTTTTTATGCACTGAAATCTATTAACTGTTTTATTGATATTGCTCTTCTCAAAAATGTTCTTGGCTGACTTCCTCTCAGGGCAAGGTTGTTGCTGGAAGAAGTGTTGTTGATGAATCCATGCTCACAGGAGAGTCTCTCCCTGTATTTAAGGAAAAAGGCCTGACCGTTTCCGCTGGAACAATAAATTGGGTATTGTTCTTGACTGCTGTTTGATTCTTCGTCATATAAAGTTTAATTTTTTTTGTGATGAATAGGGAAAGAAAATCTCATATTAATAACATATAGCACGTTTTTTTCGCAGGATGGCCCTTTAAGAATCGAAGCTTCAACAACAGGTGCTATGTCAACAATTTCCAAGATTATTCGTATGGTGGGTATATTTTATTCTAATAATTTCAGAATTATGCGGATTATACCAAACAATTTATATTGACCGTCTACAGGTTGAGGATGCACAAGGCCGTGAAGCACCCATTCAAAGGGCTGCAGATAAAATAGCAGGACCTTTTGTGTACAGTGTGATGATGTTATCAGGTGCTACATTTGCTTTCTGGTGAGTTTTTGAATTTCCATCGCAGAAGGTTATCAGTTCAGCGTGCATCTGGTGGCATAAATATCATATTTGATGTTACCAAACTCGTTGACAGGATCCATGTCCAGGAACCAATTGAATAGGTTTTGATCAAAGATAATGACGATTTATTCATCTCTTTCCTACTAACAGATTTCTAAAGATTTTTCTCGAAATGAGTGATGAAAATTAATCGAAATTAGAAGTGAAAATTGAAATTGTGGAGCATTTTCCTTATAAATAAATTATATATTTCTGAAAAAATATCCCTCAATACATAAAGTAACGATCTTAGAATCTGTCTTGTCCAATTTTTTTACAGAGGAGATAACATTCTTCCAGTATTTTCGAGACTTAGAATATGAAATTTTCCATTCCATTGTAACCAGTTATTTCTCAAACACATGGTCTCCCCCTCTTCTCCATGATAAGATATCCTTGGAACGAATCCTTTTTCAAAATATACTCTTCATTACCCTCGTTCATATGAATTATTAGTTTTCACTTACCTGATCGAAAGCATTGACCACTATTCTCGTTTCTTGCTATTCGAGTTCAATGTGAAGTTCCCGACCTGTCATGCCTAGCAAGAGAGAGGATTATTATCACTGATCGTGAGGAACTTGTACTTTTTTTTATCTCTATGATCTAACCTCCCTTCTGCAAATTCTTAGGTATTATGTGGGATCAAACATTTTCCCCGATGTCCTGCTCAATGATATAGCAGGGCCTGATGGGAACTCATTGCTCTTAAGCTTGAAGCTTGCTGTAGATGTTCTGGTGAGTATGGGACGATCGATCGATCGACATCTTAGACAATAATCGCATTCTTTTTACGATAATCGAGCTGTTGATTCTGCTTTTCTTAAGCTTTCTTTGTCCATTCAATCCCCATATGTTATTGTAAAGGCATTAATGTAATCATTTTTTAGTCGTATATTAAACTTAATGAAACAAAAATAGGCAGTGAACTATTCCTTATAAATGTGAATAATAATGATCTAATTTCCAAGATTGAACAGGTATTTAAGCCCAAAAAGAAACGTCTCAGATGCTCTTTGGTATTTAATTCTCAATATCGTTCCTTGTACTAATGTTCAGGTGGTGTCTTGCCCCTGCGCGCTGGGACTGGCCACTCCGACGGCTATTCTAGTCGGCACATCTCTCGGTAATCATCTATTTATCTGTCCCCGCTTCGTCCCATCTTTCAATCACTTAACTGCATTTCTTTTCTCTTGGAACTCGCGGGCAGGAGCCAAGCAGGGGCTTTTGATACGCGGCGGAGACGTGCTGGAACGTTTGGCTGGCGTAGACACCGTCGCGCTGGATAAGGTACCCCCTCAACCCCGGTCACCGTTGACTCGAGCTTCAGATGCCCAATAAAGTAAAATGCGCGCCGCCCATGCTGTGTCTCAGACAGGAACGTTGACGGAGGGAAAGCCGGCCGTCTTGGCGACGGCGTCCCTGGCTCATGAAGGCACCGAAGTTCTTCGCTTGGCTGCTGCAGTGGAGAAGACGGCTTCCCATCCGATCGCCAGAGCTATCCTCCGCAAAGCTGAAGCCCTGGACTTGGAGATCCCCAGCACGAGAGGGCAGTTGACAGAGCCCGGTTTTGGATCCATGGCGGAAGTGGACGGATCCTTGGTTGCAGTTGGCAAGCTGGAATGGGTACACCAGTGCTTCCAGTACAAGTCGTCGGAGCTCGATTTGAAGGATCTGCAGGCCCGCATCGCCGAGCTGTCGTCCGAGAAGGCGTTGGCATCTAATTACTCGAATTCAGTTGCTTATGTGGGGCGTGAAGGAGAAGGCGTGATAGGGGCCATTGCAGTGTCCGACATCTTACGCCAGGATGCAAAGTCAACGATAAGCAGGTATTCAACTAATCTTACACCCCATTGATTCATCTATTCCTTGAAAAAAAAAGGTTAAAAAAATACATATGGGGTTCATTGACTTTTCGTTTTAGAACAGAGGAATTATTATCAGTGATAAAATGAATTGTCCAGAATGTATATATATATATATATTCTTCTTTATTCCGGTATTTGTCTGTTCAGACAAAGTCAACCAGTTATTAGATTCTCCCTGATGCTAGGGACCAACTGTGCTTTAACCCATAAAAGTCAACCTACATTGGTTTTCCCATTCACTGAAAAAGGAAACCAAAAAAAATAATCGGGAACCCATACCATGTAAGAACACCAGCCATTCAACTCATGTAAGTCAACGGTAGGCAGATATTCATCCAATCTTGACTCGTCTATTCATTGAAAAAAAAAACAACTTTTTTAATCCAAAAAATTATCCCATATATAAGAATAAAAAGATCCATTTCAACTTTTTTGTTCTTCCTGCATTATCTGGTGATGATCCTTCCTTGGGCCTCCAGACTCCATGAAAAGAGCATCAAGACCATCCTCCTATCCGGCGACCGCGAGGAAGCGGTGGGCGAGGTCGGCAGGGCGGTCGGAATCTCAGGCGAGAGCATCCGCGCCACTCAGACTCCGGAGGCCAAGTCCAGGTTCATCTCAGCCTTACAGGCCGAAGGCCACCATGTGGCCATGGTAATCACTATTTCTTTCTCCCCTTCCTTTTTTTTTCTCTGTTCATGGCATGTGATCCTCTTTACGATCATCTTCTTCGCCCGTTTGCATCTCCGAAGGTCGGCGACGGCATCAATGACGCGCCGTCGATGGCCATCGCCAACGTCGGGATCGCGTTGCAGCTCGAGTCCAAGGAGAACGCCGCCTCCGACGCGGCCTCGGTGGTTCTGCTCGGCAACAGGCTCTCCCAGGCACAGACCGAAAAACCCTAACACACCAACCACCCCTCATCTAGCTCTGATTCGCTGCTTGCTCCTCCTGCAGCTGGTGGACGCCATAGACCTCTCCCGTGCCACCATCGCCAAGGTTCACCAGAACCTCGCGTGGGCCGTCGCGTACAACCTCGTCGCCATCCCCATCGCCGCCGGGGCGCTCCTCCCTCCCCTCGATTTCGCCATGACACCATCTCTCTCAGGTGAATCCCATCATCTACATATTGTCATGCAGAACTTTACATAACAAGCAATGGTGGCACTGTTTTGCTCATGGGCAGGAGGGTTGATGGCGCTTAGCTCCATCTTCGTCGTGACGAACTCGCTGCTCCTGAGACTCCACAGCCCGACCTCCAAATCCAGTTGATGGAAGGCAGCAGGACTCGATGCCCACAGACCGGAGTTCCAGCCGGTGCAATCTCTGTCTTCATCTCTCTATCTGTAGATCACTTTCTCTCTCTATCTCTGCCCAGGGTCTCTCCGGCGCGCCCATAAGCTGCTGCCTGTCAGGGTAAGCAGTTCACGAGTGTGGATGTGATGGGTTGACATGGAATTGATGTGTCTCAGCTTTCTCATTAATCAGAGCTCTGGCATGTCAGACCCCCCATCCCCCCCCCTCTCTCTCGCTCTAAACAGCAAGGACTGTACTGCATGGATGATGCCGCCCTCCGGGGCGTGGCCTGCCTGCGGCAGGGAGCAGAGCGCAAGGTGCACGACGCAGAGCGATGTGACCCCCCGGCGTCAAATCTTGCGCGGCATCCAGATAAATGAGGAATTTGTTGGGCCGGCCCACTATGAATGGGCCCATTATGTTCATCCCGTCGCGGAAAGTGGGTCTTGGTGGGGTCCATGTATCATCCGATATCGGGACCATTCTTTTTTAAATTACATACAGATCCCTATTTTCGTGCCGCGGCTGGTATTTAGGATATATGTATAATGCCGGAAGATGGAAGAGTGGGGTTATTGGCGTGCGGGCCCGGCCAGCAGGTCCTTGCCTGTCACGTGACCGCTGCCAGTTTCGGGGTCCCCACGAGAGTACGTGGGCCCCCGCCTTATATACGACTCTCCACGTCAGCATTTGGCGCTGCTGCACACCAAGCTCGGCCCGAGCCATCATCGACTGCAATCTACCTTTTCTGAAGAGATATTTGAGGATATCTCCGCAAAACCGGCGGCCCAAGTGACATTCACCCGTCCGGGAATTTTAGATTATAACCCTTGAAAAAGCAACATTTATAGTAATAGGTCGGCTCAACTGGGCCCGCTATTTCCTCATGAGGCCCGCCAGCTTGCTGGGAGGCGGCGGCGGCGGCGGCAGCCCACGTTGCAGAAAGGCTGCGGCGGCCGTCCCTTCCCTCCCCTCTTTTGTCTCATCTCTCCTAGCCACTTCATCACCGGCCATCCCGTAGACGCAAGATCGGACGGCCAGGAGTCGATTGATCGTACGGTTCCACATGGGGAAAGCTGCAGTACCCGCGTCCACCGTCACAATCGGGCCACATGATTGAATGGATCCGATAAGCCCATCCCCCCACCCCTTTAAATGCCGACGCCAGGTGTATTATTTCTTCTGTCTGTCTATATCTCCCTACTCGCACGTGGTAGTTAATGACGTTAGCGAGAGAGAGAGAGAGAGAGAGAGGAGTAAAAATAGGAAGAAGAGGTGAGTATATCAGAAAGCTAACGGCGTCAGACAACGACATCTTCTGATGGGGGGGCCCAAGAGGGCGGGGTTTTCCTTCCCGAGGAGGTCGGTGAGCTTTATTTCCCCCTCAGACGGTGACCAGCTCCAGAAGGAAGTTCAGGGGTGACGGCGCCGTTTGAGAATTGACGGCGTGGGGACCGCCGTCAGGGATCACGGACGGCGGGAAGGGGAAATGCGGATCGGAAGAGGATCCGGTGGTCTGGTCAGATCTGCTGCTTCATTTGGCGTACGATCGCCATCGGACGGCCGTCAGTTGGCCCTGACGGCCTCTCCGAGAGAGGAAGGCCATTTAAATCCGGTCAGCGTACGTCCAGAGAGGTCACGAGAGTCTTTAACTCTGGTCGGTGATCGTACTGGCGGTGAACTAACCGCGGCCTAGAGGGGGCGAGAGAGAGAGAGAGAGAGGGAAAGGACGTGGAGTAGATAGATAGAGCAGTAGAGCCAGAGGAGCAGCAGCAGCAGCGCAGAGTGGGCTGCAGGCCGCTCTGCTGCATGCAGACGCGACGTCCCTTCGCGGGCGGCGATGTGGTTACCACCACCCCTCTAAAGTTTGAGAGAGAGAGGGAGGGAGGATTTGTGTGAGGGTGCAATCGTGTTTGGAAACGATTCCGTTCGGTTGGAGATTCCAACGACCGGAATCGGATTTCGCAAGGGGGGGTGGGGGGCCCGAACCTGCGTGGGAAATTTTCCTTTATCTCTTTACTCCCGCTCTTAACTCCTTTAACCTGTAACAACCTAGAGGGAGAAAGAGAAGACATAGAGAGAGGATTTATCTAGAGAGAGAGAGAGACGGCAGGTAGATGTGACCCGACAGCAGCGAGCGCGAGCTCTTCGTGATCCCTCTTTCTCATCCATCAGATATATCAGAAACACGACACCATCTCTCTCTCTCTCTCTCTATCTCTTCCCTCTACTCTCTCTCTTACTGGCTGCTCACCCGCTGGCGGCTGAAACCTTGTCAGTAGTGTCTCACATCGCGCTCTCTCCCAAGCTTCTCCCGCCCCTCGCACAGGAGAGACGTCAGAACCCTCCCGGAGCTCCACTCCGCCGGCATTAATGCGTTGACGGCCCCAGCTTGCGCTCTATCATATTCATGCGCTGCTTCGCTCTTCTCTCTCTCTATCTCTAACCCCCGGCCTGTGGTATCGCCTGTGCGGAGGCCGGACCTGACGTCTCTCTCTTTCTTTCTCTCTCTCACTTCGTTCGTCTCGGGGGATGCTGCGGTCCCCCGTGGTTACCGTGATACGTCTTGCGAGGTGTTGCTGGTGAGCTGTCGGTCGGCTTTGCCGTGGGGAGGGATCTTCGTGGAGCTGTTTGGATGTCCTATGGCGGAGTTTACCCCCCGGAGTGAGCGTTGGAGCAGGTTCCATTCCAGTGGCTTCAAATGAGGAAAGCTCCATTATGTAGCGGTGGTGGCGGGGGTCTCATGGGATGGGGAGCGAGCGGATTGTTCGAGAGTGTGGAGTTCTACTACGCTGGTTCCATCTGAAATGTAGTATGAGCGGCGGTCAAGGGTAGCCTTCGCGACATATTCACCCTTCGCGAGGAGGACGAGGAGGACGAGGAGGAAGAGGAGATCAGCTTGCGGTGTTGAGAAGGGATGGCTCTGCGGCGGAAGCTGCTGGTTCTTCTGGTCGTGGTTGCTGCTCTGGCCCCTGGCTTCTGCGTGTCCGACGACGGTAATCTCACTTTGCCTGCCCGCACTCGATAGTTTAGTTCTCAGTAGCGTGTACCGTTTACGCGGTGGAGATCCTCCAGTGAGGGCACTCGCAGCATCGAAGACTTTTTCGTAGGTGGCATAATCTATGGGCTGGGCTGCAGAACACTTCACAGTTACTCTGTTCTTGGGGAGTATGCTCTAATTTTTTATAGTATCTTTCCTGTTTGTTATACCTATTTTTCTATGGATCATTCACCTGGAATCTCGAGTAGTTTATTAATCCCCACAGCGCGAGGTTCGTGACGTTGAAGTTTTCTGCTGTTTGCGTCTGCATGTTCATTGGAGTTAATGATGAGCCCTACCTGTCTGAATGTTTGGCCGTTCCAGCCCGGTCCATTTAAGAGCTTCGGTCTTCTAATCTCTGAGTTTTTTTGGGTCTTCACCCTCTCTCGTTCTCGTTTTCCCACGTCCCTCTGGTCTCAGTGCTCATCATCGTATGTGACCTAGCAGTGACTTTTCGGTTTTCTTAGATGGGCATCAACGTTTGGTATTCATTCCTTTCTTTCCTTCGTCGAACCTTCTCTGGGTTGTTACTTCGTCGAACCAATCTATCTTCCTCCCTCTTACGATGCATTTCTGCTTTTCCTCCTAACATCTCTCTGCGACTTTTCTCTCTCTCTCTCTCTCTCTCTCTCTACATATGTATATGTCTATCTCTATGTCTATATCTATCTCTATCTCTCTGAACTGTTTGGCACGGGTATCGGTTTTACACTGACCGATTGGCTCTCTCTGTGTCTATATTTTTAGGTAAGACCCTTCTGGAGATCAAGAAGTCATTTCGTAACGTCGATAACATCCTCTACGATTGGACTGATGGTCCGGCCAGCGACTACTGCTCATGGAGGGGCGTAACATGTGACAACATGACCTTCGGTGTCGTTTCCCTGTAAGATTACTCTAGCTTTCTCTCTCTCTCTCTCATCCTTCGAGCGAGGTGGTCGTGTGAAGGTTGTTTGTACAATATGCATTTTCCGTTCACTCTGCGCATCATGGTAAATTTTTTACTTTATTTTTCAAATTGCAGTAATCTTTCTGGGTTAAATCTGGATGGAGAAATATCGCCAGCAATTGGGAACCTCAAAAGTCTTGTTAATCTGTAAGATTTCTACTAATCTCTCTCTCTTCTATCTCTCACACTCTCGCGCCCTCGCACATTAGTAGTTGCTGTTGGTATTAGCTTTGTATTAATATAATGCGGTTGAGTGATTCCATTTCTGGGCGGGTTGTTGTAGTGGCCTGAGCTAGAACGAGGTACACGTTGACACATTTTTGTTGTACTTCAACAGTGACCTCAGAGGAAATCGTCTCTCTGGACAGATTCCGGATGAGATTGGCGACTGTTCTCTTTTGACCGTTCTGTAAGTGAAGTTCTAGAAGCCATTATTTTTTCAACCCCAATTTTGATCAATGGTGGTTATTACGTGTGACTAGATTCGCTGCTGTTTGGAACCCTAACATGTCTTAGATGATGGTGTTATCACAGTGATTTGTCATTCAACAACTTAGATGGTGACATCCCGTTCTCAATTTCGAGGTTGAAGCAGCTGGATACGCTGTAAGTTTTTGGGTTTAAGAGTCTTAACGTCTTTCAGGCTTCCATTTATCTTGCTCGCGTACTCATCACATGCCTCTGCCTTTGTTTCTAGCATACTGAAGAATAACCAACTGATTGGTCCCATCCCTTCAACTCTGTCTCAGATTCCGAACTTGAAGATCATGTAAGCTGCCTTGTTTTGTCATGTGATGTTGGCCGTTTTTTTCTGACTGCTTATGCACTGACAACGTAAAAAAAAAATAGGGATCTTGCACAAAATCAGCTGAGTGGAGAAATACCTAGGCTCATTTACTGGAACGAAGTCTTGCAGTATTTGTAAGTGCTCATCTGAATATTATTACCTTATAACCCGATATGTTTTATTAGTCTAATTGAAATTAATCTTCAGAGGGCTGCGTGGAAACAACTTGGAAGGGACTCTTTCCCCAGATATGTGCCAGTTGACGGGGTTGTGGTTTTTGTGAGTCCCTTGCCCGCCAATTTTATTTTTTATTTTTTAATGGTTACGTCTGCTCCAGTTCAGTGCTAACAATCCTTGGTTGCAGTGATGTGAAGAATAACAGCTTGACCGGCAGCATTCCTGAAAGCATTGGAAACTGTACCAGCTTTCAGGTTTTGTACGTATATCATCCTCCTGCCAGCCATGGTTTTAGACTTGAATCGCGGATTTTTTTGAAATAGCTGTCTGCCTCCTTCGGTTTCTAGGGATTTGTCCTACAACCACTTTACTGGAGAGATTCCATTCAACATTGGATTTCTTCAAGTTGCAACACTGTATGCGGATTCTGACTCTTTTGCTTTCATTCGTTGATTTTATAATATCGGTCTCTTTTTTTTAGTGTTGCGTTGTCATTCTGAAGTCGTCGTTTCGCCATTGTCAGGTCCTTGCAAGGAAACAGATTCACAGGGAACATTCCGCCGGTGATTGGGTTAATGCAGGCGCTTGCTGTGCTGTAAGTACTGAACAATGCTCCTAGCGGTTTAATGTCATTGATCTTGATGTAAGTGTCGAACAGTGATGTATCTCACAGTCTCTTTGACTTATTTTGTTTAGAGACTTGAGCTGTAACCAGCTAAGTGGTCCCATTCCTCCGATACTAGGCAACTTATCATATACAGAGAAGCTGTAAGCGGATATGAACTTGGTCTCTCTTCTTTCGTTCCTTTTTTGTACCGACCACATGCACAAGTAGTGGAAGATCATTCGATTTTCTTGTATGGTGTGAATTTCAGGTATTTGCAGGGAAACAAACTCAGTGGGTCCATACCTCCAGAGCTGGGTAACATGACTAAACTTCACTATCTGTAAGCACTTCGGCTCATTATCTTCTTCCCTTCAACGCTGGAGATCTTTTAAGGCTTGTGTTGAACGAAAGTCCGATGTGTAACAGGGAGCTGAATGATAATGAGCTTACCGGGCATATTCCACCGGAGCTTGGGAAGCTCACTGACTTGTTTGACCTGTATGGTTTTTTTTTACTAATCGGGACTTCGTGTGCATATTTCTGTAATGCAACTGACAGAAGATGGAAGCAATAATGGGTTCTAATGGCTGCCGTGCAGGAATCTTGCTAACAACAATCTGGAAGGGCCTGTTCCAGAGAATTTAAGTTCATGCACAAATCTTAATAGCCTGTAAGGAGTTGAGATTAAAAATATCTGATTCTGTTTTGGGAGCTATTTCCCTCGAGCTCAAACTGTGTGTTCATGACAGGAATGTCCATGGCAATCGGCTGAATGGGTCGATTCCTCGTGCCTTTGAGAAGCTTGAGAGCATGACCTACCTGTGAGTTTCGTCCTCCCATTGACCATTACGCGTATGAGGAAGCACGCTTAGATCTGAATCAATTTTTGTGCAGGAACATGTCGTCTAACAGCTTGAAGGGCCCAATCCCGATTGAGCTATCCAAAATCGGTAACTTGGACACCCTGTATGTATCAGCGTCTGGTGGCTTTCTTGGTAATTTCTGATCACAAGTCTGAAGTACTCAAGATGCAAGCTTTTATGAATCTGCAGGGATATCTCGCTCAATAAAATCACTGGTCCCATTCCATCATCTATTGGTGATCTGGAGCACCTCCTGAAATTGTATGCTCTCTGTAAAATTTCTTTTCGTCTATATCTCGAATAGCTTTGCTTCATTGATGCATTAAACTGATGTCCGCCTTCTTTCTTTCAGAAATTTGAGCAACAATTACCTTGGCGGGTCTATTCCAAACGAGTTTGGGAATTTGAGGAGCGTCATGGAAATGTAAGTATTTTTTCTTTTCTCGAGGAGAGATGAAGATATTGTGCTAGGGATTATCTCCGCTGTCTATCATCGTTGCCGTCAGTAACCCTGTGCTCGTGTGTCAGTGATTTGTCGGGCAATCACCTCTCAGGTTCAATCCCTGAAGAACTAGGGCTCCTGCAGAATCTGATGTTCCTGTAAGCCTACCCAGCATCATGTAATTTATTATTTCAAGTGGAAAGGCTGGAAATATTTTCCTGCTCGCCTCCATGGTGCTCTCCTTTATTTTTTCCTTTGTTTGAAATATCCAGGAAGTTGGAGAACAACAATTTGTCTGGGGAAATAGTCTCCTTGAGCAACTGCTTCAGCCTCGCCGTCCTGTAAGCTGGTTCATTTCACCTTCTCTCTCTCTCTCTCTCTCTGTGTAGACTTCTCTCTATTTCTCTCTATACTCTCTCTGTCTCTCTCTCTCTCTCTTGGGGAATGCTCATAATAAACTCTTACGCGTTCCATTTCTGTGGGCAGAAATGTCTCCTACAACAATCTCTGGGGAGATATACCCACGGTGAACAATTTTTCGCGTTTCTCTCCTGACAGGTGAGCGCCGTCGGCTGCTCAGGCCTGCCCGGTTCGCTTCCCTGACGTTCATGTCTAACACTCCCCCCTTCTTTAATGCAGCTTCCTCGGAAACCCTTCTCTCTGTGGGTACTGGGTCAACTCCCCATGCCACGCAAGTCATCCGGCCCAGAATGGTGACCACCTCCACCCTCTCCTCTCTCACACCTCAAAACTGTCCATACTTGGAGAATCACAGTTCGGTCACAACGCTCTTCCTCCACCGTTTCCAGCTTCTGTATCGAAAGCGGCGATTCTGGGCATCGCGCTGGGCGGTCTCTTCATCCTTCTCATGATCTTGGTGGCCGCATGCCGGCCCTACAGCCAACCCGCCTCACTTGACGGCTGCGAGAGCAAACCAGGTAGGCCATCCTTTCCGATCATCTCAAAAGCTGTTTCGCTCCTCTTTGGTGGATGGGTGGGTGAGTGCATCAATAAAATCACTTCTCTACCAGTCAGCGACCCTTCGCCGAAGCTGGTGATCCTCCACATGAACATGGCGCTCCACGTGTACGAGGACATCATGAGGATGACCGAGAACCTGAGCGAGAAGTACATTATCGGGTACGGCGCGTCAAGCACGGTTTACAAGTGCGTCCTGAAGAACTGCAAGCCAGTCGCCATCAAGCGGCTCTACTCCCACTACCCGCAGAGCCTCAAGGAGTTCGAGACCGAGCTGGAGACCGTCGGCAGTATCAAGCACCGCAACCTCGTCAGCCTCCAGGGATACTCGCTCTCCCCCTTCGGCAACCTCCTCTTCTACGACTACATGGAGAACGGCAGCCTCTGGGACCTCCTCCACGGTTGACCTCTTCGCCTTTCTGATGGAGTCAATGCGGATTAACCCAACCCTTTTCATGCTTATCCATTTTTTCTTCGCAGGGCCGTCGAAGAGGAAGAAGCTGGACTGGGAGACCCGGCTGAGGATAGCGCTGGGGGCGGCGCAGGGGCTGGCCTACCTGCACCATGACTGCAGCCCCCGCATCATCCACAGGGACGTGAAGTCGTCGAACATCCTCCTGGATAAGGACATGGAGGCCCACCTCACGGACTTCGGCATAGCGAGGAGCCTCTGCGTGTCCAAGACCCACACCTCCACCTACGTCATGGGGACCATCGGCTACATTGACCCCGAGTACGCCCGCACCTCGCGCCTCAACGAGAAGTCCGACGTCTACAGCTACGGGATCGTCCTTCTCGAGCTCCTCACCGGCCGGAAGGCCGTCGACGACGAGTCCAACCTCCAGCAGCTGGTGAGAGCAGCAATCTTGGTCGTGGAGGCCTTTTTTTTTCATGGGGAGATAGGATGAGTTGACTTGACGAGTTCTTTCTATTTGTGTTGTTTTTCCTCTGGGATGGTCTGCAGATAATGTCCAAGGCGTTGAGCAATCTGGTGATGGAGACGGTGGATCCGGAGATCACGGCGTCGTGTGGGGACATGGGGGCGGTGAAGAAGATGTTCCAGCTGGCGCTGCTGTGCACGAAGAAGCAGCCGTCGGACCGGCCCACCATGCACGAGGTGTCCCGCGTGCTCGGCTGCCTGGTCGGCCCCGAGGCTTCTCCGCCAACGACGACGAAGCATCTGCTGCAGCAGCCGGCGCAGCCGCAGCAGGCGCTGCCGCCGGCCTCGCAGGTGCCGGGCTTTGCCGGCGCGCTGGGCTGCGCGTCGCTGAGCGCGTCTGACGGCCAGCTGTTCCGCCGGTTCGGCGAGGTGATATCCCAGAACAGCGAGTGAGCACCCGCTCCCGGCTTCTTCCCTCTGTATGATCATATTATACGCCCCCCTCTTCGGTTTCTCTACATACGCCTTTTGGAAGGTCTGGTTGTGTCTCGCCGTAGGTCGACTAGGGGATATTATATTATGGATGGCCCGCTGGCCAGTTAGCCTTCACTGAAATGCATATCCTAGCCTCTGGTGGGCTCTTCCTGCACTCTTCTTCATCCTTTCTGTCTTCTTCTTTCTCAGGTGCCTAGAAGCAGTAAAGGTGAAAAATTCGTTCTTGTCGCAAATGTAATGAAATTAATTGCTTCACATACTCTTCTTGCTTCACATCATGCGCTATTCACGCCTAACCTTGGGCTCTGATACCTACTGTTCCCAAGCCCTCTGTCTACCCGCCGCTCCTAAGCCCAGAGCAATGTCAGCACGATGAACAGGAGGAAGGCCAAGCCGAAGCAAACGCCTGCGATAGCCGCGAATGCCTGCAGGTTGGAAGGGGGGGGAGTGTAGGTGAATACGTTGCAGGGGAAGCGGAATATTGAAGCAAGGTTTGGGACTCCCCTACCTTCCCTTGAGAGTCGAACTTGAACTTGATGGTGAACCAGGAGAGCCCCTTCTCCACCAGGGGAGCCAGCGCAAGGGCCCTGAAGCGACCACAAGCCTGGTGAGATAATAGCTGAGAGAGATGAGAGAGAGAGAGAGAGAGAGAGAGAAAGAGCACTAAAATGATGAATTGGCTTCAGTAAGAATGTTGGAGAAACCGTTCGGAGTCGGCACATATTCTGGCTAAGAGAAATCAGGAGCTGACGGGTTTGATGGAAAGCCTGACAATATTCTCACCGTAATAATCAATAGGGGAAAGTGAGCTCACCCCGCTGCTCTTAGGAGCTTGGTGACTTGGCTTCCAGCCCATACTGCGGCCATGATCTTCAAAACTCTGCAATTAAAAATTTCAAAGAATTAAAAGATGGACATTGATACATTAAACTTATGGTAAATAGTGAATGATGAGTTGCAAGATAACCTCTCAACGGATGCGGCGTAACCCAGTTTCCCAGGTGCGGGAGCAAAATAAAGCCTGAAATGAAGATATGTTTAGGACTCTTCTGACAAGTCCGTCCCATTCTCTCATACAAAAGTTTCTATAAGAAAAGAATACAACAATTTATAGGATGAGCGCATGAAAAGGGAGAACTTCCATGCATACATACAGCACTCAGGTGATGGATAGGAAGATTCTTTTGATCAGACACTGCATAAACCAACGAAAGAAGCTCCAAATAGCGGACATATACACGACGATTTATCTGATAATTTGGGACTGCATTTTGGCTACCCTCATCATCCATAAATAGCAACCTCTCGAGGAACTATGTAGGAGAGAGTGACATTTTTTCTATGATTGCCTAATATGTGCAAGTGCAGATGGCTGTCTTAGAAGAATACATCTAAATCTTAAAGGCTTTCAAAAGATTTTAAGCATAATGGATTATGAATTGTTTTCTACTAAATCTTAATCTTTTCTTTGCACCAATGTCCAATTCTAATCCTGAAAGACACTACATTACCATTGTCAAGATAGAGCTTCAAACATTAACCTTTAAAGATTTACATCTTATGTTTGGGATCAAAGTGGTCAAAATGTACCTTTAATCTTCTTAGCTTATGCTCTTTGTCATGAAGTTTTTTTTAGAGTATTTTGATCTCTCCGCTGATTTTTTTTCCCAAACATTTGCTAGTTACAAATGCCGGAGAAACAGCAAAAAAGATAGAAGTAGCTGATGCCAACTCTGGCCTAATATAAAGAAAAAATGTTAATGATACAGAGGGGAGTAGGTGGTATGAAAGTTAGGAAAAGAGAAAAAAATGTGGGAATCCACATTGAGATGGGCTGCTTGTAAGCCAACTATAATTCAATAATTTTCTAAATGAGTTATGATGGGAATTTCCCCCATCCAATGTCAGGTGGTGCAGGAAAGAGTGGACATCTCAGAACCTTGTGATCCAATCACACTCAGTCCGTGCAAAGGCTGAATATTTATAAACAATCTGTAGTGCTTTTTTACGGAATTACGTTTTTCACAAATTCATTAGGTACAAAGAATAGATACAGGGAACGTCCAACATTTATGGCGGTCTTGCACCTTACAATCTTTGATCTCGCTGAATGTTGGGTAGAAATATACTGAACCCATCACCAGTGAAGACTGATATCTGGTTTGTTCCCACTTTGAACCACTACTCAGTGACATTTTTAATCCATAAAATAATCGAGACTTCTATAATTATATCTAATTGCGCAAGTTCATTGTATGGTGGTAACTTTAGTCCAATATGACCTTCAATTTGGGCACTATCAAACAACTATTTAGTAAATTAGGTTTGACACACTTTGACCTCACATAAATGCCTCCGGTTGGCACGCTCAATTGCCAAAAGAAGATCTTTCTTCCCACCCTACCTGCATAAATATGTTTCCTTCTCTCCTTATCAATTTTTCACACCCGCTCTCCTGAACATAGGGATGAATGCATCCTTTTATCCTTCTCTCTTTCTCTTTTCCATTCCGCATTCTACTCACCCCTCCTCCCTCATACATGTGCATGAACTCACTTCATCTATATTTAACAAAACACGGATTCATTATAATGTAAAATCTAGATAGTTGCCAGCTATCAAAGAACACTGTCAATAAATATTGAAAGCCAAATTGGGGTGAGACAAAATAATAGAAGATTTCGAGCAACTCACCAAACTGAGAGAAATGATATGAGATAATAGACGGTGTTGAGCAACCCATATGACAACACGCCAGCGATTCCGTACCTCCTCAGTTTTTCCATAAGCCTGAGGGTTTTTCCAGTGGTTAAAAAGGCAAGAGAATACAACGGATCTATCATAAGAAGAAAGAACGAGAAGGATACAAGTTATAGGTAACACTATCATGTCATAAATATGGCAAATACCGTATTTTTTCTTTCATTGAAAAACATTGTAAAAGTCACCAGATACAAAATGTGAGTACATATCAAGTATATACCATCCGAGTGTATATCAAGTATATACCAGATGCACAAGATGATATTATGTGAAAGTTTTGAGAAATGAGACTCAAGAATGAAAGTTGAATTCCAACATTGGTCATTCAAAACAGATTTCACAGTCATGCCGTCTTTTGTGGACGATTACTGCGTCATCTCATGTATACAGCGACTTGTGACAAACACGTGGTGCACTGACTGGGGACATACGCATGGTTTTTCATCCAACTCAAAATTGATTGACCATAGAATCGTTTATGTAATCGAGGAGAGGGGAATTCGAAGTTGTCTATGGCTCTATCAGAATAACCAACGCGCTAAGGATCTCAGAATAAATGAAAATAAATAAATAAATAAAAATGAGCTATATTCTTTTACTCTTTGAGAAATGAAATTGCTTAATGGAGATGAGTACTCCTTGAATGAGAAAATCCCCTTCAAAGCTCCCTTTCCATCTCTTCTCCCTGCACCTGAAATTGAAATAAATAGAGAAATTAGGCAAATTAGAGATTTACAATGGAAGAAATATTTTTAATATAGAATCGACATAAAATTACACCATTAAAAAAAGTTCGACCAAGTACCGGACTGAACTATCAATCTTACCGGCCTCAACGGGCAACTTCTGCCCTTCGTCCAAAAAATCAACCTATAGCAAGTGCATTGAAAGTGTCATGAATTCCAAAGCGCTGACGTCAATTCCACGGAGAGTGCCATAGACATGTTGATTAATGAATGACTGGGAAGTAGTGCCGCTCACCTCCTCATCCCCCTTGGCAGAGCAGTGACATGGTGCTACGAGCTGCTTCGGGGAGAATGACCTCTTCCCATCAACTCCGGGACAAATCCCGACGCACCTGCTCCGAAAGAACTCTCCCCGGCGCTCTGCTACACCCCTTCCGGCGGAAGCACTCGAAACATCATATGAGAATGCGGCGCCATATCTTCGAGGTAGGCAAGTAGACGGGGTCGCACATGTCGCACATGTCGCACTTCCCACGGCCAGCTGCCGGGAAATCGCCACCAGCGCCGGCGGCGGCGGCGGCGGCGACGACGACGACCCCACCGGCATCGGACTGGAGCAAGGAGCCGAAGAGCACGACGTACTAGCCCCCTCTGTCAGGAGGGGACGAAGGTGCGTCGAGATACATGATCACGATCTAATGGTGCAGGACAGTGGGCCCTCCGCTGACCCACGCATTTCTAGCCGTCGATATCACATCATTGCCTGTCATCAACGGACACTCGGAATCGGATCTGGTTCAACCGTCTGATGGTTGTGGTGACATTTTCGTAATATTTTAGCGGGGAAGTGCGACAGCGGCAAGCTAACAAGCTTCCAAACGCCACCGCCAGGAGGCGCCCAGCACGGGGGGGCGTTAAATATAAATAGTTTAATCGGGAGGGAAATCGAAATTCGAAGCTTCCGCCATTTCGACCGTCCTTGCGATCGAGCGGGAACTCGATCAGTGTCTCCTTGCTGTCCCGCAGGGTGGGGGAGGGTGGGGAGAGGTTGGGGGGAGGGGCCTATTTCGATTATCCTCCGTCCCCCTCCTGCGGGCTGTTTCTCGGTGGTTTAGCGGAGAGTGTCGCCGGCGCAGGAGGCGGAGATGGCGTTCCGAAGGGGCGATAAGGTGTGGGTGGAGGACAGGGAAGAGGCGTGGGTGGAAGGCGAGGTGCTGGATTTCAGGGACAAGCTCGTGCTCGTCCAGACGGCCTCGGGGAAGAAGGTGACTGCTATTCCCCCGACGTGTCTCTGGTGCTCTATTCGGCATTTCGGAGGTTGTTTTTGATACGGTCTTGTCATGTGTTTGTTTTGTGACTGTGCTCTGTAGCTGTCCACCACTCGGGAGAAGTTGATGCACAGGGATCCGGATGCCGACCATGGAGGAGTGGAAGACATGACGAAGCTAACATATCTCAATGAACCGGGTGTTCTCTACAACCTTTCTAGAAGATATGCTCATAACGAGATATACGTAAGATCCCATTGACGACTCACTGCTTTTTCGCGTCGCTTCACTTTTTTATGCTGGGACTATATTGCTATGTTCAAATGCTTTTTTAGGATTGATCCATTAGTTCATTTAATTATGTTCCTAGCTTGGATCCGATTCAGACTTTGTTTTAGTCAAACCAATGGGTTACCTTCAAAGTTTACCTTATCGTCATTATCCATATACAATCCGAATCTTCATTCACATAATAAGAGAAGAAAGACTCGGGCCTGATGCTGAATTACCTTGTCAGCGGAAAACTCATTCTCTGCCAGCATTTCGACTTCACTTCACACTTTTATTCAACACTGTTTGTCGTGTGCTGTAATTTTGGTGAATAATTTTTTGATGCTTTCAGTCCTTTAGTTTCTCTTCTTTTTTAGATCAAGGTTTTTCCAACCCTAACAGTCCATATACTTTCGAGTTTCGTTTGGAACTGGTAGAAGAAATCTGATTATAATATTTTTCTGATTATCTTTTCCACATGCAAGTTTATGAATAGATTATCATGAAGTGACTATGAATACGGTGCAAAAAAATGTGAAAAATAGATAATGAAAAACATAAAAAAAAACTCGAGTTCACTAACAAAGTGATTATATGTCTGCTTGCTTTATGAGTCACAAGGATCTTCAAAGATTTAAGAAAAACATGCCACGGGTTCTTGTAGTACCATAGGTAACCACTACATGATTTCCCATCTTTGCAATTCTGTTTGAACTTACATACATTTGCCTTTTAAATTATCACTACCATGACACACTTGGTCCTTGTTATTTGAGAGTGGGGCATTCCATTCTACTTATCCTATTCACATTTATTCATTCTTAATGGCATATCTTCCTTTCCTATTTTTACCATTCTTATAGTTTTCCTGTACCATATCTAGGACTTTTCAAAACTGTTGACGACTCATTTTAGGGGGTCTTCAGTTATGCTTCTCTTCTCAAAAATATCCTTCAGAGTTTTTTCATGGAGTTTCTTATCTGTTTTATCCCGGCACTCTGATATGATGTGCTGTGATTTCATCTCCCTATAATATTATTTGTTTATTTTATTCTTTCTGCTGTTATTTTTGTTCACATCGCACTCCCTATCAATGATCGTTGCTGAAAATACTTGGAATAGTTATTTTAAGGTACATAATTTTCATGCTCATATTTTTAAAATTTTTATGCTATCATTCTTTTTTATTAAATTTAAAATCATTTATCCACAGTGTCTAGACATTAACTTAACCTTTGTTTATATCTAACGAATTTATAATAACTGACACACCTGTCGGTACTGTGCTTGAATTTGTACAATTAGTTAAACCTTAAGCTTGGGATCCTGGTTAACGGTGAATTATTTTTTACCTCATTAACCGTTTTTTCTGCCATTGTTTTGAAATCAGATATCTTCTTAATAATTTTTTTTTTCAATGTTTGAATTTATTTGGTCGTATGCTATGATATTCTTGAAGTATATTAAATCGTTGTATCTTTTTCATTGTGTATCTTTAAGCTTTAAGTCGAATGATCAAGATTAGTTATCGTTCATATTTCCATTTTGGCCGTATTGTGCATTTCTCACTGTGTGGCCTGCACAACTGAGATGATGTGGACTTTGATGGTATGAGACTTGATCTCGGTTCTACCTCAGACGGGTGGATCACTATGGTAGTTAATTAATTTTCTTGGGGATTAAGCAGAGGCATAAATCAGATGGTTATTGCATGATAGTTGAGTAGTAATCAATTGGTTTTTATAACGAGACAGATCGAGTTGAATTAAATGTGAGCATCCACATTCTATGTATTGCTTACTTGTAGAATGATAGTTCCTCGCATATTCTTTTGTATGTGATATTAGAAGTTCATGTGGCATAGTTGAGCAGGAATTTTTGGGGAGAGTGATATCTTCCTCGTCTTAATCTTTGTTTAGATTTAGGAATAATCCTTGTTTCTTTGAGTTGGGAGCAAGAAGAATGAGCAAAAGTGAAAACAATGAACCTTCTTTTTTTATTCTGGTTCACTTTTAATGTGCGAGCTATGCTTACTTGCTGCTGCAAGATTCTACAGTCAACCCATGAAAATTTTATTGTGTGACATCACTGGAGGATGCCCTAAAAACTCTCTTTTGTGGTGTGGAAATTCGGAGATACCATAATGCGGAAGAATACCGAAAATAACCTTGAGCAAATTGCATGCACATATACCACACGTCCAAACTCTGTGGCAAGGCAATAATTACGCTCCACATGACTTGATTATCTTTGCATTTGTTGTGGTCCTCTCCTTTGTCCTGTGCTTGTCATCAACCTTATCTTCTTTTCTAATATGTATACGAATGAATACACTTTTTTTCTTTGTTTTTGTATCATGTTGGTGGAACTTATAATCTTGCACCTTTTGTTTCTTTAGACATACACCGGAAGCATATTGATTGCAGTGAATCCATTTACAAAACTCCCTCATCTCTACAATGCTCACATGATGGAGCAATATAAGGGTGTCCGATTGGGGGAGCTAAGTCCACATGTTTTTGCTGTGGCCGATGCGTCTTACAGGTGAGATCTGTGAGGCCCAAAAATGCTTTCAACTAACTTCAAGCACGAACTGCTTCAATGATCAATTTATGGTTAACACGTGTGTATTAGAGCTATGATGACTGAGGCTCAAAGCCAGTCTATTTTGGTAAGCGGGGAAAGTGGTGCTGGAAAAACAGAAACGACAAAACTAATTATGCAATATTTGACATATGTTGGAGGCCGACTCACTGGTGATGACCGAACTGTTGAACAGCAAGTTCTTGAAGTAAGAACTATCTTACCAATTCCTAGTATTATTATTTTCGTTACGTCACTTTGCTATACTCCTTAAATGATGACATAGGGCTGCTTCCCCTGTCTTGATGTGACTGTTGCCATCATTTTGTAATTGATCGTGGACTTGATGATGATGCAGTCAAACCCACTTCTTGAGGCCTTTGGCAATGCAAGAACAATTAGAAATGATAACTCAAGGTTAGTCCTTCGTTACTTGGAATCTCTTTGATATGGTCTTTTATTCTCAATAAGTTTATACAACTATTGTTGCACATAATACTGCACTCCTAAGGTACATAAGGAATAGTCTCTGTTTGGGTACTTGGGGGTTCCAAATGAGGAAACAATGAGTTATGGATGAAACTTGATTGAGGCCAAGGTCTGATGATAGCTTTATATGAAACTGAATGACGTGCAGAGGGTCACATTAGTTGCATGCCTTCATGCGTTTTCTTTTGCTTCCTTCAGATCCTTCTTTTCCCATGGTCTCCTCTGTCTGCCTTTTGAAAAGTAAACTCTGGGGGTTGTCACTGCATTGGTAATTAGCTGGTCATATGGAATAATGCTTGCGGACCCTCATCTGCGATGGTGGACAGTTGCAAATCTAGCCGTTGATAACTTTTCCCATTGATGTTGGTTGACTCCAGTTCTGATCAGCTAGAAACTGCTTTTGTTTGTGTACGGTTATCTTAACTATTTCTGATTTGATTGAGCTTGGATTATGCACTGGCTTGTGTCACATGGGCTGACCTGCTTGTTTCAGGTCTTGGTCTAGGTCTGTCTTTGTGAGTTGTGCTGATGCTTGCGCTGAAACCTGAGTTGACACTGTAGATCCTCAACATAATTGTTGGAATTGCAAGTATTGACAAAATCATGGCCCTAACTTTTTCCCCTTTGTCTTGGATTTTTGTGTAGATTTGGAGTTATTACCATTTCTAACTGTTTTACATAGACACTAATTTGGTAGTAATCCGTCATTTCCAATTATTGGATTAATGGTCAGTTGTGTCTGTGTCCGTTTTAACCACTATTTGTTGTTTCTTTCTTTTTTTAGGCATTTCCCTTGATTGTTTTGATAATATTGCTTAGCTCTGTGATCTTCATTCCTGCGTAGTTGAATGTTGTTGAATAGTTTTAAGTTCTTTGTGATGTTCCACAAATGTTAATGGTTTTCTTGTGCAGTCGTTTTGGAAAGTTTGTGGAGATACAGTTTGATGCAAGTGGAAGAATATCTGGTGCTGCAATCAGGACCTATCTTCTAGAGCGATCTCGTGTTGTGAAGATAGCAGATCGTGAAAGGAACTACCACTGTTTTTATCAGCTTTGTGCCTCTGGGGAGGTAGTTATGAATTCCAACATTTTATGATGTGATTTTAAAAATTTTCAATTAGTGATCGGATTAATTTTTTTCTTATTTGTATCTGGAACCGGATTCATAGAATTATTCTCATTTTATTTTTGTTGAAAATTAGTTTCAATTATTAATATTTGATATACCCTCTATTTTATGTAAAGACTACACTTTAGTCATTGTTAGCAAAATTTTGGGGCTTGATCTGGTGGATGAAGGATAAAGATTGCATTTTGGTTTGGATGGAACAGTTTCCTATGACTATGTTTTTCTATTTCTTCAAATCGGTTTAGAATTTCTCGGTTTACTGGAGTTGTTGGTTAGTTTATTTTCGTGATTTGAAGGGTTAGAAATGTAAGATTTTAATTTGTTTGACTCTCAGTTTTTAAGGTGTTGTCTGAGTGTTACCTAGGCAGTTTAGTGTAGTGGAAGAGGGATAGGGGTTTTGGTGCCAAAGTAATCTGTAGCAAAACGTGCTTCTATATTCCCAGTAAGGGTTTTTTTTTGGAGTTCTTAATTGAAACCTTATTTAGTAAACCTAAACATTTGAAGCTAGGTTTTACTGCCCACCATGAATTTTAATCAACTTGAATTTTTTTTCCTTCCTGGAATGGTACCGTTGAAAAACACGATGTCTGGGAACTCGAAACCTATTTTATGGGTCATCCAGCAGAATAGAATTCTCTTATTGCAAAGCATATTGCTTTCTCCTTTGTTCTTCCTTGTGAAATCTACTGCTTTCTCAGAAGGCATACCCGACTATTCACCAGATATTCATTTTTCTCCGAAAAATGCTTGTTTGCGAATGTCTCTGCAAATCCAAACTACTGCTCTGTTCAGTCTGGATTACTAAACAAGTGGAAGGTTTAAATGAGCCTCCAAAGCTTCTGTGTGTATGCGACTTTGTCCTAAGAAAAACGAATTTCTTATGATTTTTGGTCTTGGCATCCTCGCCTGACACACCAAAACTCAAATGAAAAAAGGTACCGCATATGCATTTCGATTGTAATTGTGGCCACCTTTATGGAGATACTTGCTTATCAATGGTTCATGGTTCTGTTTTCATGAAGACGGTTTATTCACTTATTTCATACAATTGTCTTAGGCATCTGTCAGAACCAGTTTATGCTTGATGAAGTCAACTGATGTGAAAGCCCTGTAGAAAATTGCTTGTGGTTTCATTTTCCGGCAAAGTTTTTAGTTATTTTGTGGCCGTCCTTTGTGAAATACTTAAATGTTTTTTGCCTTAACATGTTTCACTTTTATTTTCAGGATGCAAATAATTACAAGCTTGGCCATCCGAGCAATTTTCATTACTTGAATCAGAGTAATACGTACGATTTAGATGGAATTAATAGTACAGCCGAATATTTGAGAACTAGGAGGGCAATGGATGTAGTTGGTATAAGCTCTAGTGATCAGGTTTTTAAACTTTATTCCTCTGCATTTCTTTGGTTCCCTTTCTTCTTAGTCAGTGAATGAATACCTTTTCTATCCCTTATAAGTTTGCTACTCAGTGTTCTATTTCTTGTTGCATTCTTTATAATGTTCAGGAAGCTATTTTCCGCATCTTGGCTGCTATTTTACATCTTGGAAACATTGAATTTTCTCCTGGGCAAGAGCATGATTCGTCGATTATCAAGGATGAGAAGTCTAAATATCATCTTCTGGAGACTGCGAATTTATTTAGGTAAGCTAAGTAGATGTTGTACCATTGCCAAATAGATTTTTCTCGGCAGAGTGTCTAAACTTTAATTTTTTTTTTAAAATTTGATCAACACCTTTTAAGGTTCTTTCCTATTTCTGTTTGTCAATACTTAAGAAATTCAATTTTACGTGGAAGGTGGGGATTTCCACCAATTTTTTAATATAGGAATGATACATCTGTGAAGACCTTATTATTTTGTTTTGTATGATGAAATGACAGACAGCCAATAAGGTTACTAAGCTTGTGTGCAGTTCCAAATACCGATGAGACACAATGTTCTGTTGCCACTGTTTTCCTAGCATATCGTTCACATTTTTTTAAGGCGATTTTATTATCTTCTTTTTTCATGATGAAATGGCAGACAGCCAATGAGGTTACGAAGCTCGTGTGCAGTCCCACATAGTGATGAGTCATGATGTACTTTCACCAATGTTTTCCACGCATATCCTTCGCATTTTTTGGGGCTGACCTTTGTAATGGCTTACCATTTAATATCTATGTAGCACGACAAGGTGTCTTTCTAGTTTTGAATAAATTAAAATATGAAACAAAGAATAAAATATTTTGTTTAACTACATGGCAAACAACTTAGGTATCTATATATGTTATTTTTCACTTAGAATATTCAATGCAAATTGTTTAATTGATCAACAGCATAAGGTACACACGATAATGAAGGGCATAAAGAAAAGGTTTGTTGTACGGACATAACTAATATTCTGGAAAAAAAATGATCAATATCAGAGAATACAATGGATACCTACATCATCCAAAAAGTCACTTTGTCAAAGTTTTGGTGCCCTTGGTACGGGACAATACACAGCAGAGCTTAGATGCTCTTGGTTTGATAGACCTTGGAACAATGTGCCTCACTTTGGTTTATGTTGTCGAGATGTACTTAATAATCTGTATACCTTACAAGTTTACATATATGTCCTCATGTACCTTTCTTTTTGTGTTACATCAATATGCCAAGAACCTTCTAGGAATCTGGTATAAATATTGGATCCCGCTTTCATTGTAAACTGTTTTTGATCAATAAAGTTTGAGTTCTTTCTCCATGAGTGCTGGGCGCCTATCAGAGCTCTAGACGATGTGTTATCTCGATTACATGGTATCAGAGCCATTCTAGGAGTTTAGACCTATTTTTCAGCACCGTCACAATTGATGTTGCTTTGTTGGCGTTCTCCCCATTATTCGCTGGAGTTACAGGCGCTATACACTTCCCGCAAGAGATCTTCTGTTTTGTTGTGTTTCTTTCAGAGCGAATCCAGGTGTGAGCCATTTCTTTGCTTCTGCACTGATCTACTAGTTTGTTGCGGTTCTTGCGCCATTTTTTCTTGCCTCCATTGAGATTTGTTCACGGATTTGATATTTCGTGAATTTGAACATCTCTTTAAATGGAGAATGTGGGAGACAGTTCTTCGTCATCTGTGGGGGATCCAACCTAGACAAGGGAAGTTAATCTTGGTCCAAGTGGTCCAAGATTACTCATAGAACTTCTTGCAATGCCTCTATAGTTCAAATTGATTGGATTCAATTTAATTCAATGGTTAGAATATGTTCGAGAGGTATTGACTGGAAGAGGGATGTTACATCATCTGATTGAGGGGAAACCGGATCCATTGTCTCCAGAATTTCGTAGATGGAGAGAAGATGCTTTAATCAAAACCTAGCTTTGAGGAACAATGATTTCCCAAATTAGCTGAGATTTTTTCTTTCTATCGACAGTCAAAGACTTGTGGGGAACAGTTCACACGAAATTTTCACAAAGAAACAATGAGGCACATTTATATGAACTTGAGACAAAATCTATGTCCACAATTCAAGGAAATAAATGTGTGATGAAATATGCAGGAGAATTGAAAAATTTATGATAGAAAATTGATTATTATCTCAGTATTGATATAGAAAAACCTGTAGAAATTGTTGTCCTACGACATTTTATAGAACGAAGAAGAGTGTTAAATTTTTTGGCTGGACTTAATTCTATTTTTCATCAAGTCAGACAACAGATTTTGAGTCGTGAAAGGAAATGTCATTTGGATGGAACTATTTTCATCTTTTTGAATGAGGAAAGTCGTCAAAAATTAATGTTGTCAGTGACTGAAGTTGACAGTATTGTATTTATGATTAAATAAGGAGAAATTTTGAAGAAAGCCTCAGATCAAGTTAAACAGCCCCAGCATGGCCAAGAAAGAAATCAGAAGACTGATTTTCGTGATAATCTGTGGTGTACATATTGCATGAAAGCTCGTTACACTGGAGATAGATGTTATAAGCTGCATGGTAAACCACAAAATTTTGGCACTGAAAAATATGACAATCAGGCACATTTGGCAGCAAGATTACTGACTAGTCAGTCGTTAGATTCTCAAATCAATCAACATTCTTCTTCTCCTTAGATTGAGGATATAGAGCGACTTCAAATTGCGTTAGAAACACTGAAGTCGACAGTAACACAGTTCTCATCAATTCAGCCTGGTGTGTTTCACCATTCTCTTGAAGTTAGAGTCTCTTCTAAAGATATTTTTAATAATTAGGTAGTGCACTCAAGAGCAACGGACCACATGACTAACTCTTCTAGCCTTTTCACCAAATACAATCCGTCCTAGTGGCAGAAAAGTGACTATTGTAGACGGATCCTTTATAACTGTCGCAGATATATGAGACATTAGACTTAAACCTCTAGGGGTTCTTACTAATATTCTTCATGTCCCCAAGTTATTTACAAACCTCATTTCAATTAAGAAACTTGTTAGAGACTCACCTTATCGTGTTTTTTTTTGATGAAGATGTTTGTGTCATATTTGATAAGGTACATCATCAGAGGATTGGAGTTGCTAGAGAATATGCAGGTCTTTATCTTTTAGAAGGACTGAGCCAAACATATCTAGTGGAAGCAGATCAATCTCTAGAACCTCTAGGAGATGTCATTAATATACAATTACTTCACCAATGATTGGGTCATCCATACTTTAGCATTTTCAAAATAGTTTTTCTTACTTTGTTTAGAAAGGTGTCATTAGATGCTCTTAAATGTAATGTGTGTGAACTTTCTAAACACATATGTACTTCATTTCAATCTCAAGGGGAAAGGAGTGATGTTTCTTTCTTCCTAATTCATAGTGACATTTAGGGACCATGTCCCATTAATGACATTCGTGGTAATAAATGGTTTGCCACTTTCATTGATAATTGTACAAGATGTATGTGGGTCTTACTTCTCAAACAAAAATCTGATGTGTGTGATGTTCTAAAATCTTTTTGTGCCATGATAAACAATCAGTTTGGCACTAGTATTAAAAAATTCAGATTTGATAATGCTAAAGAGTATTTTAGCCAAAATCTGAATTTATACTTCTAGACAGAGGGCATCATACGTGAATCTTCTTGTGTCTATACCCCACAGCAGAATGGTTTAGCTGAAAGAAAAAATCGTCATCTTTTAGAAGTCACTCGATCAATTTTATTTCAGCATTATGTACCTAAAGGTTTTTGGGGGGAGACTGTTCTAATAGCCACATACCTCATTAACTGATTACCATCTAGAACTTTAGCCTTCCACAACTTGTTAGATTCAGTAGCCAAGTTTTTCCCAGACCATCGACTTAAAGTTAGGGTAGAACCTAAGACATTTGGTTGTGTCTTTTTTGTTCACGTTCATAATCAAATCAAAGGCAAACTAGAACCGAGATCAATTAAATGTGTATTTCTTGGTTATGCTACCAATCAAAAGGTGTACAAATGTTACCACCCTCATTTTAGATTTTTTTTTATTTCATTGGATGTTACATTTCATGAATCTGATTCTTATTTTAAAGAATCTCCATCTAGTGATCAACATCTATTTTCTACAGCTCATATGGATCAACATGTAGATTCTTCACTCTTATCTTCAGCTGGTAACCTGTTCATTTCCATTTCAGTCCCTAAAATACCCAGTCCTATATTGAATCTGCTTCCTAAAAACCTAAGATTTGGCAAGATTTATTCTAGGCGAGGGGAAATTCACGATTCACCAAAAATCCAATATTCTGATCTGACCTTAGAAAATATACAGCCATTAACATCTCCTTCATCTGATGATCCTGCAATCCTACCTCATGTTTCACTTCCCATTGCCCTGTGCAAACCTATAAGGGAGTGTACAAAAACACCCTTGTACCCAGCTGCCAATTTTTTGTCTTATCACAGACTTTCTTCACCCTATCAATCATTCTGTGCATCCTTAGACACCATTACCATTCCAAAAAAATCTCTTTGAGGCTTTATCAAATCTTAAGTGGAAACAAGTCATGGATGATGAGATGAGAGCTCTTGCAAAAATTCAGCTATGGGATCTAGTGGAATTGCCACGAGGTTAGAAGACTGTCGGTTGCAAATGGATGTACACAATGAAATATAAATTAGATGGTTCAATTGAGAGGTATAAAGCCCAGCTGGTGGCTAAGGGTTATACACAAATATATGGAATAAATTATCAAGAAACTTTTGCACCAGTGGCCAAAATGCTTAGCAGGAATTTTCAGCTGGAATATTCAACAGTTTGATGTTAAAAATGTATTCTTGCATGGTGATTTGGGTGAAGAAGTCTACATGACTCGTCCACCAGGATATGAGGGTAATCATTCATCTAATCTTGTTTACAAGTTAAAGAAATCCCTTTATGGCCTCAAACAGTCTCCACGTGCATGGTTTGGAAGGTTTACAGTAGCCATGAAGAAACTGAATCACAACCAAAGTAATGCTGATCACACATTATTATTTAAACGCTCTTCTTTAGGGAGAGTTACGGTTTTATTGGTTTATGTTTGATGATATTACCATCACAAGAAATGATCAAGGGGAGATCCAAAACTTGAGCAATTGTTTGGCCCAAGATTTTGATGTCAAGACTTTGGGACGACTCAAGTATTTTTTAAGAATTGAAGTGGCACATTCTTTTAAAGGTATTTTTATTTCTCAACAAGAGTACATAACAGATTTGTTAGTTGAAACAGGGAAATCTGCATGTAAACCAGCTAATACACCTATTGATCCAAACCAGAAATGGTGTATGACAGATTAGACCATGAGATGTATCAACTTCTCATTGGCTGACTACTTTATCTAGCACATTTGACCGAATATCTCATGTACAGTGAGTATATTGAGCCAATTTATGCATCAACCTAAAGAGTGTCATTTACATGTTGCCTACTGAGTGCTACATTATTTAAAAGGCACACCGGGAATAGGGGTTCTTTTTAAACGAAGTGGAAAGGTAGAGGTTAATATGTTTACAGATGTTGATTATGCAGGCTCAACGATTGATCGAATGTCAACCTCCAGTCATCTTACTTTTGTTGGTAGCAACCTTGTCAGCTAGCGGAGTGAAAAACAGAATGTAGTTGCTCGATCAAGTGCTGAGGCTGAACTTAGGGCACTGGCCCAAAGAATATGTGAGTTACTTTGGGTCAAGCACTTGATTGCGACAATAAGCCAGCAATCAATCTAGTGCACAACCCAGTACAGCATGACCGTACCAAACATGTGGAGATTGATCGCCATTTCATCAAAGAGAAACTTGAGGTCAATGTGATTTGTATATCATACATTTCAACAAATAATCAGTTGATAGAAATGCTTACTAAAGGCATCTCGGGTGCACAACTGCAGAAGATTATTCCCAACCTGGGAACGGACGACATCCATTCACCAGCTTGAGGGGAAGTGTCGTCGAGATGTACTTAATAACCTATATACCTTACATGTTTACATATATGTCCTCATGCACCTTTCATTTCATGTTACATCAGTATGTCTAGAACCTTCTAGGGATCTGATATAAATACTGGATCCCGCTCTCCTTGTAATCTCTTTTTGATCAATAAAGATTGAGTTCTTCTTCCATGAGTGCTGGGCGCTTATCAGAGCTTCAGACCATGTGTTATCTCGACTACAGTCTACAAGTAGATAGAGGTTGGGTGGAACCATAGGGAGCCTATGAAAAATGACTGAAGGTGATTTATGTTTGTTTATAAATTACAGTTTCCCTTTAACCTTTTTTCATTCAGTCATCTCTTGATTGAATTTGCCCAGTACGTTGATTTAATAATTTAGCCATGTAATGAGCTCCGTGAATTGACAAGAATTGTATCAACATGCTTATATCGTGCAGAGTAGGTTTTTGTCAAATCCTGGGAATTAGATTATTGGGTGCCTCATGGGGCACAGATTAGCTGAAGATCATTATCTAGATCTGGAAAAGAATTACCGGATTTGTTTCTCATTTTCTGCTGGAAGGAAAGAAGGTCGTTATTGAAGCCCTTGGGCTGATTGCCTTTTCCTGATAGGGTAGTTTGGTGATCTTGAAGGCTTAAGAGAAACTATTTATGGAAGTGTCAGTTGTTTTTTCTTTGAGAATGGTTCTGCTATATTCTTTGTTATTATATCTGTGGTACAATTTTGATTTTTGGAATAGCGTCACAAAGACAGATCATGGTTACCTTCAAATTTAATATATGTGTCACTACCTCATTTTTTAATATCCTTTTTATTTTTCTTCTTGGATAAGGTGTAATCCGAATCTTTTGCTTGGAACATTGTGCACTCGCTCAATACAGACTAATGAGGGAATTATTGTCAAAACTCTTGACTGTGAGGCTGCGGCAGCAAGTCGTGATGCATTAGCAAAGACTGTATATGCTCGGTTATTTGATTGGTATATTGAATGATTTCTTTGCGAATTTCTTCTGATATTTTTTATAGGTATCTACTTAGTATTTGATTGTTTTCCAATCTACTCTCAGGCTTGTGGAAAATATCAACAAGTCTGTTGGACAGGATAAAAATTCAAAAATACAGATTGGAGTTTTGGATATCTATGGATTCGAATGCTTTGAACACAACAGGTAAATGGTTTCTGTGACAAGTGTTTTAAATTTTCGTACTTTATTTTCATGTACAGTTTATTATATACCATGAGAAAAGGAATATAATGAGTGCTATAGATCATTAGGCCTAATTAAGCTTCTCTTCATTTCTGTTATGCTAGTTTGTCGTGATTAACTTATTATAGTCCCATCACTTATTCCTTCATGATCTCTCCTCTGGAAAATAGGCAATTCTACCTGTTTAGTGATGTACTTAGCTGTCTAATTCAAGAAAAAAATATGATTATTCGATGATGTTGTGCTGTCTGAGTTCAATTTTTCCCGGTGATGCAAAAACTGCCGGGTTTGGTTACATCATTTCAAGGTGAATGATGTACCCATCTGCTTTAGGTGGATTTAACCGTTTGCTTTAGGGGCATGTAGTCCACTTTAGGTGGATTTAATTGTTTACTTCTTGTGATTTACTTAATTTCAATGCTTTAATACTTATGTATTCTATATCCATTTAGGCTATTTCATTTTGCTGACTTTTTGTACAGTTTCGAGCAGTTTTGTATAAATTTTGCTAATGAGAAGCTTCAACAACATTTCAATGAGGTACACAGCTGCTTTGCAATTTCTTAAGCCATATGGTTCATTTCTATAACGTATAGCCACTTTTTTCAGCACGTGTTCAAGATGGAACAGGAAGAATATAGCACCGAGGAGATCAATTGGAGCTATATTGAATTCATTGACAATCAAGACATTCTTGATTTAATCGAGAAGGTTCATGTTATCCCTTCTGATTTTTACTTTTGCTTTCATTTTCCTAGTTTATCATATCACCAGGTAGTACGGGAAAGTTTTCATTTCGTTTTTATTTACATTATTTACATTATTTTTTTGCCATAGATTTCATCTGAAGTTATGATTCGTAGTCATTTTTTTGCCGCAATTAATATGTTATAGATTATTTATATGGTTAGAATCTTGACTGATTTCCTTCTGTCGAGCAATAGCATATTCTCTGAAAATTTTACTTATCTTCTTGCGAGAAATTGACATTGGATAGTGTAAATTTTTTGCATACTCTGTCTTCTGAAATATCATGAATGTGGAATAATATCTACCTTAGTGTTACTGATAATGTTGATAATCTGAATTACAACTTATCATTCTGGATATCTTCATGTCAATCTGACTCAATTAAGAAAAGGTTTGGTTCTGAATAATTTGTCGACGGTATCAGCCAGAACTCACTGAAAATTTTCAATTCATGTTTACCCATAGTATAATTCGGTCATTATTGATCAGGCGATCCTTTTTCTGAACTCTTTGATGCATTGTCTCATGATTGTACGTCTCTTGACACCCTTTTTGGCCTCTACGATTTCAATTTGCCATTTGTTGGCTATAATTTGTTCTCTTAGACTAGAAGCATTTTCCTTTGATAAGATACACGCACTGTTCTCTTTTTTTTTGAAACCTTCATTTATGCTGGATCCTTCTGTTTGCAGAAACCTATTGGAATAGTTTCACTGTTGAACGAAGCATGGTAAATTCCTGCTTTCTTGCACGTTTTTTTTATTTTAAATTTGATATCAATTTAGACTCATGTGGTTCTATTTCAAAGGTTGATGTTTTAATATTTTGCAGCATGTTCCCTAAGTCAACCCATGAAACATTCTCGACGAAATTGTTTCAGAGTTTCAGAGGACATCCAAGGTTGGAAAAGGCCAAATTCTCTGAGACTGACTTCACTCTATCGCATTATGCTGGTAGGGTAAGTTGTTTTTTAACCAAATCACTGTTGGAGGAATGCACTAAAATGATTTAATCTTATAGGGGATGGTTGCGACTTCCTTTCTTTTTGTAGGTGTCATATCAAACAGAGGCATTTCTAGAAAAAAATCGTGACTATGTTGTTATAGAACACCGAAATTTGTTGTCATCATCGCAATGTACCTTTATATCGGCACTTTTCCCTAGGTTGCAAGACGATTCGAGATCTTCATACAAGTTTTCATCTGTTGCTTCAAGATTCAAGGTAATTTGAGTATAGACTGTTGCATTCAGTTGGTTCCATCATCAACTATATATGTGCTCATGTTTCATAGTCAAATTATTGAACTGGTAATTGGGTACTGTCGTCCTTGATAACTCGATACAGGGATTTTTTGTTTCTTGTTATGACACAACTGGTTTATTTGTTATGTAAAACAGGTGGTCATTATTTGTTACCTGGATATTCAAGCTACTCACCTACTGAATAATGAGAGAGACCCTAGAAATGAGTAAATAAGCATATGATGTAATTCTTTGATAACCTAATATAACATGTAAAGGATTCTTTTCGTGAAATCAAAGACCTAAAAGTGACCAATTATTTTATCAAATAATTACCTACGTAATGCTCACATTAATACAAATGTGGCAATTTGTCAAGGGCTAAAAATGTACATTTCAAATTTGGATTTTATTTGAAACATTGTCATGCATTTATACTCTTTATTTTCATTATTGTAAATGCATGATTCACCAGGAGAAGAGTAATGGAAAATCTGCTAAATGCAGGAGAGGGGTAATCGTTTTTTTCTTTTACTGTGTGAGTGTGTATAATGCTTGATGCCCAATACAGGATACATTTTTGCATTTTACAATGCCATGTTCCTAATGATTTCGATTCAGTGAATTCGTCTAACATCTTGCACCAGATAATTTTCAATGTTTATTGTTGTCTTAATATCACTATTGAATTTGAATGGTTGCTACACTCCTATTCAAGGATCTTGCTAGGAAAAACTAAGTTACAATAGCTCAGCTGTACCATGAGCTGTCGTCTTGTATTCGATTTTTCCTCTTGGTTTGGCCCGTACTGCTACTTCTTGCTTCTCCAATGACTGAGTAGCTCAACAATAAATAATAGCATGTGGTGGTCTTGATGACATTATGAGATATTGCCCAAACGGCGTCAGTACAGTCTTCTTTGTGTGCTTGGTCCGAGAGACTGAATAGGGTTCCATTTCCTAGCTAAGACTCCATATATCTCATAGGTCTCATTTGAGTGATGCCTGAAGCATCCCTACAATGATTATTGTTATCTAAATCTAGTGTTCTAAAAGACAAATATTACTGGCAAACCCACCATCGACATCTGGAGTTATATTAACACAATGTGTTCCATTTGTACTAGTTACACAATGATTGGTTACAATTTGGTGTGATTGTTGCCTTGTACCCAGAGTTCCTTTTCTCCTTCATTAGATCTAGCTTATATTTGAGTAAATATAAATCCCCTTTTGGGATCTTACAACTTCAGTGCGAAGAAAGTATTTTACTTTGATGAAATCTGTAATTTCAAAAAATCTTGGCTAGTGTTTTCATTAGCTTTCATATTATTTAGTCATCAGCTTTTGTAATCACTATGTGATCCATGCCAATAATTTGCACAAGAACCGAATGTCTGGCTTTCTGACAATAAGAGTGGCCTTAATTTCATTCTACTGCGAAATCTTATCATAGCCCATTGGACGTGACTGAAGGAAGGTTTTGGTGACTTTTTTAGGTCATGCAATGCTCTTTTAAGCTGTAGGCTTTTCCTATGCTGTCAACTTCTGGTGTTAGGTGTTTATGCCATTTATGTACCCGTTTATGAAGATTGCATGTGGCAATAAAATTTTAGCACAGCTCATTTTTTTTATTAGAAACAAATGTTGCCTTCTTTATTCAGTTTTTCTCGCTTAAATTGATCATTAGGTGGCTCAACTTGTTGTTGAGTATCATTTTTGTTGAGGTTTCATCTCTTCTTTGATCTTCTACATTAATAATCTCTTACAAAAAACTCAAAAGAGTTAGGAGAATAAGAATGAATACTGCTTGTGAGAATGTGAGAATCTTGTGAGGATCTCATAATTTTAGAAGTAGAGCGTTTTGTGCCTTATCCCCTTGTCAAATTACAGTAGGAAAATCTATATCTGATTCTGTAGGAGGTTGAATGTGTCCCATATCAGAGCCGACTCGTGAGAATAATCCAGAGAGAGATAAGAGATTATGCAACCTCATGAGATGACTGTTCATATTTGACATTTCTGTGTGGTTGTTCTTGTTCCTTCTGTCTTTAGTCATCGTTAGTCATATGCATGGGGAGAACGTTTTGCACGAGATGACGTTCTCCTGATGCGTCCTACCCACTACCTTTTTTCCAGTCCAAACAATGTCCTATAAGATGGTTTGCCCCCCCCAAAATGTGGACATTTCTCCTAATCTTTGTCTTTGTTTTATTCCTTGGTTTCTTGGCTCATTTAGGACAGAACGCTATCCCACTTGAGACACAGTACACTTGGAGTTTCTGCTCATCATTTGTTTTAATCCCTCATGTGAAAGTTTCTTGTACATCGGTTCCAAGGACTAAACCGATGTTCAGAGTTTTCTCTCATAATGCTTCAACATCATTTTTCAGTCATGTAGGAAAATTGGAACTTTTATCTTCCTGGATGTACTTCATGTGCCTCTCCTAAACTTCAATGGAAGATTCATCCCTCGTATCTTTTAGTGCACCAAATTGGTTGATAATGGGAATTAAGCAGTGTCTTCTCTTCAAACATCTGTAATGTTCCTCACCTACCGCTCACTTTCTTCTCATATCTGGTCATTTGTGGCACCTTTGGGCTAACAAAATTTAGTAACCAAGGCAAGCTTTTCTCGGGGAATCAGACCTCATATTCTGGGTTAATCACACTGTGGTCCCTACTAGTTCCTGTGGGATCATTTTCTTCCAGGTTTTGAGATAATGTTCTACTCTCGTAGTGCTAAATGCAGAATTGTGCATGGTTAGTTTGGCTGTAGTGATGCGTAAGGTTGAGGCTGTTATGGACTCACTATGCATTGTTTAGGCTTCTGTGATATCAAGTTCTGGGATCAGTGTAGATCATATGCCTGAGATTGCTCATCGTAATGTATTTATAAATCTTCTATTTTCCAGCTCGTTTTGCGAAAATCCATCCAGAAAAATGTTCTGGTTCACCGATGACCATTTTGACAAATTCTAATTCGTCACAGGATGAGTCAGTTGAAGCAGGGTCCATTTTTTGTGTATGTTGGAGACAGCTTGTCTCTAGCACTCTACTTGTGATAGAATGGAATATTTTTCTGTGTTTTGGGTGTAATTTTATCTTTTTTCTGTTGTTTTATCTTTTTTATTAATTTTTAAGTCTCATTATAATTCTTTCATTATATGCAGCAACAACTTCAAGCACTGATGGAGACACTCAACTCAACAGAGCCTCACTATATTCGATGTGTTAAGCCCAACGCTTGGAGTCGTCCACAGAAGTTTGAGAATCAGAGTGTCTTGCACCAATTACGATGTGGGGTTAGTAGATTGAAATACTATTTTCGGAACCTAATCGCGTATCTAGTTAGTCCGGGCAGGCATTTGTGCTGGTTGTTTGCGATTAACAATTGTGTTTTCTGGGTAACTCTTTAGTTTGTGGTTTGGAATCTTAAGGTAATAATAAACAAATGAGGCAGGAGGGCATGCATTTGAAGAATCGATCTTCTACCTTTTCTTCTTTGGATGGAACAATATGAGGGATGTGACGAAGTATGTCTTCACACATTACTTTTGGTACTTTTTTTAGTGGGTTAGCTTATTGAGGACCGTGTTGGCTCCTATAGTTTTATGAGAAATTCCACCTTGTTGTACTTCAATTATTCTGTAGTTTTTTAGAACTCAAAACATCTTGGCATTAAAGTGCTCATTTGTATGCTTTTCTACCCTGAATAGAGGATCCAGAACAATGCATGTTGAAAAAATCTAAAGAAAGAATGGTATCATTATGCATTGATGCGTTGACATTTGACTTCATATCATGGTTTTAAAGCGGGTTTGATTGCCACAGCCTGGATTCATTTGGAGTTCTAGACTAGCGTGGGAATTTGATTCAAGCATCTCTGGCTGGATTCAGGTGGTAGCAGTGTGGAGATTAAAATTGGGAGTTGTTTTCTCGTGGGAAGTGTTTAAATAAAGGATCTCTTTCCGGTGGTAGTAGGGAAGAGAATTGATTTAAAGTATGAGATGATCATCTTGATTTCAGTTCTTATCAGTTGCCATGCCGCAGTTGAAACAGTTTAGCTTGAAGGGCCTTGGCCCGGTGGGAATTTTAATTCAGGCATCTCTGGCTGGATCCAGGTGGTAGCAGAGTGGAGAATTAAAATTGGGAGTTGTTTTCTTGTGGGAAATGTTTAATAAAGTATCTCTGTCCAGTGGTAGCAGGAAAGAGAATTGATTTTAAATATGAGATGATCGTCTTGATTTCAGTTCTTATCAATTGCCATGCTGCAATTGATTTCATCCTTTGTTCACATATAAGACACGACTTTGGCGGCTGAAGAGCCTTGACAATAATGATGTTTTACCAAGTTTCTTCTGAACAACAAAATGGGATGGTCATCTTGATTTCAAATAAGGTAGATCGAGTGATGCTCGACTAATTATACGGCGCGAACCAATATTGTGAGATGTTCAAGATTCTCATAGTCAACAGGAGATAATTGAAATCCTACTTGAAAGATTGGATTTCCTGAAAAAAATAAATTAGTCTCTGATTATTTGCCAACAGACAACTTTAAGACTGAAAGGGCCAATAATGTATGAATATATCTTCATAGTGTAAAAAATTGTCAAAACGGCACTTTTCCTGGTGTCAAAACGGTTCACTTGGAGAACACGTGAATTTGCTTTATAACTGAATGTTTCTTTATTTAAACAGATGCTTAGACACTATGTTCACTTTGATTGCTTAGGTACTGATTGCCACCTGTGCCAATTCTTTTATTTTTTATTTATGAATGTTGACGATTATTATATCATTCCCCTGATCTGTTTCACCCAGTGCTAGTACTAATCGGGAATTAATGCTCACTTTCAAGCAATCCTCTGTTTTTCGACTTCCATGCAGGGTGTTTTAGAAGCTGTCCGAATAAGCCTGGCTGGTTATCCTACTCGGAGGACTTATTCTGAATTTGTAGATCGCTTTGGACTTCTTATTACGGAATTAATTGATGGAAGGTATTTATTTGAAGTTATCTTGCTCATTATGATTACATTTTATTTCTCTCAGTAACATCTAATCAATACCAATGATTTTTTTTTCTGATTGGTAGTCTCTATATTACTTGCAGAAGTGGTAATGTCAATAAAATGGCATTCATGTGGACTCGTCTTTTAATTTTATTGCGCTGATTCATGCCTCAGTGAAAGGGCTTTCATAACAATAGTTTCTGGTTGGATATGGTTTTCCTTAGTCTATGATTTCTACATGTGTTGCACATGCCAATAATTCCATAGTAGTGCGTTTGCATGGGACAGGTTGTATATAAAAATATGTCTATTATTTGCTTAATCATTAACGGTAATGACCATGAAAGTCAACTGCTAGGCTTGGCTATTGGATCCATAGTCAGCTGTCTCTTGTTTCTCACTCTTCATTATCAGATGTGTGGTACTCTGTTTAATCTGTGCCACACAATGGCTGTGACTTGTTCTGCACACAACAAGTTAAGCTTCACCAGCTTTTGCTTGATGTCGAGATCAAGAAAACTAAAAATTGAGTCCTGCTCAGTAGGCATTCATATTTTTGCCGGGTTTTAGTCTTATGCAGGATTTTTTGTGCAGTCATTTTTAATGTTTTTAGTGCATCTTTATTTTGGGTAGAGTGATGAAAGAAGAAAAACAAGAGCAAGAAAATAGCAAGAAAAGGAATCATTGTTCTGCCGTCACTTTCACGTTTTTGTATATTTCATATTCTGGTCGGATCTAATGTGCTTCTGCCATTGGCTGCAGCTGTTGTATCCACTGCCAACGGTCTTACCTGTTAGGTTCACTTGATGCTCTAGTTGCAAACAACCATTGTCTGCCTTGTTTACCTGAAAAATAGAGTTGGGGGAGGGATTCAGCAGGGCCAAAAAATAAGGAGCTCTGGTATGATAAATACTAGAGGATTGTCTTCTAAGATATTCCATCATTTAGCATTTCAACCTACAATAATTTGAGGTTCGTTCATTCACTTCACACTCGCAAGCACAAAATAGGAAATTTTTATGAAAACTTTTCTTGGATCTTAAACTTTCGTGGATTTTGGGTTAGTAAAGTTAAATTATGTGATGCAATTTCATCTTCAAAATATGCAGTGCAAAAACCCTGTTAGCTACGGACAACAGAACAATTTATCCAACACTCGCAAAAATTGTGGTGTATTTACGTGTTTACCTGTTGGCTAATTTGCTCGGATGAATGTGTTCTAATGCATAATGGAATCAGGTGAAAGTTGTATTATTTGAGTTAGAGCTTTGGCTTTTTTGAAGCCAGTGTGATTGATTTCTTAAGCATCCATGCCTACATGAGGTTTTTCTGCTAAGATACTGAAGAATCATCTTCTTGAGTAGAATAGTCTCTGATGAGTTTTGTTTTTGGAGTTTGCACCAATATTTGATTCTTTGCCAACTTCACGAAATCATTCGATGGTGCATGGAATTACAACTCAGTGAAAACATGTTTTTTCATACAATTCAAAGAAGTTTCTACAGAAATACGAAAATATTTGTCATGATTGTTTTCATTCGTATTTTATAATTCAACTTTCAGTTTTTGGCATTCGTCACTGTTGAAGGCTGGTTTGGTTTTTCTTTTTTGGTCTTGCAGCTACGATGAAAAGACATTGTCAGAGAAAATTCTACAGAAGTTAAACCTTACAAACTTCCAAGTATGTGTTGCTAAGCTTCTTATATATGTATTCTGCTCGTGTCCCGAGTAGTGAGTCTATACATACTCACCTGACGTATTGGAAATACAACAGGGTTAGATAATAGTAATGACTTCAGTGGCCTGTGAATGAGAGATCAATTGAGAAGCTAAACCATTTGCATCCATTCATGTCAACGAGATTTCTATAAATATATTGAACGAATTTGTAATCAGTAGATGATGAATTTGAATATCTGAATGTGGGGATATTCATTATAGTTACTCTATTGTCATTAGTTAGCAGTGGGTGTAGTAGGTATTTTTAACGATGTATTTTTTATGATACTTGTTTTCTGGTAGGGCTTACTTTGGTATGTGCTACTTTTAAGTTTTTTATATCTTCTATAATAACTTTATATATATTACGGTTTGACACGAATAATTCTGAATGATTTGTGCTGCGAACGTGATGTTGACATGAAATTCACAATTCGTTTGAAGATAGATTGTATGTGAAATTGCAGTTGGTTCAGCAGGATACAGTGTGGACCAATATCGATTACCTTAAACTATGATTGGCAGTAAGGGGTGCAGTTTCAGAAATGTTTGGATACGTGGATATTTTTTAATTGTTTCCACCATGACAGTAAAATTTGCCGATGTTAGTTGTTAACATGATGTAAGAGTATAGCTCTTCAGTATTTTGACAAAGACCTTCAAAATATAGATTAATTCTGGTAAAGAGGGGGGAGTATGCTTCAATTATATCATATTCCCACATTTTTGTGTTTTACTTTGCAGCTTGGGAAGAGCAAAGTGTTTCTTAGGGCGGGTCAGATTGCAGTTCTAGACTCTCGTCGGGCAGAGGTACTGGATAATTCGGCAAAAATTATCCAGTGTCATCTGCGAATGTTTCTTGTCCGGAGAGATTTCCTCAGAATCAAAAGGGCTTCATTTGTTCTACAAGCATTTTGCCGTGGTATGGCATGGGGTCTCTGTCATATGTTCACCCTGTGTTTTTATTGCCAAAGCATACCAAGTTTTATATCAACCTGCTTTACAAGGTTTCACTACTGGTGCTTCTTTTTGATGAGCCGAGTTTGCCATTATTAGTTGCCTCTCCACTCTATTGTAGTTGTAAATTTGATCCTTAGTTTTATAAGTGTCAAAATATATATTTTTATATTAGTACATTCATATATGCATTTAAAAACACGTATTTATACATATTTATAATGATATCCCTTTGTACTTAAACATGGGTTTATTTGTCCATCTTAGACAAAGATCGCAGGCTTTAAAGGTGAAGGTAGGGTATTGCCATCGATAAAAATAGACCTAAACTCATCTGCTGCCGTTCATTTCCACTGTTGACAATATTCAATCTGCTTTGGAGCGGAAGATTAGATTGAGCTATATCCACACTATCTTAGACTTGAACAAATCATCCTTTGGAGCTCATTTTATCTTTAAATGCTAATGGGAGATGCTGGATTCCTACTATAGGCTATCTTGGGTTGTCAAAATATGGATAAACTTTGGTTTGTGTAGATTTTTGGTTATATTGTATTGTTTTTGTCGATATTTAATCAAATCCATGTTTTTGTGTTGCTCATGCTACATACCTTCTTGCTTTGCCAAAACCGATGCTAACTGTTTGCTCAGGTGGTTCATCTATAATTAATTTTTTCTTTAGGTTGCCTGGATCGTGGAGTCTACTCAATTCTGAAACAAAAAGCTGCTGCTGTGATAATTCAGAAATATGCACGGGGATGGCTGCGGCATAGTCATTTCAAAAAAATTTGTTTATCTGTTGTAACTATTCAGACATGCATCCGTGGCTTTTTAGCTCGTACATGGACGCTGTCTGTCAAACGAAAAAAAGCTGCCACATTGATCCAGGTTTTAGTTTTTACTAAGTGGTTCTCCTTGCATGTTTGGTGTGATATTCTCTTTAATAATATTTGGCCAGTTTTGTGGTTTCTGATTCTGTAGAAATTGATATATCCTCTATGGGTTGGTGTATGTTGTTGTGTTTTTGTATTGTGATCATACATTGGTAAAAAGAAGGACAAGTACATACTTACAGATTTATTCCACTGATGCTGAGGCTTAGAACCCTTCATGATAAATTTATCCTTGCGTAATCATCACGATAATTATTGTCATCAATTGCATTAGGGGCATAAACGTTTCTCTTTATTATGAAGCTGAGAGGCTATGATGTTTTTGTGATGAATTGTCAACTAGCATAGGGAATAGTAATTCATCAAGGTCTCGCACCCTATTTCTCTTTCCACTTCTGAATGCATTTGCTCTAAACTGCAATATCTTTTCAATGCAGCTAAAACATGCATGCATGTTATCTGCAAAATATTAAAGGTTTTCTGTAGATCCCTGACATCAGGCATAAAACCGGAAAGCTTCCCATACTGTATCCATAAATTAAAAATGGTCTTAACCAGAGTTACACAGCATACTGTATCCATAAACACAGAATAGTCTTATCTAATTTCAGTTTTCTTAGTCGTCCAGTAGGATTACACAGCATTTCATCATTTGGCTGAACCCAAATGGGATTTGGCTTAACCAGGCCATTTGGAAATACCTGTCCGCCTTTTATACATGTATCATGCTGTCAACATTCAAACATAAAATTTGTTGTGGTTTGGATTCAGTGATTGCTTGCGTGAAATATGCTATAAATTCTAATTTTTTAAAATTAATTCTATTATCTAGAAGACCAATTTTCTCAGTCTGCCTTGTTTATTTCTAGGCTGGGTAGCCATTGGTTTTTATCTTCTAATAAATGATATGCTTTAATTTATTCTCATTTGCTAGTGCTTGGCAGTAGCTTTATAAAATGAATGAAGATAAAATAAACTTAGACGTTAGAGTTTCTGCAGTCCTAATGGATACGTTTAATAACAGCTTTTACTGTTGCTTTATACGTTAGCCATTAATAACAGCAGTCCTGTTGCTTTTACATTAGAGTTTCTGCAGTCCTAATGAACTTAGCCATTGTTCTGCTTTTTCTTTCAAATGCAACATTGTTTCATTCACGTCGATTTTGCTTTCGAGGGAGATGTCGCTTCTGTGGCTTTTATCTGCAATGTCACTTTTTCTAAGTAGATTCCTACTGCTCTCTATTTACTTTGCCACAAAGTTCCTACAAAATTAATTTGCCTCCTTTATATGAATACATGCTACTCAATTTAGGCTCAATGGAGGATGTGGAAAGTGTGTTTGGGATTTCGGCAGTATTTGCATGCTTTGGTATCTATTCAATGTGCTTGGAGACGGAAAGTTGCAAAGAAAGAGCTCCGAAGGCTCAAACAGGTATTCTTTCTTTCTGTAGTACGTTCCTTGGTTTTCTTGCACGCGAATTCAGGGTTGTCACTTTATAATATAATTTTGCCTCTTAATTTCTCTCTCTCTCTCTCTCTCTCTCCTATTTTTATTAGCTACAACAAAAAAGTAAATATTATAGATCTCTACAAGCAGCCACTATAAATGTATGCATTTTCCTGTCCAACTGTTTGAACACTCCTTTAATCTTTAGAGGAGTTTAAGATGGAATTCGCTCGCATTTCACACCACTCCTTGAATTCGTTTTACTTGTTGGCTTCAGATATTCGTACGGATAACTTTATATACTTCAACCTTTTCATTTGGTCGGGACATGTGTCACTTTGCAGGGAATTTTGATGAAATCTGATGCTCATAGGGATTAGTAGGTTTATAGAGCGCTGAAATCTGATGCTCATAGGCAAATTAAATACTTGTTTGTTTTTCTGATAGTTGTTTATAATTTTTATTTTATACCGTTATTTTAAAATTTTGCTTTTGTGGTGATTAGATCTTGTCTTGTGTACTAAGCTTAATTTGCCAGTTAGGTGTGTCTCATGAGATGTAAAATTTCATTTTTTGGTTACTCTAGGCAGCAAGAGATGCTGGCGCATTACGTGAAGCAAAGAACAAATTGGAGAAAAGGTTGGAGGACATTTCTTTGCACTTCGAATTGGAAAAGAGACGGAGGGTAACATGCTTATTTCATCTAGTTCTTAATAATCCTTTTTTTTGGCCTTTTTTTTGTTTTGGTTTTAGTTTTTTTTTTGTACTTTATGCTGTGCTATCTGAAATAGTTTTTATTTTGCTAGTGAGTTGTTACCTTCAAATCATTAGTGCTACATGGGATGCTTAAATGCAATTACTTACGGTGTTTAAATGCAATTCTATTGGTGTCTGATCACTTTTTTTATTTTCTCAGATTTATTTAATATAAACTACTCACCAGCTCGTATGAAAAATTTACATTTTTATAGGTTTCATTTTGAGACTTTCTTAGACCTGATATGTGGTGATGATTGTCATGCTCACAACTGCTTCATTCTCATTTTTCCATTGTCACAAGACACACACAGAGGCACACACACATTCTCTCTCTCTCTCTCTCTCTCTCGCCCTCCGCCCAAGCTGTCCGCCTTTTATCACACTTTCACAAAGTTTTATCTTAAGTAATGTACGGTTAAAAACGGGTTAACACAGTAGAAACATACTTTTTCGTAGTGCGTTAGTTTTTAACAAGTCAACAAAAACTAGATGAGATTGTTGGACAGTTGAAAGAAGATTGATGGAAGCAGTACTTACATATGTGATTATTTTTTTTGTGAGGGCCATAAACAGGATAGAGGAAGACAGAAAGAACATGAACTGAAATTGAGGAAAGATAGAAGTGCCCGGGTGGTATGTAAATTTTTGTGTTAGAGGAGTCGCATGGCAGTGTATTTGTGTCTTTGATGCATCAAGTTGAGTTTCGGCAGATGATGTTATTATCTTAGTTACTCTTTACATGGTGTTAAAACATTTGATTATGATAATTAGAATTCAATACAACTTTAAAACAAGGATATGATGAAAATATGAAACTTTTGTGAGCAACAAAGCATCGTATCTTCTATCGTTCTGGTGCTTGATTTGATAACACAGGATAAGTTTTTTTCACCTTAATATGTATGGGTAGTGAGAACGAAATTGAGGATGTTGAAACATATCCTTTCGTCTTGCTATGGCTCTAAGTTGTCGGCATCCAGGAGACTTGGAGTTGCATTGTGCCTAATGGCTCCCTTCTGGTGATGGCCAGTAGATGTACAGGTTTAATGCCAAACGCGGTCAAGTCAATGTTTGCAGAAATAAATTCAAGTGGATGAAGCTGGTTGGGGCAGGCCGTCAGTGATTAAAATTTGCATTCAAAAATTTTAATTATTCGTTTGGTTAAGCTGGTATCCATGCCATCCAGGGTCTGCATCCTCAGCGGATAAAAGAAAGTTGTATATGTTCAGGGTATTTTATGCAAAGTATTTAATGCTTACCGACAATGACTGTTACTTTGTAACGTGTGATATATTTAAACCAGAAAAATAAGAAGGATTTCTGGAAGCAAGGCAATATGTTGCTTTGTTAAATTTTAAACCTTTGACTGCAGATATCCAGTGAAGCATCAAAGCAGGCTGAAATTTCAAAACTCCAGCGGTCGTTGGAGTCAGTACATGCTGAGTTGAATGCTGCAAAGTTGGCAGTTGAGAATGAGCAGGAGAAGAATGTCACGCTTTCAAGACAGATTGAGGTATCAAAGAAAGAAAACGCAAGTTTAGAAAGTAGGCTTGCTCAGATGGAAGAGTTAAATAAAGAGAATTTGTATCTGAAGGTGGGGTGTCTTTTGCCGAGTGCATGGTTGCGTTTCTCTATTATTATTTTTTACATCATATTTTTTTGTCCCTTTAAGATTTTAGTTTCATTGAATGTTCCTGGATGATCAAGTAAATGTGATACGTATTGTGTCTATTTACAGAGTACAGTTGGTTCCATTGCACAGAAAATGGTGAATTTGGAGCAAGAGCTTCTGAAGGCACAAAAGTATAGTACTGACACCTTGGAAAAGTTGCAGCACATTGAGTCCGAAAATATGAAGCTTCGACAAAACTTGCAAAGGTTTCACTTAATCATTTGAACTTCATTTCTGATGAACCCGTTCGTTCTCCATGATAGTTGCTTTTTTCTGGTCATCAGGTTCAACTGTGAATAAGTACAGAGGGGTTTTCTTTCACGTCATTCTTAGTCTTGTTCTCTTATCTCGCTTCATGGTCATTCATCCACCACCTGTTTCTTATTTCACAGCCAGTGCAGAATCAATCTGCTTTCATTTCATAATATATATTTCGTTTCTATCTTCATAACTTCAGTTGATAGTTATTTGAATCACCAACTTGATTAAGCTTATGGTAGATTATAACTTAAATAAATCTCAAATCGGTGTGGTTATGTTAATGGTCGTCGATGTCCTTTAAGTTTGAATTAATTGCATGTTTATTCATGATTATGATGGCGTTTTCATGTTCGACAGCGCTGAAATGTGCCTTTTTATGCTTGATATATAACACACTTCAGCAGAAAATAGACATTTAACTTCATTTGGATGTGTTTGACCTTCTTATCGTGCCTTGGATTGGCATACACAAGTATTCGTATACCAAATATTCAAGAGTTGATAACATTTAATATTGAAAGAATAAATACTATGTCTAAGTAGCTTATCTTCACGTAGATCCTTTTCCATTTTCCTGCAATATTTTGAACATGCTACTTGATGTTTAGCTTTAAAAGGATCATTTTGCGGTCTTCAGTGGGCCTGGAAGATGCTGTCATTTTTTCAAATATTAAGATCTGAAGAGGAGAATTATATTCCGTCCTTTGACTGCTCTTGGTCGATTCTTTTATTTCAATAAGTTTGCCATTTTGTTATACTCTCGAAAAACCACTGTCGCGGTTGTTCTAACTGTTTGTTCACTTTCTGAAATTAGCATGACTGAGAAGATTTCAAGTATGGTGGAAGAGAACACCACTTTGAGACAAAAAACACTGAGTCTGACTCCTGTGAATCAGCTTTTGTCTCGATCAGTTTCGAAGGTATGATGGACGAAACTGGTACTTGATTCTGTCACTTTCTTTTGGCCTTTTTCCAATATTACTTTCATCTTTTCATTCCACAAGTTTGCGACCTGTGATTTTGTTGAATTCAAGTCTTTATCTTTTTTAATATTGTTTATTTTGATACCTAGTTTTAGCTCAGAATATCATTTCATACTTTATTAACAAATTGACATGGTTTTTAAAACAGAAGCAACACCCCGTACCTTCCAGTGCTGAACTGCAGGCTACGTTTGTGAGATGTTCTGTTTATATTTCACTTAGTTTCTCTCGCTTTTTGCTTTCTTCATGGGCTCGTTTTATCTGATTTGCATCACCTGTTCTGTAGGATACTCCTGTATCGACAAGACTTCGCAGCCCATATCAGAGAGAACGGTTAGCGAAGGCCATTGACAGACAGGAGGTTGTTCTCTTCTCCTTTTTTATCTGAGCAAATGTTGAGCACGCTTGATCAAGCTGATCCTAAATGGATCTTATTTTTTTACTGAAGATATTATCACTCGAGCACTAGAACTTGATTCTGGGCAATATTAATTTCCTTTCTGAGTTTTTCTTTGTTTTTTTATTTTTCTGTTCTTGCGTGTAGGGTCATCATGAATTTCTTATAAGATGCATTAAAGAAGATATGGGGTTTAAAGATGGCAAGCCTCTCGCTGCCTGCATCATATATAAATTTCTCCTCCAGACACGTGCTTTTGAAGCAGAGATAACAACAGTTTTTGATGGCATAATCGAAGGGATCAATGATGTTATCAAGGTGCATGAAGTCTTCAAATTTTCCTGATCTCGTCCTTAGTTGCGAATTCATTAAATTGATGCCCAAGTAATTCTTCTTTTATCATCATCTTGTTTTTTCTACATTGCGCATACAAGGTTGGTGGGTTCCTTTGAAATATTTTACTGGTGGTATCTGTGCTTATGTTGCTAGTATATTTTCAGGTTGGAGATGAGTGCGATGTATTGCCGTACTGGCTGTCCAATACTTCAGGGCTTCTCTGCCTCTTGCAGAGGAATGTTCGATTTGATACGTTCTTTACGTCCCCCGCTCGAGCTGTTTCCGGTTCTCCTGGTTTGACCGGAAGAGCAATGCAGGTGCTTCCCATTTTAGATTCGTGAATGATCCCAAAAAAAATCCCTTTTCCGTCCGTCATTTTAGTTTTCAGAAATGCTGCCTTCTAATATCATTCTAAATTATCAGGACATGAAGTATCGTCTAAAGAACTGTGAAGAAAGTTTCCCTCTTTTGGAGGCTCGATACCCTGCTGTATTATTTAAGCAACAGCTGACTGCTTCCCTGGAGAAAATTTTTGGATTCATTCGGGATGGAGTTAAAAATGAGATATCCGCACTTTTAACACTTTGCATTCAGGTAAATGGTAGTCAAATTTTATTTTTATTTTTTAAATTTTAAGAACATGGAAATGAAGTACAAATGCAGTGCATATGATTGGACTAGAATAATACAGAAAAATGGTTGAAAAGAAAAAAAATACGAGAAAAGGGGCAACCCTAACCCCAACAATGATTTCGATTCCACAAAAATTGTGGCCTGGGCAGACATTCAAGAAGTAAATTATTTCCTTTTTTGAGGTTATGATGATATCTTCCGATTCAGCTGTTCTTGCCTAGTGTTCTACTGAAAAAATGGCTTGTTGGAAATATTGCGAACCTGTCTAAAGGGTTTATGACACTTATGCTGTTTCTTTCGGTCTGTATGCCTCTCAAAACTGCTGGTAATAACCTCCAGCATGCTTGTATTTCTACCTCTCCTGCTGTGGAATACTTATTCAGTTCCTTTTGGAAAACCCTAGTTATTCAGTTTTTCTCTTTGTGATCTGCGAGAGCTGAGTTTTTACCGCACAGAAAATTCTGACTAAGAACAGAAACCTCCCCCCAAGCTGTCCCTTGTGACATCATATCCTACGAGTTCCATTTCCCTAATTTGCTATAGTTTCAAGTCTAATTTACTATCCCAGTGTCGCCAATCACACGACGATACACAGACGCTAATTTACTATCCCAGTGACATTTCAATTCTTTTGCGGTCAAGCCCAGAATGGCCTTCGAATTGGCCTGGATTTTCTCCCGGGTAGTAAAATCTCAACTCTTGAGCGAGGGGTTTCCATGCACAGACGCTAATCGGTGTTTTCATTCTTACATATTCCTGCAGAATGCTCATTATATCTCAGCATCTTAATGCTCATTTGTCCTCTTTGGCGCTCATCCTCGTTGTCTCGTCTTCAATGTTTACATCGCATTTTGAAGGCCCCAAAAAGTGCCAAGACATTGAGTGGCAGGCTGTTGAGATCATCTAATGGCGCCGCTCACCAGCTCCTGTACAGTCATTGGGAGAGCATCGTTCACTTGCTAGATTTGTTCGTGGCCCGATTACGCCAGAATCATGTCAGTTTCATCGTACTCTCTATTCCGTTCATTTATTTATTTATTTGTTTATTTATTTATTTGAATGCTCGCCAACCTTTTATTTCTTATCGACAGGTACCTTCATTCTTCATCCGCAAGCTCACCACCCAGGTCTTTTCATTCATAAATGTTCAGCTTTTCAACAGGTCGGTTGACTGTAAGATCAAAAGAAAAACGCCACGGTTGACTGAACCCTTCATCTCCGTTCGTTGACTTAATCTTTCTCGTGTCTCCAGTCTCCTGCTGCGCCGTGAGTGCTGCTCATTCTCAAATGGGGAGTACATGAAGTCGGGGCTTGCCGAGCTGGAGAAATGGATCGGAAATGCCACGGAAGAGGTGGGCATCACGTGCTCCTCTCCTTTATGCACCGCATGGTTGACAAAGGTGGTCAAACAGCTGACGAATCTCGTCTCTACGTACAGTTCGCAGGGACCTCCTGGCATGAGTTGAAATATATCCGACAAGCAGTCGGTTTCCTGGTACGCAATCCCAAACCCGGGTCGATATCTGGATGTTCCGCATGCCATTTCATTTCATCTTGCCTTCGCCGTCATCACGTTCCAGGTGATACATCAGAAGCGGAAGAAGTCTCTCGATGAGATCAGACAGGATCTTTGTCCGGTACTTGCCAAGCCTCCATTCGAGTGATTTGATTCGATCTCTCTGTCTCTTCTTCTTCTCCTTCTAATCCTAATCTGTTCGAGTCGTCGACAGGCGCTGACTGTTCGGCAGATATACCGCATAAGCACCATGTACTGGGACGACAAGTACGACACGCAGAGCGTCTCAAACGAGGCAAGTTTCCCCCTGGACCTCAGGCTAAACCCCCCTTTCCCCCTTCTTTCTCCCGTCGCCCTCGGTTCCGTCACTCTCAGATGATTCCTTCACAGGTGGTGGCCCAGATGAGGGACTTGGTGACCAAGGAATCCTTGGATCTCGCCTCCAATTCGTTCCTCTTGGACGAGGACATGAGGTATTCTTCTTCTTCTTCTTCTTCTTCTTCTTCTTCTTCTCCTTTTGCGAGCATCTCGTCTCCTTCCTCACTCGCTCTCTCTTCCTGCAGCATCCCGTTCTCCACCGAGGACATATCGAAGGCGATTCCGGCGGTCGATGCGGCGGACGTCGAGCTGCCGCCTCTCCTGCGCGAGCTCCCCTCGGGGCAGCTCCTGGCCAAGCGGCTCCAGCTGCCCGCCCCGTAGTCGGCCCGACGACGGCATTTCCGGTATATACTTATTCCCCATGTAGATATCGTCTCCTAGATTTACTTGCCACTCCTTCCACGGCCGTTTGTAATGTCTCCTGTGGCTGTGTATATCTTACGGAATACCACTACGGCGGTAGGAGTTTGCCCAGAATCCGGGCCGCCGACGCTCCATCTGTGGGCTCAGGGCTTCGGTTCTGGCTGTTCAGGCGGCGGTGGTTTCATGAGGAAATTAGGGCGCCTGTCTATTTAGGCCTGGCATTCACCACCTTTAGTAATTAGCTAAAGTTACTTATTCTTTATGCCTTATTCCTGATCGAGCTATTAGCTCATAAGAGTAAATTTTGTCCAAAATGAAATTAATTCAAATGTCTTTCAAGAATTAATTTCTATCACAATCAGATTATTCTGGGTCATTATATGAAAAATGTGAAAATGTGATATTTTTTACTTGTAAAAATGGTCTAAAACAACCATTCTACATTTAGGCTTCTCAACAATCATGATTCTCATTATTCTCATTACTTTTCTGAATCGTATATGATCCATTAGTGCATTATGATTTGCATCTGGTCCGACATCAGTTGCTCAACATATTTATTAGATAAAACATCACGTCAATCATATATAAGACAATGGGTAGAAGGAATTACCAATTTGACAAAGTGATGGTGAATTTTTGTCACACCACAAGACTCTCATTTCAACCTCCATTTCTAAAATCTACACGACCTAGTGGCAATCTAGTGACATCAATGCCTGATAACAGAATACTCTATCTGATGTTGTGCAGGGGCTAGATGTAAAGAAATAAGAGGGGACCACAATCTTGCCTTCTTAGAATGTAAAGAAAGTATTGGTTTGTATATATTATGTCAGAGTTATTAAAAAGTGTGTAGAAGAGTAATGCTATAATCTTAGAATGTAAGGTTTATGTTACCTAACGATTATAAATCCCTACAGATGAAAAGCATGCATCAAACCAAGGAAAGTGTACTAAAGGGTAAGATTGTCATCAAACCTTTTATAAAGTCTTAGTTTCTAAAGTTTCCATGGGGAGAAATCTCTTTTGTCTGTGAGGATCTATCAATATGGAGCGAAAATGAAATCTGCTTCTTGCCATTGTCCTCCCTACTTCTATCTACACCCTTGCATGACTATGGCAATTGTCCTCTGCCTCCTCATTCAACTTCAGTTCCACTAAGAACAATGAGAGGACAATACCCATCAATTATTTTCACTCAGAATTCATTTATCTCAAATGAGAAAGAGGGCGAATGTAAATTAATGAAAATGTATTTATCATGGAATAAATCTGGAGAAATTGACTTCAGTGAAAAACACAATTGCATTACTAAGATTTGATCTTTGAACTAATATAGCCATAAAGAGAAATTATTGTCTTCACAAGCAACATCAAACACATATTAAATGATTAAAACAAGAGCAAATTTAAGTGATTTTTGAGGAGTTATGGCTAGATTGATCATAACACAGATCATTAAGAGTAGGAAATGGAATGGCCAACAGGATGAATAGTAGCTTTGACTGAAATGATGTGCTTCATTGTTGCAGCTATGAAGTGGCTTGGAGATTTCCTTTGTATTGACTATTGAGGCATGACAATTGTCCCTGCAAAGGGGACTTCTTAGAGTTGTTGGAAAAACACCAAGATCCCTATTTTCTACTTTAAAATAAAAAACTAAATATCATATCAATTAATTTGAAGAGTAGCTTTATAACATGTTTACTAGTAAAAAATCTCTCTCATTTCATGCATTCTGCAGTCACCTATGACACCCCACGTAGATTGACACATCTCGTGTTTAGATGATGTTATGTAACATGATAGATAGATGTATGAAATGTGATATTTTTTACTTGTAAAAATGGTCTAAAACAACCATTCTAATCAATTGGGATGTTCTTAAGTCACCCTTGACACTCCACATGTGGATTGTCATGTCTCTCATTTAGATGATGCTATGTCACATGATAGAGATACTTCAACAGTGTTCTACACTTCTAATTCCTTTTTTTTATGATTTTAGTTTGTGATTTAGTGTGAAACCATGTTAGTATCTCATGTTCAAGATGTTTTAACATGATGTGTCCATTTTGGGGAAGACTGAATTGGTAGAAGCCAATTGAAAGAATATCTGGGCTGTTTTCTCTAAAACATTTTTCTCGTAATGATTCAATGTTGATATGGCAGTGGGCTAGATAAGTCATGGAAAATAGTGTTGGTTCCATGCTCAACTAGATAGCTTACAGCAAAACATTTTAGCTTTCTACTATCGTTTAAGATGGCTTGTACTCAGCCGTCAGCTAATGGATACAAATTCATCTTTCACTTCGTCAAATGGTAGCAGTCATTCCATCTCTCTCTTTCTCTCTGCCTCTCCGACACTCTCTCTCTACACACACACACATCTCGCGAATAATCTGCGGCTAGTCATCGGGGTTGGCATAGGTGCAGCGGTTTTCCTTCGCTGACAGTGGTAGGGTAAGCTTCCTTGAAAGCTATTTAGTTTTCGTAGCGGCAGGGAACAAGCGGGAGAACGATGGAGTGGTGGACGGGATTCTAGCTGTGGAACATCGGTGAGGATGTGTTGACAGTAGTTCGGTGGCTGACGATGCTGGCGGCAGCGCTATCAATGGTGGCAATGGTTCGAACGGCGGCGAAGACACCAGTTGTGGTCTAGGTGTTGTTGGTGGGCGGTGGGCAGTGACAGTGGTCGATGGTGATGGCGGAAGTGGAGGACGTATATGATGACGGTTCTGGATGGCGGATGGATGGTGGAGGGAGATGGACGGTGGGCGATGGGCCAAAGACGGTGATAAATGCTTGATGGACAGCGAACAGTGGACAACATGAGCGGATATGGCGGGTGGAGGTGGTTGCGGAACTATATGCAGTAAACTTAAAATGACTTCATCTTCTTCTCGGCGTTCATAGGTGTACATGAGGTTATTCACAACCTCTTTGATAATTGAAAATAGAGAGGCCCGAGGAAGACATTACACCCTAATGGGCTTGGGCGGATATGCTGACAATTGGAGGTGTTGGCCCGCTTCTTCGATCCTCATCAGAGGAAGCATAAGAAAAGCCTGGTGGAGGTGTTCTAGAGTGAGGAAGTGTCACTCGTCTTGCTTTAAAATGTTGCTAGTCTTACTTGTGCAGTGAGCTACCGTCTGTTTGTGGGTTAGAAAACAGGAACCGCCAATCCCAATTTGCAAGGGAGCGTGATATTAGCATTCAGTGAAGTCTACTGACGTCGTTACTTGTCGATGTGGAGGCGAATCTCTGAACAATGTTTAGTTTTTTCTGTTCGATCCTTGAACTGTGGATTGATTATCTTTCTCTATCTATACTGTGTCATGACGGATCAAGGGGATAACTTTTTGTTACTTGGAGTTGACCCTTGTTCCAACAAAAAATATCCCTAGGTAAATATCTTTCTTTTATTTTATATGACAACTAGTCGAGAAATCAGACTGAAAGAGGCAAAGGGTGATATAAATGACCCAAAACGTGGGGATCAAGCTCACGCTTGCCGTTTCACGTCGGGGACAGAACTTCCTTAGGTCCTCATCTGGCATCTAAGATCCTGGTGGAAGGCGGTAGGTAGGTACGACGAGCAGGTTTTTGGCTCTGGCCAAGTTTAACCCGAATCTCTCCGACATGTCCAACTCTCCGGAGAGTTCCCAGTCGAAGCAATGCACCAGCTGGGTCACAATGATCCGCACCGTCGTCAGAGCCATCAGCATGCCGGGGCAACTCCGGTTTCCGGCTCCGAAGGCGAGGGAGCCAGACTCGAGGCTATCGCGATCCCCAGCCCCCCCCCCGCTGCCCGCCTCGAACCTCTCTGGGTAGAAGGCCTCAGGGTTGACCCATTCATTCGGGTCCCTTCCCATGGCCCAGATGTTGACAAACACCTGGGTTCCTTTCTCAAACTGGATGCCATTGGCGACACAGTACTCCCGGGCCTCCCTGGGGATCAGAGGGATGACTGGGTGCAGCCGCATGCTTTCCTTGATCACCATCTCCAGGTAGGGCAGCTTCGGGAGGTCTTCCTCCTCAACCACCCTGTCCATGCCGACGACCTCCTCCAGCTCCTGCTGCACCTTCCTCATCACCCGGGGGTGCCTCAGGAGCTCCGACATCATCCACTCCACCGTGGTTGCGGACGTGTCCGATCCCGCGGTGATCGTGTCCTAATAGGAGAGACAAACGCTGTGAGATGAGAAGAATACTTCGGCAATGTAATCTGACATCTCTTCTTGTCGTTGTCTCACCATGAGGATGGCCTTGAGGTTAGCCCATCATACTGTGTTCCCATCGAAGAGAGGATCGAGCCGATCACGGAGTCCTCAGCCTTCATCCCTTCGTTCAGACTCCGACACTACTTGTCGATGACCTCCTCGAAGAGGCCATCGTAGACCCTTCTGACGGCCTTCATTCGTCTCCTGACTCTGTTCAAGCCGAGGAATCCGTGAAGGGGATGTAGTCGTTGATGTTGAATACCCCGGCCAGCAGCAAAGCTTCTCTGACCGTCTAATATATATGGCATATTCGTTGCCATATTCCTCCCCGAAAAAAGTACGGCACGCGATTGCCATGATCGTCGAGGCTGCGGCTTCGCTGAGATCGACCGGCTTGGGGTCCTCCTCTGCAGCCTTCTTCAGGGAGTGCAGGAGCCGGTGAATCTCCCCCTTCCTCACGTTCCGGAAGGCTTCGACCTTTCGGATGGAGAGCATGTGAACAAGGCAGAGGTTGCGGGATTCGCGCCAGATATTCCCATAGTCTGAGAAGACGACCCCCTTCCGCCCATAGGCGAGGTAAACGCTGGAGTTGCTCGAGGGCCGGTTCGCGAAGGCCCTGAGTAACTTCTGCGCATCAGCAAAGGACGATACAATCACCACTTTGACGAGGCCGATTTCGATGCCCATGACCGGCCCGTACACCTCCGCCAGCTTCCGGAGGGCTTGGTGAGGCAAGGTTCCCAAACTGAGGAGATTCCCAAGGATAGGAATACCAGGAGGGCCTGGCAGAACCCTAAAGCTTACTCCATCGTCAATTAGAGTCCTCCTCTTCCGCAACAATGGGAGAGTGAAGAAACATGCCGCTGCCACTGCTACGGCTACGAGAAGGGATTCTGGGGCCATCCATGAGTACACCGCCATAGTTGCTCTGAAAATATGAGAGAGAGAGAGGATTCGTTGTAACCTTCTTGGACTGAGGTTCATACTCATTCAACGTCTTCCCTCGCTTAGAGTTAGATGTGTCATCATCATCATCTCCTCACGAGTTATTGCTCATTGTCCCTACTTGTGTAGTGAGAAAAATAAACTAAAACACTACTGAAATTATATTGTTACTACTTGCCATATAATAAGTCTTCATTATCATGAGTTAATAATTAATTAATAATATATTTTTAACCTTACTTATAATAAATATATTTATATTTATATTAAATTATGAAAAATAATTTTTAATAAGTTAATATTTTTTTATTAATTATATAAATTTATTTAATTTTTATAATCTTATTTTTAAGATAAATGAAGAGAAATAAAATAAAAATATAGTAAAAGGGTAACTTACTAGTCAATCAAGCCCTACAAGTGGGTTAGAAGCACAATCGAGTGTAGCTACGAGCATGAGGCTTGATCAATAGGTAGGGAACAAGTGTGCAAACACTCCCCTTCCACATCACCAATGGCTTGCTAGATGTGGAGCAAGTGATGGTCATACACATGTGTGAGAGAGAAAATTATTGACTATAGTATTTAATCTTACTAAATATTCATTTTATAACTCAAATAATAACAAATGTGAGACTAAACCTATTCACAACTTTTTGGATGGTTTTCAATAATTTTAAATACCTAAAATACTCTTAGTTTGTGAGAAAGATATATCTTTATAATATCATATTATCTGAGTATTCATATACTTATTTCACTCTCTCTCATATAAGTGAGCAACTAACAAGAGTTTGAATCTCACTAGAGCCAAAACTTATATTTTTATTTGATTAAATTATAATTTTCTTAGAGAGTGTCAATCAATGATTATGCTATCAGAATCACTTAATCATCAATGAAAATTTCATCAATAAGATTTGTAGAGCATTGTTATGCCAAATTGTCAAATGATTATAGATAAAAGTATCGCGAATCTATTTAATAAATTATTTTTGATTGATTAATGAACAAGCTATTGTTGGGAAAATGACAATATGTTGAAAGACGAGTTGTCACCTCCTAAGATCATATCAGATGTAATGAAGAGCCTACTCTTACTACGCAGACTTGAGAATGAAGTTCTCTAAGATGCATCTCACCTCTTTCTAATTTATCTCCATCGAGTGATAGTCACTGAAGATCTGTAAAGTCATAATTTTTCTACTTTATTTTTAAATTTTGTGTAATTTTAAGTTTTAAAAATCTTATTCATTCAATTACAATTATTTTGACTTTTATAGATCTTAATTTGACTAAATAAATTATTTGTAATTGCTTATATAAAAATTATCAGACATAACTTTATTTTCATATGAATCATGTTCATCGAGAAGTTGATGTCATTTTGATATTTGCACCCTTATTTTTTATGTAAAATTTTAAATAAATTTTATATTCATCATTTAGTCTAAAAATTATAAAACATCATATTCTTTTAAAAACATTAAAATATTATTAGATATTATCTTACATCCCTATGATCAGATTAAAAATTCTCACTATTTTTGAAACCTTTTATTGAATTATAATTGATTTAGTTTTTCTTAAATAATTTTTAAAAACTAAAAAATATTATTTTTAATGTTATAAATTTTAAATTTGTGTAATTTATTATACAACTATTAGATCACATCATCACCCAATAATAAAAATAATAATTTAGATAGATAAAAATAATAATTATAAATAAGTGGGAAGAATAATCAAATCTCACTCTGTGACTATCACTCACTTATAAGTCTTTATTATCATAAATTAATAATTAATTAATAATATAGTTTAATTCTTAAGTTATAATAAATGAACTAATATTTATGCTAATTATAAAATTAATTTTTAGTTAGTTAATATAAATTTTAAACTAATTATGTGATTTTATGTGAATTTATATAGTTATGTTTTTTAGATAAATGAAGAAAAATAAAATAAAAGTATATAAAAAGGGGGGACCCGCTGGCCAACTGGTCCCACAAGTGGGTCGGAAGTATATTCCGACTGCCATGTCACTCAATATAGAACGAAACAGAAAGATACATCAAAGAAATAATAATAAAAAATAAATCTGCAATAGAATCATCTTTAGTCCGCTTACATTTAGAGAAGTAGAATGAGTACTGAATTATGCCATGAAAAACAGTAAATAGATGTAGTAAAGGAAAGCCCTAATCTATAGCAATCTCATCCCTTTTCTGTCACTCCGAAGATGTTTGAGAAAGGGGGAAGAAGGGATCCGTCTATCATCACCATGCTCAGCCTGCCGTGGATGTGCTCCATCTGCCATAGCAGCGGCCACCGTCGTTGTGCCAACCTCCACCTCCACTTGTCACTCAGGAGGGGAGCTCACTACTACCATCGCCGTAGCTGTCGTCGCTGTCACTGTAGCTACTGTCGCCATTGCCGCAGCCATACTCTCCTCCACCTGTCACTCAAGAGGGGAGCTCGCTGTTGTTGTCGTTGATGTCACTCCATGCTGCTCCCATCATCGCTGCTGGCTGCTGCTATCATACCCTGGCTCTTGGGGGTCCCCACTTTTTTCTATCTGCTCTTCCCTTTATACCCTCATCATAATGGGCCGGGTATTGGGCCTCATATTTTTTGGCTCAATATCACATAGAAAAACATCGTAAATTCCTCAATACATATAGAAAAATTCTAACTCCACAAACCTTTTCCGTTGGCTGTAGAAAAACTAATTTTTTTCTAGAATATACCCTGGAAATCATGTTAGAGTATAGATTTAAAGATCAAATACAAATTGATTGAGATTAATATGTGTATTTAATTGAAAATTCATGAGATGTGTTCAAAAATATGATCTTATATTTTTCTTAAATTTAGTTACATTTCACGTTGATAAAACCAATATTTCTTAATATCTGACCCTAGTTATCATCTAAAAATGCTGCATTAACAACAAGCAATCCAATACCTCATGTTTCTCATCAATATTCTTCTCAACGCCTCAAAACAGTTGTTGCCTACTTGGGTGGTGATCATCTCTTAGTTGTTCAGTCGAAAGATGTCAATTTTAGTATTTATAACTAAAGCTGGGACATGGAAATTAGTATAAAAGTTCTAGTGGGTTCAAGTTGATCCTCACGGATAATTGTCAAATTTTAGATGTCAAACTCTGTTCTCAAATATTTATTCAGTGAAAAAGGGTAAATGAACTCAAATTGTTTCCTCCAATTCCTAGTGACTGCTACTAGGCCCCTTTTATTTCTTATCACAGGTACCTTCATTCTTCATCCGCAAGCTCACCACTCAAGTCTTTTCGTTCACAAATGTTCAGCTTTTGGACAGGTAAATTGGTTGTAAAAAAAGAAAAAATGCCACGATTGACTGAAACCTTCATCTCCTATCATTGACTTAATCTTTTGCGTCTCTTAAGTCTTTTGTTGCGCTGTGAGTGCTGCTCGTTCTTGAGCGAGGAGTACATGAAGTCGGGGCTTGCCGAGCTGGAGAAATGGATTGTAAATGCCACGGAAGAGGTGGGCATCACATGGTCCTGTCCTTTGTTCACCGTATGGTTTGTCCGACAGCTGATGAATCTCGTCTCTACGTACAGTTCTCAGGGACCTCTTGGCATGAGTTGAAATATATCCGCCAAGCAGTAGGTTCCCTAGTATGGAATCTCAAGCCCGGGTTCAATATCTGGATGTTCCGCATGCCATTTCATTTTATCTTGCCTTCGCGTTCCAGGGGATACATCAGAAGCGGATAAAGTCTCTCAAAGAGATCAGATAGAATCTTTTTCCAGTGTCTACCATGTATGATGCAGGGCAGGATGAAGAATAACTAGGCTAACCCTAAATAAGTAACCTAATTGATTCTCAATATTAGATCTAGGAGTCTAAGAAAGTTCACTAAGATAAGATTAAGTGATTTCTCACGAGATTTGATATGAATAAAGTCGATGTGTTTGACAAATCGTCGAGGATTTTAGAGTGATTAACCCACAATAAGTGGACTACATGACTATCAAGGGGTTTTCACAAACTCTTTACCAGTTAATCCATAAATGGACCTATATAAGATTCACTCAACGGCAATTGGAAGATAAGATACTAAATAAGCAAAATCCTCAAACCAAAAAGAAAAAGGATTTAGCGATAGCGTTGTTGCCGGAATGAATGGCTAGTCGGTGGATGAGCACAGAGTGAAGCTGAAACCCTCAATTGGTCATAGTTGGCCGTGTGGACAGTTGACTAGGTGCTGATTGTCGACTGTTCATCGTTGACTGGCTTCCTGCTGACCGGGTTCGGATTGTTGACAGTTGGCAGGTTCGGGTCTTGCGGAACTGGGCCAGTCCAGTCCGGTG